CAGCACAGTGTGGGGTATTGCTTTGGGACCAGGGTTTTAAGAAGTGGGCTGAGGGGTTAATACAGCCCACCGTGATTTATAGATCATATTAGGGTTTAGGGTTGGACTTAGGGCTTGTTTTCGAAGGGGTGTAATTCAATATATATGCAGGAAGGGTCATAACATTTAACCTTGTACTGAAACCTCTAATCCAGTGGTTCGCAAACTTTTTAGGTTCAAGGTGCCCTTAATATTGCAATACTTTTCTAAAGCGCCCCAAGTCAAGTGTGTGTGTTTGTGGGAAGTGTGTGTGTATGGGGCCGTGTATATGTATAGGGGATAATTATTGTGGGTCTGTGGGGTTGGAGGGTAGATTAATAAATATATATATATATATATATTTTAATTTAAAAAATTGTAATTTTGTTATTCCTCCTCCCTGCTTACTATATAGTTAATGTTGCAAATAGTGTTAAACCTCTTCAGCTGAGGACTTGAGGCATAACATGCTTCACAACATTTCATCTCATTTGACTTTTTTTTTAAATTTGTATTTTATTGAGTTTTCACACACAAAAACACATCTGTATCAAAGTATGAAAGTAATGTGGTACGTCTGTGATACATCAATGACATTTTTTAGTTAGAAAATACTTTATGACACATATATGCCAAATAGTATGCCTTAATGAGGGGATCGTAGCATTATAGGCTAGTGTGGTCTGTTCTGAGGTATCTCCCCCTTCTGTCTACCGGGTAACACTGACCACCAGGGCTGCCATAAAGGATGTTTATTTTGCCTTATTTTATATGGTATATCACTTTTTTTTTGTCTGGTTGTGTGCATACATATTTTGTATTTATTTTTGGTATTAGCTTCTACTGTACAGCTTATTTTTGACACTGAATTGGATACATACATTTAGCTGTATACCCGTACTTACAATAAATAAATATTTGAAATTAAACCACTTATTAAAAGTGACTTGGTTAGATAGATTTGTAACTGACATGTATGCTTTTTAAAGTAAAAAATAAATAAATAAATAAGTCACTAGATTTTATATGAGTATAGAACATTCTTAACTATAAAGGCCCGACTTGGACCCATCACAGAAACCCAAGTTGGACATGGCAAGGTGTATGTTTTCCCAAATAGTTTAAAAATACACGTACTGACAGCATTGAGCTCCCAGCAGGCATACAATTAAACATAAATAAATAGAACTAAATTATATACAGTTGCAATAAAAAGTATGTGAACCCTTTGGAATGATATGGATTTCTGCACAAATTGGTCATAAAATGTGATCTGATCATCATCTAAGTCACAACAATAGACAATCACAGTCTGCTTAAACTAATAACACACAAAGAATGAAATGTTTCCCTGTTTTTATTAAACACACTGTGATTGTCTATTGTTGTGACTTAGATGATGATCAGATCACATTTTATGACCAATTTGTGCAGAAATCCATATCATTCCAAAGGGTTCACATACTTTTTATTGCAACTGTACATTGGGTGTATCTCTGAGGGCTGCTGTGGTCCCCCCCCCCCTCTTTTTTCACAGAGGGCTGGTGAAAGAGGCCAAGCAAATTTGTGGTCCTAGGGGCCTTGTCTAACCCATTTGTCCTTGGTGGTTGCCTAAGATCACGTTATGATTAATCCTGCTCTGCCTAACTCCCATCCTGCATAATTATGTGTGGGGGCATGAAAAGGTTACTACCCAGGCACTTGGCTGCAATACTTGAAAGTGGCTGTCAAGCAGCAACACTTCGCAGTCAGCCATTATCAAAAGGGCATTAAAGCTTAGGCCAGGATGGATAAATGTGTCTTATTTAAAAGTCAGATTAATTTTTCAATGTTTTCCAGCTACTTCAGCTTTATCAAACTATTTGTCCGACTTTCATTCTAAAACGAGATGAACTGTCCAGCCTTTATGGATGGCTTCCAGTGTAAATTTGCATTAATTGGTGGTGGGCTCCTTTTTAAACTTTCCTTCTTGCCGTTGCTAGCATCATATATTATTGACACAAATTGACAGCTATGGGCACAATAGAGTTTGGTGGTCGATTGTTTTCCTAAGGAAATTGTAGGTATCGCTTTACACACTATTATTATGTATATAAAAGTTGCACTAATAAGCTATTCTTTGCGTTCCACAAACTTTCTGTTTTTCCCATTAAAGAACACATCATGGATTTTTGGTTAACATAAATCAAGTGGGATATTAAATAAAAGTTCTTGCAACTGTCTTTTGCTCAAACAAAATACAACTTTGCCCATCAGAAAACAATTCCCTATCATTTCAATATATCTACTACTTCCTTGTTAGATATTCAATACGATGCCTACACAATTTAACTTGACATCCAGTCTCATTTTTTTCCTGAAGAATTAAGGGTTTGGTTTAGATAGAAATTTCTGAAACGTGAACTGAAGTATTTAGGCCAAACTAGACAAATTGACAAAACCTATGTGTATGGGACACAATTTGTGAGCTCCTAGCAGTATGTTTTCACAGCTTTTAATAATACTGTATATGATCCACATGGGTGAGAAATATGTTCTCCATCAGTGATACTGTGTTCTTGATAAGATGCTTGATATTGAAGTTTGCAGGTACAGTTGTAATCAAAATAATTCAGCCACCCATTGAAAATCTAGTTTATTGTAAAAATGTACAGACGTTCAGCGGTTTACAATGAATAAATCAAAGAAGAGCAATTGACATAGCTCAACACAACGAATGCTTCAAGTGATTTCCCCAAATTCAACTGAAAATGCAACTTATAATGACTTCTCCAGTCCCAAAATTATTTATTTTTTCCCCAATATCTCAAGAAGGAACTATTTACTCTACTTGTGTATGGCTGAAAGTTTTCCTAACAGCAGAATCTCATACTTGTGCTGATTAAGTTTGTCAGAATTTTGTCAGCTGGATAAAATTAATCAGACAAACCTAATGGGAATGAAAATGGGCCAACTGGTGGATGGTACACTATTTGATGCATCTTCCCTTCACAGATGAAGTGAGAAATAAAATAAAACAATAGAGGGAAAAAGAGGAGGAAAGTGTATATTTATATATCTATTAAATATAATATATAAATATAGATTTTTTTTTTACTGATCCTTCTTTCTTCCCCTCTAATGGTCACTTCTCTCTTGATGATAATAAAGTCAATATTTAGTAGCTATCCCCCAGCCATCAAGCATTTCTGTTTTCCCATGAGTCATCTCTTTTTTTGGTGCCATTTGTGGAACTCCAAATCATGGGCCAAATGAACGTGCTTTTCCATTGCGCAAGCTGTTTGTTTCATGATTAGTCTTTATGGCAGTTCAGAAAGTATAGTTACAAATATATAAAACCTTATCACCTCTTTTGTTTAGTTTTTACTTACCTTTGGGGCTTAGCTGGAGCCCTACCATTTTAGGTGTGTTGCCTCATTTATATATAGTCTACATTTTGTGTTTGGTTTTTGGGGTGCTAATCCTTTTCGGTCTATTTCAAAAATCGGCTAAATCTGGATGAATCGCAATTTGTAACGAAACAAATCTACAAGTCTACCATTTACCCAAAATGTGCAACTCATCACAGTTCACTCTTTGCTTATATCACTTTTATTTTTTGTATTACAACCCGAATTTGTAGGTGATATTGGCATAATAAATATTAGTTATATGATGTTTAATGTAGCCAGAAGCAATCTCAATGTACCTTAGGTGGCAAATAGTACCATGTCATGCCAGGCCACATCTGGTAGCATTAATATGAACCTCTAATTTTTCTGTTTCATCCAGACCTTCTTGAAGTGGTTGCGTGGATTCTGTGCCAGCCCCCAGTCACTCAGCGTTTAGAATAACATTCTACCACAGATTCTATTTGGTTGTTGCTAATGAAATTTTCCAGAACTCTTTTTGTAACTGTTTCCTTAACACTTTCAATATCAGAATGTCCTTCACTAGCTTCTAGTCCTTCACTAGCTTAAAAATCTTAAACATTGGTCAAGTTGCTCATATATTTTGAAGTGATTACGAAAAAATCTACAAAATTATGCAGCCTTGATGTTATTTGGTTTGGGAACTGTACTATTCCATGGGTGAGAGCCATAAATGTGTATTTTGCTACTATTTAAAGAAATAAAAAAAAATAAAATAAAAAAAAAATATATATATATATATATATATATATATATATTTCTCCTATTGTGGGATGGCCTGCTGTATGTAAAATACAGCAATCTCATTAAAGTTTGCTGGTCGTAATATAATCAAATAAGCAAGCTCTGAGCTCTAGATAATGTGAAATACAAGTCTCAACTTGCTGAGCATGATGTGATTTGCAGTCCACAGTAGCTGAAGTACTGGGGACTGGCTATTCCTGATGATAATGTAGTTTGATGTAATGCTTCGCCACACAGACATTATTCACGGAGCAGCCTGGAAAAAAAAGTTTATGAAAGGCGTTTTCTTCCTGGTAAAACAAGCAGAAAGGTTTTTTTTGTTTTTTTTCTCCTTGAAAGACTAAATGGATCATTTCAATATCAGCCACAGCGTGTAGGTAATGTTTAGCACTGTAGCATTATATAAACATTTGTTGAGCCAGAAAAACATTCGTTTAAAAACTTTAAAAAAATACATGATGGAAAAAAAAATTACTTTGTTTCTTTAACTAATTCATTGCTAAAGGGTTGCTTCAAAGTCAAGAAAGTTTAGCCTTGCTTTTCATCTTCATGATCCAAGAAGGTTGAAACAGCTATTTAGTTTAATGACAACCAATCAGTTGAAGCCCACAGAGAAAGTCTGAGGTTTAACATTTCTCCTTGCAGTACAGGAAGAAAAGGTTAAGGCCAAAGTTGTTTCATTCAGTCAAATAACATTTTTTTTTTTTTTTATGAACATCTGCCTTACTGGGCGGTATTTAAAATGCAGAGACTTGGGCAATTATAATTTACTGGCGAGCATCACAGTCATTGCAGTGCAAAGAGGAGGAAAAAAAAAATAGTGGGAGAGTTCTATGAAATTATTACTGTGACTCCGTTGGAGAGCAGTGAAGGGAATACACACAGGACTTATATGAAATATGGAATGGCCACTGACACTAAATCTGAGGAATAACTCTGCGTAACTGAAACGGTGAAGAAGATATTCAATATTTGGCAATGGTAAGCACTTTCTTTTATTATTTTTTAACATTTCTTTAACGTCCTTCAAGCTTACTTTTAGTGACTTCTAAAATGGACTATGTTTCCAGATGTTTTTAATTCTACAGTAGCTGCAGCTAGTCTCGTGTTATTTTTAATTAAGAAATCAGCGAAAGAATGGGCTTACTATGTGAGTGCAGTAACAGTGCGGAATAGGGTAGAATGTTCTGTGATAAATCACAGGATTCTGTCTCAATGTGTGTTGTGGATGGAGATGTTTAACACAGGAGTATTGAAAAACATCTAAAGTTAGCTTATTCTTAGAAGTTATTAAAGTGTGATGTATAATACTTCAAGCCACCAACACTTCATTCATGGCCATTAACCCATTGACGTGCCAGATCTTAGTTACCTATCTTTCTATACAAGTCAGTTAGAGGCGCACAATTATTTTTAATCACCTCAACAAGTGATGTTATGACATTTGTTATAGAGCATCTGTACTTTCTGCAGATATATAAGAAGATATACAGGAGTTAATAATATAAAATATATTTAATATTCATACATAACGACTTGGTGAAGGATCAAAATATCTGTTTTCTTGCTGTGTATGGTCTTTCATCGATATAGTACAAAAAGCAACTTTATTTAAAGTAGATAATACCTTTCCTCAATTTGTGGATCATATCTGAAAAAAGAAGCTTCTATGAAGACGTGCACTCTAAATCGGGTGAGCAAATAAATGTATCAGAGTTACTGTCATTTTTCCCTGAAAAAACAAGATTAAAAAAATGCATACATTTTCAATTTGGGCAGACTTGCTGAGCCATTTGGTACTTATCTGAGTTAACATTCCGCATCCCACCAGTTATCTACAATGTCAGTGAATACTAATCAACTTAGTAACAGAGGTGGCCACATTTTACCCATCCTTCTGTATGTATGATTTACACAGGACTGTCTGAAGGACATGTAACGTACGGCATAAACTGTGTTTTGGTTGGAGCTTGGATACCTGCACAACTGGTAGATTGTTGTACTTTGTGATAACTGTATAATGGCTACTATATATATATATATACTATAACAGACAGACATGCATGCAGACTGATAGACAGTAGAAATCTTCTCTAAAAACTCTAAAGGGAGCCTGTGAACGGGAACAGAAAGTGAAAGGAAGGAGAAGGAATGTGTTGCTGAAGTTGGCTGATCTGTTCTGATTGACAGCAAAATGATGCCGTTTGAAGTATGGCATACTTGTTTACATCCCGCAGTTGATTATAAGTGGAGGTCTCTGAGAGAAGGACCAAGTGTGGCCATTTCATGAATATACTCCAAACACCATAACCACTTCAGTTCACTTTAGTAGTTATGGTGCTGCTAAGGTCCTGGACACTCCCACTCAGGAGTCAAACTGCTTTTGGTTTGACTTTATAACTAGGGTCCACCAGATGCCACTTCCTGCCTCCATTACCAACAAGCTGGAACTTCTGTTAGCTCTATCATCTAAGCCCTGCGTGTGAGTGGTAGTGGTTGTGGTGCTTAGAGTGTTCCTTTTTTGCCATGTATTCCAAAGCTGGACATTGTTTAATTGATAGTGTGTTTGTTTATTTCAGTGAATATGTGACTCTAGCTATACTTTTCTGAATTGCTTGTAGTGGAGTGAATAGGTAATCATGCCTGTTCACATATTTATTGGTTTTGTTCTGTACTTAAGTAATGTGTTTACTGTACTCAGACTGCATTTTCTCTTGTCTAGAGAGTTTCCAATTTTCCCTACCATCTATAGCGTCTGTAGTGTTATATTATCTGGAGTTTTATTTGCAATAACTGAAAATATTGAATAGAACACTGGCAATGTTTTCTGCCCCTGTATGTTACTAGTGTAGGGTGAAGGAACAGACTGTTGTTTGGCCATTATTTTCTTCACTATTATGTTGACAATGACAAAAAATATATTTTTATTTTTGAAATTTTGGTGAAGTATGAACTTTATTTGGTGAGATTCATCTTAATGACATATCAATTTGGAATTTTCATTGTTATTGTATTTTACAAGCATTTTTTATCCCCAGCCTAAGACAGACAAGTAAATAAAAGCTCTAGAAATAGGTTTCATTGATCAGTAAAAAAAAATCTAAAAAAGGTGTCTCATGTTTATGTACTGTATAGTAAAGATTCTTTAGAAATTACTAACCAATGCATGTCAGAAAAATAAAACATCACTCTAATACAATAAAGACAGGAAGTTGCTCACTGAGTTCAATCCCTATTTAACCTTTGTAAAATGTGCAAACTGCTATAACTGGTTAGAAATACAACATTTATTACTGTAAGTCAGATGATTATCTTAATATTGCATCCACTGAAAACGTCTTCCAGCGTAAAGATTCCTGAAAATAAAATTAGATGTAGATGGATTATCACTCAAACCCAGTGATTATTTACCTACCAATCCACCTGTCCATCCACCCAATTTAAAGGGACACTATAGTCACCCAGACCACTTCAGCTCAATGAAGTGGTCTGGGTGCCATGTCCCCCAGGTTTTAACCCTTCAGATGTAAACATAGCAATGCTATGTTTACATTGCAGGGTTAATCCAGCCTCTAGTGGCTGTCTTCCTGACAGCCGCTAGAGGCGCTTCTGCGACGCTGGATGCGAAAATCGAACGTCCATAGGAAAGCATTGCTCTTGCCACGCATGCATATTCCGCTCCACTCGGGAGCTGATGTTGACGAGGGGAGGAGACGTCACCAGCGCCAGGATTAAAGTAAGTAACTGAAGAGGTTTTAACCCCTTCAGCGCCAAGGGAGGGGAGCCCTGAGTGTGGAGGGGACCTAAGGGTTATATAGTGTCAGGAAAATGAGTTTGTTTTCCTGACACTATAGTAATCCTTTAATATGTTCTATTTCCATAAACTAAAAATAAACAAAATATAGGGGAGAGCGCACCAGAAATAAGTAAAATATTATCATAAATAAAAAATGTTTCATGACGGGAAATAAATGTAAAAACAGACCATAGTATAGTATATTACAAATTCACAATTAAATAATATGAATGTGGTTATCCAACTCACATGTTACTGAGCCACATATAGTAGGCTCAGAATTTTAAGGCTCCAGTCAGATATCACTTTTATAGTTCTCTGGATTCTACCACAGCAGATTTATTTGCAGGATCTTCTTCATACTTTATTTGAATAAACAAGCATAAGGAAAACTTGCAATTAACATGTCTTTTATTGAGAATAAAATACAATTCAAACCGAACATAAAAAAATGTATAACAAATAGCACGATGTGTTTCGACAGTAGGTTTTCTTCATAGATATAGTTTGGCAAGTCCTCTATATTTATAGGCTGGTTGGCGCGCTTTCTGGACTCCTGCTTCCTCATCTATCCATTCTTCTTTTGGCATCCCTTTTTGAGATCTAATATTATTCCACATGTGCTTGGCACATCCTTGTTGCACTTCTGTTAGGGCGCCATCTTTTCTTCAGTTATTGTCATAATGTTTATTATACTCATTGGCAAACTGACTTTTTTCATATGCTTTATTAATCTAGTCCATATAGAATCCAATAGTCTCTTTAAACCAGGGGTGCCCAAAAGGTATATTTCCAGAGCTATAACTCCCATGATGCTAGGCATGCCTTTAGAATGACAAAGCATCATGGAAGGTGTAGTTTTAAAACATCTGGGGACCTACATTTTGGGCACCCCTGCATTAAACAAAATAAATAGAGGCAAGTATTCAATTCTCTCTAAAAAGTTAACAACATATTGTTAAAAATAATAAAAATACTCACACGTTTGACAAGAGATATAATTTAACAATATAATTAAAATTACCACAATATAAATATTATAGTTGAAAATTCCATTTCATTTCACTTATACTTAGATTAAATTCTTTATTGCCTCCTCTCCAGTGAGTTTTTACCTGTTCTATACCAACAAACATTTAAAGCTATCACCATTATGGAACTCAGCAAACTTGAATTATATTTTTCATATTAAGGTAATAAAACTTTTAATTTTATATTTTTTATTCATTTAAAAAAAACTAATTTTCCTGATAGCTTTTTCTTTTCAATGATTAGATCTACATCCCATACAATTTCCACAATGTTAAAAACCTATCTTGTCACTGAAAAATTCTTTAAAATCTCATTTTTTATCTAAAGAAAAATCTTTCTTGCCACTCCTTAAATAAACTTCGATCTTCCCCCTACAATATTGGCAATATCATTGTCCTGTATGAAATGCACCAATTCCTATTTATAAGTTTGCATAGGTCCTTGTTATTAGAACTAAAATTAATTAATAAATGGAACTTCTATTTTTATCTTGTTGATTGATCTTCATTTTAAATTTAGTAGTTGTTTCCCATCTTTTTTGCAAACTTTTCAACGTACATAATCTAAAAAGTCGGGTTTATTACCTTTTTCCAAAATAATTTTTTTTAAATTACTGCTTCTTTATTATATTCTTTAACTTCTGTACAATTTTGCTTTATGTGAAAGTTATCCTTTTGGTATGTTATCAAGCCAGGGTTTAAAATTACAGCTTTTTAAATCAATAACCTATTTACATCCACTTGTTTAAAAAAAAGATTTGACTTTTAATTTCATCAATAAATCTAGTATATTGGGGCATTTAACATTTATTTCATAATATAGTATAATGTTCCAGTCATTTTTATTAAACAAATTTTTAACAAATCTAGTAGAGAACTTTAACTCCCTTTCCAGATAAAACATTTTTTAATCTATATATCTTTTCTGAAGGAGCATGTTTAGCCCCCAGCCATGATTAGAAGAAAAAAAGTAATTTTCCCCATAAGACATAAATAAATTAGCAAGGCTTTGGGCAAACGTGGTACCCATACCTGTCCCCCTGAGTTGTAATAACAATTATTTTCAAATCAAAAGAATCATATCAATTCCATCCAAAATGAAAGCATCAGTGTTTGTACTTTATTTTATTTATTTTTTGAAACATTACTTTTCTCATTACTGATGATCGTAGCCAATCAAATGCTTACCCATTGGGAAGCATTGGAAGGCTTCTGCAAATGCATTAGTTTAATGCATATCTTTAGTGAGCATTGAATGTCTTCATGCAGATTGTGAAGGCACTGAATATTGGATCTGCAAAGATTGGAGAACCACATCAGGAAGGGCCTCCAGTAGCTGTCAGAGCATGTTTAAGAAAAAAGAAGTCTTTACATTTGAGAGACTGCAGGAACAGTGTCTTTTTTAAGAACCACAACATTAAGCTGTAGTAGTTCTGGTGTTTAATCGGATACCGTATTTGATAACCCTTCCATTTACCATAATATGAAATTAATCTCAGATGGATCGAGGTCTAAACACTGTCAAGAACATTTTTAGGGTGAACTGAAACCCCTGTCATGCTTGTGGAACCACCTTGAGATTTAGGCAAACATTTGGACATGGCAAAGGATCCTAATGAAAGTATTTCAGTTTTAAGTAAATGGAAGAATTTATATTACGTTTAATTGGTATGAAAGGATCTTTTAATTTATGCCAAAACATATTCCCCACAACAATACGCCCAGCTGATGTCCTTCAGTTTACAATACTGATATTAATCAATATAGTTCCTTTTGTATTGATGTTACAGCAAAACTCGAGACTCGTCAATTCAGGTAAAATTTTTCCAATCATTTTTTGTCCAGTTCTGGCAGTTGTATCCACTTTAGTCTCAACGGAAGCAGAACCACACTTAGTTTTCTTCTGCTTTAGCTAATCCAGTCCAGGTCTGATTAATTGTGCATTCAGAGATTCCGTTCTGCATGCCAGTGTTGTAAAGAGTGGTTATGCAAGCATTCTGTCCTTTCTGTCAGTTCAAACAAATCTGCACATTTTACTCCCACCTCTTCATCATTAACAGGGTGCTATTGTGCACAGAACTGCTGCTGACTGAATGGTTTTGTCTGTCATACCATTTTCTGTAATCTCTAGAGGCTATGGTCCTTGGATATCCATGAGGTCAGATATTTCCTGGAACCACCATATCTCTTACCAACAAATCATACTACTGTTAAAGTCGCTTACATAACTTGTCTTGCTAATGTCAACAGCTGAATATCTTGAGCATATCTGCATGCGCTATTGAGTTGCAGCAAAGTGATGCACTGTTAATTTATAAAGGAGTGCGTATGCCCAATAAAATGGTCAATGAGTAATTATATACATGTAGACACATATTAAGCCACAGATGCAATGTGAAACAAACTCATGCATGGCAATACACTCATGATGCTGTTACTTAACATCTGTAAAATATTTTCTACATTTTAAGAAAAATTAAACAAGAGAGGCATAATTTTCCATTATTTCCATTTAGTACGCAGAACTTCTAAGACCAAGTTCTATGACTATGGCTGAGTTTACTATGTCAGGAAAAGTGTCATAACTAAGGCCTTTAGGTCCAGAGCAGATTTTAGCTTTTAGTGACCTCAGGTGGCTGCCTTGGACCCAGTGGTTACACAGGGGTACCAGAACGAGGAATTTCCTTGGCCCCATTCATGTGAAGAAGGTGGGAGAGGGGGCAAACTGGTAACTTTCCAAAGGCCCCGTGGGATATTAAACTTTCTCTATTAATGTAATTTAAAAACATGCAGATCACTTCAAATTATTTGAAAACTATAAAACAGAAAAGTTGTAGAAAACTGGATTACTTATTCCTGTAAATATGGTTTTCGACATCTGTCATTAGATGAAAAAAACATACATTTTAAAAACAGCTCTGGTTGAATCTTGACTTTCAGTATATTCTATTATATGACAATGGGAACGATGTAGCTATGATTCATGTAAAAAGTTATGTAGCTGGGAGTTTACATATGTGATGTTGATAGCCAATTCCCTGAATGTTGAATGGCTTGTTTGTGAGTTAATCTCAGTGCTGGGGAAGCTGAAGATGCACCCCAGTTACCTTTTAGAGGTGGGATAAGTGTAAATTGACATAGGTAAATGGATATATTGACTAAACAGCCAGGTATGGTGAGTTTAGAATGTTATTTTCACATCACATCAGCTTCCTGTTAAGCTAACTTGGTTCCTCACCTTAGGTGTAGCTGCATAAAATATTTTTTCTACTGTCAATATATATATATATATTTATACATGTATGCGTTTTTCCTATGAAGATAAATATCAGTTATTTAGACTTTATTAGTATGCTGTAGTTTTTATGGTGCCAGGATTGGAGAGCTGCAGTGCACTACAATGCAGGCTAGCTCATTTGTTGAGAGCTTCAGTTGATCAATCTCAGCCCGTGAGCTATTAGTGGAGGAAGGGAGCAGTTCCTACATTACTCTGGTAGGATGTGAAACTGTTAAAAATGAAGGGGTACCAGGGCATTCCTAGCACCATAACAACTACGTGCTCTATGTTGCTTGTATCTTACAACTACTGTGTCTGCAAAATTAAAAGATACTATTATCATATTTAATTATTTTGTTCTACATCCAGATCACATAACTTTGCCTTAGGACTTTGCCTTTTGTGCATCAGATGTTTCTAGTATCCTGTGGTCACATCAGCTGCCCATGAAGTCCTAGCTATCTATGGCAGGCCAGAGGTGTCTGTTAAGGTGAAATTCTAGCTGATGTCCTTGGTTTGCCCCACTGATTAGTCCTGTTACTCTGCCCTGCTCTGTAACATGTGTTAAAATTGCAAGCCTTGCCTTAGATGGGCATCCATCATTTTCCTATTGTTTGTCTTTCTAAAGCAATACTGGTTGCTCAATACCATTTTATTTTGGCATTCCTTGTTTCTGTTCTAGGTCTTCTTCTGTTCCCACTGTACACTGCTGCTCTGGGTGATCTGATCAGTTTCTTCAGGTTTCAGTAACATATTTGTGTTCATGACACCCATATCTTCTTTTTCCCTCCCTTAACTTTTCCTTTACATTGTATTACCAGCTTCCTCTCCTCCATCTCTGACTAGATGACTCCAAGACTTCTCTAGGGCTTGCGCCTGGCAGATTTCAATTTCCAACTCAATTAGACTTTCCACTAATCTTCATCAATCATTAAAAACCCATTATTTTATGTAGGCATAATGCCAATCCAATTAATGTATTTACTGTCTCATGTTCCTGCTTTTACTAGTATTCTACCTTAATTATATAATATTGCCAGACTACACTGCTAATACACTTAGAAATGCACGTGTACTCTACCGTTACCTTGTGTGTAAGTTTACCCACTTCCATTAGATTGCAAGCTCATATCAGCAGATCTCTCACTACCTATGTTTTATAAAGAGACACTGCAGGCACTGTAACTAATTCATCTCATTACTGTGGCTATAGTATCAGAAGTTCCTTTGTTCTGTCCTTCCATTTTTCATTAAAAAGATACTCCAACCACCATGACCACTTCTGCCTTTAGAAGTGGCCATGGTGCAAGCATGCCACAAATTCAAACACACACACACTATATCCACTACATATACATATGTAGTGGATATATATACACAGACACACACACACACACACTACATCCTTAAACACACTCTTACACACACTTCATCCCTTACACACACACACTGCATCCACTATGCACACCCTGCATCCTTGTCAGTGGCTAAAATTATAACACCGTCCCTTTTTATTATTAAATATATAACTAACAATATTAGTGATTGACTGCATTACCATGTGGCTCAATGTCCTATGATTAAAAGTCCTTATGACCAAAAGTCCTGTGAATAAATGTATACAGACCATTAGCTCTATCACTGATATAACAATATACACATCAAACTGAGAAATATTGATCAAAAGGAAATTTAATTATTTTATGCAGGGTTTTTGACTAAAGTCTGAAAGGCTAAAGTAATAAAATGGGGCAAAATCACTTGGCTGCATACAAGGTCATTCGGACTGCAAAATGCAGAAAGCTTCAAATCTGGACTCAGATTTTTAAAAAATCTATTTACCCACTGCCTGCGCTGACCTTGTGAATGTATGAATAGGATGGAATCTTGGCTTTAAGGGAAAGGTTCATGTGGGCTTCTTTGGCCCTGAAATGGATAGCAAACACCAGAGATGAGGGACGTGCTATGTCCATCTTCTAATCTCAAATATTTATTTAGATCCATACATATAGGCTGGGGATGTCTTGTCCATATTTCTCTGTATTTGCTTGTTTTATGTTCTTATTTTATTTATTTTATATATTTTTTTTCTTTATAATAATTTTATATTTTTTTTTGTACATTGCTTTATGTTGGTTAGTATTGAAAATTAAATTAAATTTATATAGGAAAAAAAGCAACAGCATACAGTTTACATTTCAAAAATATAATTCTGTCACGTTAATTTTCACTATATAATTTCCTTTTAAGTTTTATGCTTAAATGACACATATCCCATTATTGTATATTCAAATTAGATAAACAACTTACAAAACAGACCTTTTATGTCTCAGTTATGAAGTGCAGCATTGATGAACATTGCCTTGCCCACGCCAGTCCTACTACATAAGAACTTAAAGCCAACATTCACTCTCCTACAGACTGTGGTCTCAAATACTCATATTTAGAATGCCTGCATTGGTTTACAAAGAAATGTTTTGTTAATCATGAGATTGTGTGTGTCAGACATATGACATGCAGTTCAGAACTTGCAAACCTTAGAGGGGGTCAGATTCAATTTCATTCAAAAGAGAACATTTAAAGCTTTTTGATTCTAATTTTAAAGGTAGTTTTTAGAACAAATCTCATTCTTATAAAGTCTATTTCATTAGCAAGGTATCTATCTGTCTGTCTGGCTGTCCGGGTGGCTGGCTGACTGTCTATCATTACAATTAAACATGTAACTAATTTTACACGATCACCTTTGTAGCGGACTCTGGGTAACCCGACTGGTTACCTCTGCTAGTTCTCCTCTCAGCCAGATTGGTACCGTTGTGTGATTAAGCTCGTATCCCCCCAGTAACTAGATGAGGCATAGTTCTGGTAGTCATCTGATTTATTCAGGCCAAACACTCTTAATTTATACACAGACCCCCAGCATGGGGTCTCCATACAGTAACACAGCAAGCCACTTCCTGTCGTCCCTTTGTCTTGGAGATAATTGAGTCAGAAAACTATAACTCAATTATCTTTACGTTACAGGGAAACATACAGAATATTTATAAAATTCCCCAATAGTATCCCCAATATTAACAGGAACCCCCCCCAACCTGGCCAAATAGTGCTCCGATCCATTCGGTAGAATAGAATCGCCACTGGGGTAAAGAGCTGACCGGCTGGTCACGATAGCCCAAAAAAGTTCCATGGAAATGGTCTCTGTTTGGGGGTTCCTGTGCAAACACCGTACAAGGTATTCTCCTGGTTTCAGGGAGCAAATGCTCCCCCCAGTCGGTAGTTCAAATCTCTCGAACGTTGTTCGAATAGCTGGTCAGGAAGTGGGGTGGGCAGCAGTACAATCTTTGACGGGGTTCGTGCAAGTGCATGGGGATGTCTTGTCCATAATAAGAGTTCCAGGCACTCGACGACTAAGTACCGCTGCCTGCGTTCAGGAGACAAAATGACTAGGAGACGCATTCATTTATTATTTTGCACTTAAGTTAACCGGTGTTAAAGTTCTAATGGTGTGGTCCTCGTTCAGGAGTCGAATACAGCGGGTATAACTCCTGAAAATATGAACGATTAAATAGTCGAAAGAAACAATACGTTCCGCCACAACCTTCATAGTGCATTTCAGATCACAAGTCTTTCCTGTTTTCCTTTTTTTCCAAACTCTCTTATTCTGAATGGGTCCCTACATCATGGCAGAACCACCACCATGTTTGGTTTGTTAGAGAGAGCTGCAATTCTTGACAGAAGCTTTTAAAAGAGCACAAGGTATATAGATACATACTCAAAAAACAAGGAAGGCCACTCATAGGATTTGCTGTAGAAATGTAGAATATTTAAAGGTACACTATAGGATCAGGAAGACAAATATGCATTCCTGACCCTATAGTGATAAAACCACTATTTAAATGGCTTGCTCCCCTTTACCCCACTAAAGGTAATAAAACTTACCTTATTTATATTTTTTGTCATTTTGTCTTTGGATCTTTGTTTTTCTGGATGGGCTGAAGTATATGTGATTTGGACAGGTTGCAGGACAATGAGATAGTACCCCAGGAACTTTACTTAATAGATTTTCCATCTCTCTGTGCCCTCAGAGTATTAGAGCATTTACCTCAGTGCATATGAGAACTGACAGGCAGTATTTTATATTGTATATGTATTTATTTGCACTTTATATTATGTGTATAGGTTTACAGGTATTATGGTGGTTTGGCACTTAGCACTTTATATTGTTATATGCACTTTCTCTTTGGTGGACAGGCTATTGAGCTGTTGTGTCTAATTTTTTGTCTTATTTTTTTATTATTTTGTTTTATAGGTTACTTTTGGACTTTACCAATAGTAAATCATTTTGTATTAATAAACTATATTTTGCACATGTTCTCAGATTTTAAGTGTGGTATCATTTGGTATTTGATTTAATGTAGTTCGGGGTCTTTGGAGGTGACCCCGATACCTGCACCTATGTGACTGAGTGCAAGCACACTTTGCAAGTTTTTGGTAAAATTTTTTAGCTATAGCCTGCTCTTTCATTAAATAAAACAGTGAGGATTTTCCTACAGCAAGTCCTGTGAGTGCACTTCCTTTTTGTTGATTGTGTTAGCTGGCTGGAAGTTGCATTGGGGTAAATCATTTTAATTTATTAACAACAGTGCTAGATACATTTGACACATTATCAATCACTATTTAGGCATTTAAAGATACACTCTAAACCTCTAATGCACTTTAGCTTGGTTTGGCATGACATGACTAAAATTAATAAGGGATTGCTGTAACAAATTGCTGTTTTGTCCAGGATGGGATGAAGCTTCTGGAAACAGCGATACATTATATGTTATTCAACATAATACAGTTAGTTTTACAGGTGATTTACCATTAATTGTAATGTAAAATATAGGTTAGAACTTGTAAAATGTTAGGGGTAATGACAAGTGAATAGAGTATGATTTAACTGGCACCGCTGAGTATATAGTAAAAGAAACGAATAAACAGGAACATTGAAAAGCAAAACTAAAGTATTAAAATATTGGTGGATTCAAATCAGAAATCAGTAAACTGGTTAGTAAAGAGTTGGAGAAGGCAGAGTTGGAGAAGTAAGAATACACATTTGTATTCCTAACATTATAGGATCCCTCTGCCCCCTCTCACCCTGCACCCCATCCCTGCAGAAAATTAAGGTGTAGATCCAGGAGTACTTAGGGAATTTAGTCTAGTGCAGGGATAGGCAACCTTTGGCACTTCAGATTTTGTGGACTACATCCGCCATAATGCTCTTATACCCATAATGCTGGCAAAGCATCATGGGAGGTGTAGTCCAAATCATCTGCAGTGCCGAAGCTTGCCTATGCCTGGTAGAGTAATAAAAAGCTAAAAAATATTATTTTTTTCTATGTGATGCTAAATTTTGGTATAGAGTTGTGTGCTCATATTTATGAATGTTTCTAAATCTTGGATTGGAAATTTAAAACCTGTTCATTTAATATCTATATTTTATATGAATTGTTAAGGGATAATATTGAGTTGAAATAAAGGCTAATATTTAAAGGTGTGTTTTGAACAACAATATTAATAGTAGATGTCATTATAGTTTTATGATGGACAGATCATGTAAAAAACAAATTAATTATGTACTTTGAGGACATGAGTAAACACAAACATCACAAGTCTGCATTGAATGTTACCACCATTCTGTAAAATTCTAGCCAGAATGATCTGTATAAATTTAATGGGGAAATGTTCAGAGGCAAATGTTTACTTTGGGAAATTCTGTCTTAAAGAGATATTAAAAGTATGTATTTTTAATGAAACATTCCTTATTTGTTATTTACACTTCATGTTTTCATGCTTGTATGCATGTATGTGGGTACAGTCTCTCTACTTCAGTATATCTGTCCCTCACCCACATGACAGCACAGTTCTTCAGCTTGACTGTGCATCAGAGATAAGAATAGCAACACTTAAAGGAACACTATAGGGTCAGGAACACAAACATGTATTGCTGACCATATAGTGTTAAAAACCACCATCTAGTCCGCCCTGACCCTCTTGGCTCCCTAAATATAGTACAATCTTACTTGTATTCAAGTCTGCTGCTGCTGCATCTGACACTGATCTGCCTGCTTGGCTGGCATCATTAGAAGTGATTCTGTGAGCCAATCACAATGCTTTCTAATAGGATAGGCTGAGACTGTCAAGGAGGCAGATCAGGGGCAGAGCCAGCACAAGTAAAACACAGCCCTGGTCAATCAGCATCTCTTCATATAGATGCATTGAATCAATGCATCTCTGTGAGGAAAGGTCAGTGTCTCCATGCAGAGGGTGGAGACACTGAACAGCAGTGCTGCACACTGTGCAGCACTGCCCCAAGGGAGCACCTCCAGTGGCCATCTGAGGAGCAGTCAAACTGCATGGCAAGGTTAGGGACACAATACAATTATGCCCAGAACATTGAATACAGGTATCCGCCATAAAGTACTATATCTCGAGAAGCGGGAGGGCTGGGTTGGGTGCTTTTGTATGTCACACACTGATGTTATAAACACATAGTAAAAAAACACAAAAATATGTAATGAAAATTGTTCGCAAAATTATTACAGGTGACATACAAGTAATTGTAACAGTTCCTGATATTCTATTTAATAATTTTGTTAAAAATCTTATTTAGTGCTTGTGTTTTATAGAGAATAGTAAGTAATTTTTAATTACAACTAAACTGCTCACAGTGTACCTTCATAAAATAGCACCAAGAGTTTTCTCAAATAAGATAAAATATTAAAACAGAGCTGTTCAGGGTCTGTTCTAAGTCCACATTTATTATTTTGTTATTAATATTCTTTTATGGTGCATCAGAAACCACATCACATAATCTACATTATGATGAGGTAGCTGAAGTAATGATGTCAGACCAGGATGTTTAATATGTTCTGTGTTGTAATTGCTGTGACGAAGTATTGTTATTCACACCTATATTAGTGTGTTACTAAGTAACTATTTTTAAAAAGCCTTTACATGTCTACCAACAAGGGACATAGTTACTCTTCATAGTTAATCTACTAACAAACATAGCCAATTACGTGTTTAACTTGTAGAATATCTGAATCATGTTACAAACCTGAGATCACAACTGACATGCAAAACTATAAAAAAATAAATGGTTTTATATTTTACGTTACCATCACTGCTAAAAAGAAAATTACCTTGTTAAAATGATTGGAAAAAAGATGCATCCAATATTATTTCTAACAGACACATTTCCCATTAGCTTGCACAGAACTCAGTTACTGGGTGTAGTACATTTCCATTTGGAAAGAACATTAACCTGGCACCATGGTAGCAGACAGAAAAACATTCCGACTACATAAATGACAACTTCAGATGTTAAAATGCCTCTACCCATCAAAAATAGATTTAGCTTAAGTTATCATTACACTTACAATGGCATGGATTGGAAAATGTACATTACATTTTTCAGTGATATATATCTGACCAGGTGCTGAAACCATCATGACAGCATGATGAACGATGCAGAATACTGGTATTTATTTTCCTAGTGAAGTATTAGAATAATGCATCTCTGTGTGAAGCATTCTCATTGAGAAGCATTGTATTGGATCGCCTCTACTGAAAATCTAATAGGGGGCAAAGCAGTTGCCATGGTGAGATAAGTACAGCACTGTATTAAATAATGAGTTTATCTTCTTTCATAAATTCTAAAACAATGTGTGGGGGTTAGGGTCTTTGGTAGGTGGATAGATGTTGTAGTGTGTGGGTAGTGGTGGGGATGCAGAGCCAGTAGTGTGGGTAAAGGTGCTGTGGTGGGGGGGGGACAGGTGCTGTTTAGGGGGTAGGAGCTGTGGTGGATACAGCCTGTAGTGGGGAGATAGGAGCAGTATTGCAAGGACAAGGGCTGTGGTGGTGGTGGAGGGGATAAATCCTGTAGTGGGAATAGGGACAGTAGTGGGAGGACAGGGGCTGTGGGGAGAAATAGGGACTGTAGTGGAGGGATAAAGTGGGGGGATTGAAGATGAAGGGCTGCTTAAAAAAATATGTTTGATTTAAAAAAACAAATATATAAAAAAAAAAACTAAAGTGTATTCACCCATCCCTGATGCTTACATTGCAGACAGCTCCTTCTAACACTGGGGGATTGTTTCAAAGTACTGCCATGGCAACCCATGGCAAAACTGTGATACAATAAAAATCTTCTCTGTACTTAAGCGTGGACCCTGTCAGTGAGCTCCCTTGTCAGCTTTGCCTCACGGCAGTAGAATCTTTGATCTGCCCACTGGTCATGCCACCTTGTTTGCCTGCCGCCCCGAGACCTTATGACTAACCCGGCCATGTGGCCAAGGGAGGCCGGGAACAGAGGAAAATATTTGCATGGATATACTGAAATGTTGGTTGAAGCTGGTTTTGATGTTTATGATCTTAACGATGAGAAACTCTTCCTTCAAATGTGGACGTGGAGCCTTCTTTAAGCCCACAAACTTTGTTGCAGTATGTGCCACCCTGGCCTAGCATTATTTTTTCTTTGGATTCTGTGAGGGTGTTATTAACATGAAACTATGGGTTTGTTTAATAAATGTGTGAGTAATACTGATTTTCTGTTTTTTTCCCCTAAAACCCTTTTGCAAAACAATTTGCACTCATGGAATGCCAGTTCCAAAAGCACAGTTTTGGGTGCATTCAACACACGAGTTATTAACTTTTTATATAGTTTTTTTTTATAGTTTTATTTTGAAAATGTTGTGTTTGTTCATAATAATTAAGGATTTTTTTCACCTTTTGGCAGGATAATCAGAAAGATACATTATGACAGACTTGTACAAGGCTACTGGAGCATTCCAGAGGTAAGTTCTTCTATTCAGATACATTTTATTTGTAAGCACATACGAGGTGACAAACCATAGTAAAGTCTCACAGGACACGCCAGGTATATATGTGCAAGAATGTATCTGACAGAGTATGACACAAAACATCACACTGATTATTTTTTTTGTAATGTAGTTTTAGTAAGTAAATTAAACAAAATGTATAATTGTTCCCCTCCTTGTCACCCTCTGTATGAGTAACTCCTTTCACATGGGTTTTCTACATGAATTTTCAATTTTCTTTTTGTCATTACCTCCTTATATATCTATCCCTCTTCATTTTTTTCTTCATCCCCTCTTCTGCATCAGACCTTTCGCCCTTTGATTCTCCGACAGTGTCTCTTTTCCTTTCGTCAACCTCGCTTCATTTGCTAACGTTTTAGCTTAAATATCCCTTCTTTATTAACTTCTACTACTTCTGCTGGAAGGTTAGACCATGTATCCACCTTTCTTCCCAGTGGAATAAATATTTCTACATTTCTACACTTTGAATTATATATATATATATATATTTTAGTATTATTATTTTATTATTTTTATTGTATTATTTATATAGTGCCAGCAAATTCCGTAGCTCTGTACAATGGGTGGACTAACAGACACATAATTGTAACCAGACAAATGGATGCACAGGAACAGAGTGGTTGAGGGCCCTGCTCAATGAGCTTACATGCTAGAGGGAGTGGGTATAAGTAGGGGTAATGAAATAGGTTGCTAGAAAAATAATCACTGGGAACTTAGGTTAGTTTTGATAGTTGCAGGAGAGGAGTCATGGGGGGAAGGGGATGAAAACCTGCTAACAGTTTAAATGATGTGCTTTCCTAAAGAAGTGTGTTTTCAAAGATTTTTTAAAGGAGTGCAGACTGGTTGAAAGTCTAACGAAGAAGGGAAGGGAGTTCCACAGAAAAGGTGCAGCCTTGGAGAAGTCTTGGAGGCAAGCATCAGATGTGGAAGTACGGAAAGAGGATAGGCGTAGGTCTTCGGCAGAGCGCAGGGCCCTCAACGGGACATATTTGTGTATTAGGGAGGTACACACATATATATATATATATATATATATATATATATATACACACACACATGATACATACCAATGGACTGTGTATTATGGGAAAAATTATGACATCAATGAGTTATGGAGACATCATAAACCACTTTGCCAATTTCAACTTATTGGGCACTAAGATGGTAACTCTAAATTATTGTCATGTTATTTTAGTACTGTTCATTTCAGCACTGTTTGTGCTACAATTTTATTGGTGAGGGTTAGAAATTAGAGTTTTATTGTATGTTGAAGAAAGGTAATTTAATGTCATACAAATGGCTATATATAAAAAAAATCAACACAAGTAATTGTATACACATATGGATGTTGCAGGGTTAAATCAGGGTTTTATTGTAATATATTTATTTTCTAATCTTATTTTCAGCCATCATGATCCCAACTTGAAAACATTATAAAAATAATAAAAAGCTGACATGCCTAGTAAACATGATCACGAGAGAGGAAGTATCTTTAACTCCTCTCTTAGAATGGAGCGACAGAACAGTACTGGAAAAAAAAATAAAAAGACAAAAAACTTTCGCTCCATCTCCAAGTCTCTAATTCTCTGCAACGCTAAGAACAGTGATGATGGGTCAAGCCTGGAGGAGAAATACACTGAAATAACAGAGATACCACAATCCAGCATACAAGCATCTGAGTCACTAGCAGCTGATCCGATCCAAAATTCTAACTCAATTCCAGATCCCATGATCAGGAAGTTCATTCTGTCAAAATCTGCTTCAACTGATAGAACTCCCAGTAAACCATCTTATAAGGTAAATGGAATTAGTATGGGCTTGATTTTTTTACAACAATATAAGAATGAGTAAATTCTTTGAAATGTCTTTGTCTCTGGATTAATTCAAGCAGATAGCATAAATGTACTCATTTTTACACACATGAACACACATCCAAGTTTACACTTGTAAGCCATTGAAAATTGGGGCAAATTTCTTATGGTATAGTTTTCCAAAAAAGTGAAATTGGTTGTTGTAAAGTGTTGACAATTTTACTGATCATAAGGCTGCTGTACTGAACACAGTTAACACATCCAGGGTCAAACCTTGAATTGTAAATGTGTGTGAAAACATTCTATCATACTACTTGCATTGAAAGTCATGTTTCAGTGTTTGCAGATGACACAAAACTCTGTAAAATAATACAATGTGTGCAAGATATTACTTTGCTGCAGAAGGATTTAGATAGACTGGGGGACTGGGCACTCAACGGCAGATTAAATTTAATGTTGAAAAATGCAAAGTTATGCACTTCAGCGTAAAGAATACACAGGATTTGGGGATTACCTGGATGTGTCTAAGGTGTTTAGAAAAAGGGAAAAAAAAACACCTAAACACCTTAGACACACCCAGGTAATCCCTAAACCCTGGACTGGTAGGGGGTCCTGAGGACTAACGTTGAGAACCCCGGTACTAGATGCATAATTGCAAAAACAGAATATTCAATGATATAATCTTTCAATGTAGGGTAATAACTGCTTGATCCAATGATAAATCTGACTGCCATTCTGGGGTCAAGAAGGAATTTTTTTCCTAGCTGGTTGCAAAACTGTGCTTCAAACTGGGTTTTTTGCCTTCTTTTGGATCAACAGCAAAAAACAAATGTGAGGAAGGCTGAACTTGATGGACGCAAGTCTCTTTTCAGCTATGTAACTATGTAACTATACTTACAATCAATTTTTTTTACTGTAGTTAAGGGAGCACAAAAATAGCTCTAGGTTAATGAAGTATTTTTGTTGTATATGCCATGCCCCTGCAGTCTCATTGCTCAATTCTCTGACATTAAGCAATTAAATGATTTTAGTTTAGTTTTTTTCAGGTCTATCCACACCTAGCATACCTGTAACACATTGTCAGGGCTGTAAATCCACTTGCAGCACTCACCCTCAATCCTTCGCCGCCCGCGGTCTCCCCTTCCCCTACCTGTCGGCGAGCAGCGTCCTCACTGCTGTATGCGCCGCTCGCGTCCTCCTCCTCGCCTCCCAGTGGCAGCATGTATAAGGCTGCATGCTGGGAGCCCGTGCATTTATGCAAACGCCGGGGTCAGTCACGTGACCCGGCGTTAAAGCCACAGTACCATAATCACAGAGGGAGGTGTAGATATCTCCCACGTGTGATTGTTAATTCTGATTGGAAGTTATCCAATCAGAATTAAGCAAAGGATTTATATGCTTACCTTTCCTGTCTCTCAGTGCCCTGTTGTGGTCTTGTGATACCTGTAGTGCAGTTTGCTCGTGTTTCTCTCTGGTTACCGATTATTTGGCTTGTTATTTCGATTCTCCTGTATTCTCCATTCCTCTGACCTCGGCTTGTTTCTCGTTCTCCTGTTTTCTGTCTCCCTTTACTTGGCTTGTCTCCTGACTATTCTTAGTGTGCTTTAACCCGGCCACTCTAAGGACCGGTATAGCACCCTTCCTCTCTGTGACCTGTTAGCGTGTTAGGTTCCCGAATCGTGACATTACAACAGGGCCACCATGGAACCTGCTGACATTCCACAGCTGTTAGTGAATCAGGAGGCTAGAATGGATGGTTTAGACCACCGTATGGATCAGTTTGCCCAGGCTTTACAAACCATACTGGCTCGTACTGCCCACTTGCAACCTGCCGTTCGAGAAGCTGTTGCTGCTGTGCCAGAACCCATTCCAGATCCAGTACACGTTCCTGCTCATGTGGTTCACATGACGCCACCACAGCACTATAGCGGTGATCTAGCATTGTGTCATGGTTTCCTCAACCAAATTGATATTCATTTGGTGATGAATCCTCGTTCCTACCCCACTGATAGAACCAAAATTGCTTTTTTAATTAACCACTTGTCCGGGAAAGCTTTAGCATGGGCTAATCCCATGTGGGAGAATACGTCCCCAATGTCCTTTGCAGACTTTTTGACTGCTTTCAAACGCACATTTGATCAACCCGGTAGGGTTGCTTCTGCTGGCAAAGCTCTGCTTAGGGTCCGACAAGGTAATAGATCAGTAGCGGATTATACTATTGAATTCCGCACTCTAGTAGCTGAAGTGGTTTGGAATAACGACGCCCTCGTAATAGCCTTTCAGGAGGGTTTGGCCGCTTACATACTAGATGAAATAGCATCCAGGGAATTGCCTCTTCTTCTGGATGATGTAATAGATTATATCATTCTTATTGACAACCGTATTAGAGAGAGGCGTAATCAAAGAAGGATGAATACACAGGGGCCACCTGTTTTACCCAGTACTGCATTACTAGCATTACCTCCCCCTAATCAACCATCTCCCGAACCCATGCAATTGGGTGCTATAGGGTTAACTGAAGCTGAAAGAGCGTATCGCAGAAGGGAGGGGTTATGCCTTTATTGTAGAAAGAGGGGGCATCTCCGAAGAAACTCCTAATTTGCAGGGAAACTTCAGCACCTAAGGCCTAGAGAGGGGTCGGCCTCGGTTGTTATGACTTTTTCCCCTCATGTGTCGATCTCCAGACCGTTTATTACGGTTACTCTTTTGGTCAATCAAACCACTATAACAACCAAAGCCTTGATCGATTCAGGTGCTGCAGACAACCTTATGGATGAGAACTTTGCTAAAACTGCAGCCTTGACTCTGATCCAAAAGGCCACACCCTTGGCCGTTGAGGCCATAGATGGTAGACCACTTGAAAAACCTCTGGTGACCCATGAAACCCAAGAAATGGTTATGACTGTGGGTGCCTTGCATAGGGAAAGGTTAACCTTCCAAATAATTGACTCCCCTACAGCTTCCATCGTTCTGGGTTTTCCCTGGTTAGTTAAACACAACCCAGTACTTGATTGGGGTTGTTTAGATATACTCTCCTGGGGGGAATCTTGTCAACGAGACTGAATGGCCTGTATACGTTCTGTTTGTTTACTCAATGTGCCCACAGCTAAACCACTTTCTGTTTCTATCTCTTCTGTGTATGCAGACCTCGCATTAGTTTTTGAAAAAAGGGAGGCTGATAAGCTACCTCCACACCACGATTATGACTGTGCCATAGACCTGTTATCAGGTACTATGCCCCCCAGGGGTAAGGTCTACCCACTTTCTGAGAAAGAAAATCAGGTCATGGAGGAGTACATACGGGAATCCTTACGTAAAGGTTTTATCAGAAGGTCCTCCTCTCCTGCTGGTGCTGATTTCTTTTTCGTTGCCAAGAAAGAGGGCGATTTGAGGCCATGTATAGACTACAGGGGTCTGAACAATATAACGGTTAAAAACGCTTATTCTATCCCTCTCATCACTGAGTTGTTTGATCGTGTTAAAGGTTCTAAATATTATACTAAACTAGACCTCAGGGGGGCTTATAACCTGGTTCGTATAAAAGAGAATGATGAATGGAAAACAGTGTTCAATACACGCAGTGGGCATTACGAGTATCTAGTCATGCCTTTTGGACTGTGTAATGCTCCTGTTGTGTTTCAGGACCTCATAAATGATGTCCTTAGAGATCTACTGTATATCTGTGCCGTAGTCTACCTTGATGACCTAATTGTATATTCTCCTGATTTGAAGTCACACCATACTCATGTGAGGATGGTGCTTAAGAGATTGTTGCAGAACGGTCTTTATTGTAAGTTAGAGAAATGTTTATTTGACCAAAAATCTGTACAATTCCTAGGGTATGTCATTTCTGAACAGGGATTCAGCATGGATCCTTCTAAATTAGAAGCCATACTGTCTTGGCCTCTTCCCCAAGGACTTAAGGCAATACAGAGGTTTATAGGGTTTGCCAATTATTACCGGAGGCTTATTAAAAACTTTTCATCAATTATTTCTCCAATCACAAAACTGACTAAAAAAAGTTTGCACCCCAGGGTTTGGACTCCTGAAGCCCTTAAAGCCTTCGAGACTCTCAAAAAGGCATTTGCCACTGCCTCTCTGCTACACCATCCTGATCCTTCCCTTCCCTTTGTTATGGAAGTAGACGCTTCGGAATCAGGTGTAGGAGCAGTGTTATCACAGAGACAATCGTATACCGAACCCCTCCATCCCTGTTGTTACTTTTCTAAAAGGCTGTCTGATTCGGAAAAGAATTATGACGTCGGGAACAGGGAGCTATTGGCTATTGTGATGGCTTTTAAAGAATGGAGGTACTTATTAGAGGGAGCTAGACACAAAATCTTGGTTATAATTGATCATAAGAATCTCTCCTATATAGCAGATGCTAAAAGGTTGTCCTCTCGTCAGGCTAGATGGTCCTTATTTCTTTCACGCTTTCAATACATTTTCACATATAGGCCTGGATACCGTAATGTCAAGGCTGATGCTATCTTCCGACAGTAGGAACCTTTGGAGTCGATTGCCCCCGCTCCTGAACCCATTGTGCCTAAATCTAAGATAATAGCTGCTACCCGTTTGGTTATTTCATCTCTTTTCCTTGATGGTATCAAGACATACCAATCCCAAGCACCCTCTGAGACACCTGTTGGTAGATAATAAGTGAAAAAGAAAGGCAGAAGTTATTAGCTTAATTTCACACCGCCAAAACTGCTGGTCATCCAGAGGTTACCAAAACATACAAGGGTCTCCTTCAACAGTTTGGTGGCCCTCACTTAAACAAGACGTGATAGATTATGTGCAGGCTTGTTGTGTTTTCGCACAGTGTAAGTCCCCTAATCTTAAACCCCTGGGACTCCTAATGCCTCTATCTGTACCCAAGAAACCATGGACCCACTTATCCATGGACTTTATTGTGGATCTTCCTTTATCTCATGGACAGACAGTAATTTTGACTGTGACTGATAAAATGGCACACTTTATTCCACTTAAAAAACTACTTTCTGCGGTTCAGTTGGCTCAGGTATTTGCCAAAGAGGTGTTCCGCTTGCATGGTATCCGACAGGGGTCCTCAATTTGTCTCTCGGTTTTGGAGGGGCTTTTGTGCTGAGATGGGGATTTCCTTGTCATTTACTTCCTCCTATCATCCACAATCTAATGGAGCTGCCGAACAGGCAAATCAATCTGTGGAGTTATATTTACTCTGCTTCACGAATGCACACCAGGACAACTGGTCTCCCCTCCTTCCCTGGGCTGAATTCGCCAGGAATACCGTGACTCATTCGTCCACTGGCTTAAGTCCTTTTATGGTAGTTTATGGGTTCCAACCCTCTGTCCTTCCCGGTGTGTTCTCCGACAAAGGAATACCCGCTTTGGACGAGCACCTCACCTCCTTACGGAAGATGTGGGATCAGGTCCATGCTACTCTCTCTCGTGTGGCTGCTACTCAGAAGAGATTTGCTGATCCTCGTAGGTGTGCGGCTCCTTCTTATGCCCCGGGTGATAGGGTTTGGTTGTCCTCTAAGAATCTCCACCTCAGGGTTCCCTCAATGAAATTTGCGCCCAGGTTCCTTGGCCCCTATAAGGTGTTGCGTAAGGTAAATCCCGTGTCCTACTCCCTGGCCTTGCCTCCTTCCATGCGTATACCTAACACTTTTCACACCTCCCTTTTGAAGCCCTTGCTCTGTAATCGGTTCTCTAGACCTCGCAGGCATCCCGATTGCCTCCGCGCGGTCCCCAGTGACGTGTACGAAGTAGCTGCTCTCCTTGATTCTCGTTTTTCTCGATGTCGGTTGCAGTATCTGGTGGATTGGAAGGGTTACGGCGGTGAGGAGCGGTCTTGGGTTTCTGTCTCTGATTTAAACGCGCCCTCTTTGATCCACTCCTTTCATGCGGGATTTCCTTTGACGCCTTCGGCTTCCCGCCCGCTGGGCGGTCCTCGAGTGGGGGGTTATGTCAGGGCTCCGCGGGCGGCTGTGAGGGGAGGCTGCAATCCACTTGCAGCACTCACCCTCAATCCTTGGCGCGGTCTCCCCTTCCCCTACCTGTCGGTGAGCAGCGTCCTCACTGATGTATGCGCCGCTCACGTCCTCCTCCTCGCCTCCCAGCGGCAGCATGTATAATGCTGCACGCTGGGAGCCCGCGCATTTATGCGAACGCCGGGGTCAGTCACGTGACCCGGCGTTAAAGCCACAGTACCATAATCACAGTGGGAGGTGTAGATATCTCCCACGTATGATTGTTAATTCTGATTGGAAGTTATCCAATCAGAATTAAGCAAAGCATTTATATACTTACCTTTCCTGTCTCTCAGTGCCCTGTTGTGGTCTTGTGATTCCTGTAGTGCAGTTTGCTCGTGTTTCTCTCTGGTTACCGATTATTTAGCTTGTTATTTCGATTCTCCTGTATTCTCTATTCCTTTGATCTCGGCTTGTTTCTCGTTCTCCTGTTTTCTGGCTCCCTTTTCTTGGCTTGTCTCCTGACTATTCTTAGTATGCTCTAAGGACCGGTATAGCACCCTTCCTCTCTGTGACCTGTTAGCGTGTTAGGTTCCCGAATCGTGACACACACAGCTAAGATGAAAAACTTTTTTTTCCAATCAGTTCTTGCATCACAATGTGTTTAATTTAGAGGCTATTGTATCCTGCTCAGATAATTGAACTTTAATCATACATAGGGGCTGCAGTAGGCACTAGCATGCCATTATCAAAGACATTTTAAATTAATCATGCTGTGCAATAACGGAAGCAAAAAGACTTGAGCACTTTTTCAGGAAATATGTAGGGAGGCTGTGTGAGTCTCAGCCAGGGTAGGTGTGACTAAGACTGCACAGTGACTTACCTACTAAATGGCAGATAACTGTGCAGTGAGACTACAGGGGCATGGTCTATACACCAAAACTTATTTAGTAAGCTAATTTATTTTGTGCCTTTAACTTAATAATTAAAGTATTGACAGAACTTACAAGAAAAAAAAAATATTTTAGCTCTGTGCAGCCACACCATAATGTGCACAGGGTATTAAACAGGGTGACCATATTTAATGCCATTTATGAATATGAGATAAACCAATAGCACATAATGTCCTCTAAAATTTAAAGGATTGGGTATAACTCTTTCAACTAATATAAGTAAGTGACTAAAATTACATGTAGCATATGCTTTCTCCCAGTGGCGGAACTTCCGCTGGTGCCCAACAGGTGGCCCATGCACTTAGGGACACTTGGTGGGCATGTGTTAACATCATTATTGTTGATAACACAGGTTCATTTGTTGGTGCTATCTGTTAGCTTGATAGGCTAACATGAAGGCATAATACCTAGATTCAGATAACAATTTAGTAATTACTCTGGATATCCCTTTGACTCTTACTATTTGGAGACATTGTTATTCTTCTGTGAAATTGATTCACTTGGGCAATTCTAGTAACACATTCTCAGGCTACAAGCTGACACTTTGTGTAATAAACATAGTATTGCACTATGTCTATATAATTTAGAGAATACTATTGGAATAATTTCTAGCCGCTGCTTTGTTTTTATCGTGTTTTAACATTTTTTAATTGATGATTTATATGTCTTTTAAGTGACTAATAAAAGTTATGTTTTAGTACCATATGTATATTAGAATTCTGGGTAAAACTTGTCCTTTCTTTTTGCTAATTCTCTCTAGGGGTTACCCACCCTCTTTTTCCCCTCATAACTATGAACCTCTAGCTCTTACTTTCTTGTTTATATCAGTTCTGATCAAACTAGCGATGATCCATCATTATAAACACGTCAATTAAAGCAAAAGGTTCAGAGCATTCCACAGGAAATCATAGAAGCTGCAATGCCATTTGCGATTTTATAAATGGCATCGTGGTTTCATGGACTGAAAAAAGCCAGTTTACTGGAGTAAATACTACACGAATAAGCCAATGTATCAGGTTTCACTAGTGGAGTGGTGCCAGGATAGTTAACTCTTCCAGTGCCACAGCAGAGAGGCCGCAGGGATAGGACGTTTTCTTTACATCTGGGATTTTTTGGTAATGTGATGTTGTCTATTTGAGTTTTTAGTCAAGATTTCTTTTAGCCCAGAATTATGTTCCTTACCACATTTTGCTCTGGGATAAAGTCTCATTATTGCTTCTCATTATTACTATTATTTCTTTTTATATTCTTTATTTTTGTTGAGCAAAAGATTAACAGACAGACGTGTGTTGCCATAGTAACAAACATAAGCATTTCAAAAGGAACAATACTATGGCACATGAGAAAACTGCACTTTTTATGAAATAGTAAACATGCTGACAGCTAGATAGTAGACTGGATACATACATAAAAAGTAGGTGGAGTGCAGTTGGTTCTTAGGTAGATGGTATTACTGATAAAAAACATGGCCAAAGCCTAGTGCAATACAGTCTGATATAAACATATGTACAGGTAAAACAATCTCTCAGATTGGTACTCACAAAGATCGAGCCAATATGTTAGGCTCAATGTGTAGGCAGATGGGATATTTTTAGGGATCTCACTCCCTTGCTTTATGCTGGTTGGGATTTCCGTCTTCTTGTCCACCAAATAACTTCAATTAGCGTGAATGGTGGTATAAGGAAATACTTTATTAGAGAAAAACAAAGTAAAAACAAAATAAAATAAGCAGAATATATAAAATAAGTCCAAATATGGTAAAGTGACTTGCAAGACGCGTTTCGCCTATTAATAGGCTTCCTCGGTTTCTTGTCAACAAGATCAGGTGGGATCCCTACAAATATTCCCATCTGCCTACACATTGAGCCTCACATATTGGCTCCATCTTTGTGAGTACCAATCTGAGAGATTGTTTTACCTGTACATATATTTATATCAGACTGTATTGCACTAGGCTTTGGCCATGTTTTTTACCTCTTACAGTTTACAGTAATACCACCTACTTAATAACCAACTGCACTCCACCTATTTTTTATGTATGTATAGTTTCTATTTTGTGTGAAAAGAGAAGTTATCACACAGGTGTTTAGAGTGTGTTGCTTTATTTTTGGGTTGCACACCAAGACTTTATATTTTATTTGTGTTATATATGAGACCATAACTAAGATAAGACAAGTATGATTAGTATATTACTGCTGTTGTTGTATATTAAGGGAGTAAATGTAAATTGAGTAAGCATGCCTTATAGTACTCAACATAGCTCCACTTGGCACTAAGGCTTCCTATGAGAGGGAGCATGAGCCTAAAAACAAGAGGGGTGGTCAGCCTATGCCCACTAACTTATGTAGCTTTCCCAGTGGTAAGTTAGGATGCTGTGTCTCCATATAGCTACCCCACTGATCCCAAGTCCCATTACAGTCCTGCACTTGCTCTTTACGTGTCTAATCACCGGCACCAGTCTGGACACAGTCTCGGGTACTTCTTGCAAAAAGCTGGCTTGTATGTTTGGGGTATGTTGCCCAAAGATGTGCGCTGTGCTTGGAAGAACTTTCCTGTAAGTACTGCGGCAAGGGTAGGTGGTTGCAGGTTATGGTGCAGCATCTCCTGAGTCAGTATGCCCTCTGCGGTCACCGTTTCCTCCTCTCTACGCTTGGTACCCAGATCTTGCGAAGCAAGGTAGGTTTCACTTGAAGTGCTGAAATGGGATGTTGAGGTACATCCGTAGCAGCTTGTCTCTGCGCCTGGTCTGCAATCTTGGCCCAGAGCTGGGACTACATGTGTGCGAAGGCCCTCTCGATGCGTTCCTCATATGAGGCCCAGAAATCAGGATTCTGCACGGCGGCCAGCTAAGCTGCAAGCCTGCAGGCTTGTAGAATTGGTTGCTTGGCACCGCTATTCGCCTCACTGGACTGTTTGCAGGCAGACACTCAGCGGGGACCGGGATATCCCACGCCGGTCCAGAGGTGGGGGAAATGAGGCTATGAGCGTCTGTGTCTGGTGACCGAGCCCATAGTCAGGAGATCGGCCACCTCTCCCATCTACTAGGCCATCAGGTTTCGGGGTGAGTATCCAGCCCACGCAGGCACCCCAATTCTGTCAGAGTAGATGGCTATTGTTAGAAATAGTTGTTTGAGTGTAATTATGTCAGGATTAAAGCAGAATATGCAAAATTTTGAGGCAAATTAGCAGGAGTAGCTAAAAAGTACATTCAGTCATCTTGAGGGCCCGGCACGGCCCTGCCCCCCTTGTTTTTTTGATTTTTTTGCACGTGCTTGTTTAATAATTGTAGCCGAGCTCAATATCTCTGCTTGCCTCCCTCCTTTTCCCCATAGAATATACAGAGTTAGGGATGTGCATGGGCAAAAAATTTGGTTTGGTTCAGTTCGGAAATTCGGGTAAGTAAAAAAATTAGTCTGCTTCGGCAATTCGGACCAATGACAAACGGTTTAGCAATTCGACAATTCAGAACATTCGGCAATTCAGAAGTTTGGTAATTTGGACCCTAGCCCTAACCCCTAACCCTAAACACTAACCCTAAACCTAACCCCTAACCCTAACCACTCGTTTTGCCACTTTTCAGAAATCCGAAGCACTTCGGAACTTCAGCAATTTGGAACTTTGGCAATACGGAACTTCTGCAATTCGATTCATCACTTCGGCAATTCAAACTTCAGACATTCGTAAGCATCTGAATGTCCGAATTGCATGAAATGCGTCCGAATGTACATTCGTAACTAAACGAATTGCACATGTCTAAGCACTATCACAGCCTACCCAACGATCTGATAAAGGGTGAAACAAGTATGTATTAATGGAACACAAGCACAGTATTTATACAATATCAAATTCTCTCCAGGGCATGATCAGCACAACAATAGACAGCTCAGGCCCAGCCACCACTGTGTCTCTGGTGCCACTTTGGTTGAAAAGATCAATCCTCCGCTGAGTCTTTTCTAGACAGGATGATGGAAAACAGAACCCCAAATCCTCCTTCCCTAACACACAGCCCAAACAGCTCATTCCCTCAGCTTCCCACTGTCCAAAGAGCCCCCTGATTCAGCATAGTGTCCAATCACAACCCAGTTAAAGATTTGACCAGCCACGACTAATTTCCGATCTGATGTATAGTGCCATGCAGCTTTGTAGAACATCCTTGTTTCACCCTAGTCACCAGGGTGCTACCAGGTGACTGGCATCCTGGGTGCTTAGGTAAGCTGCACCTGCTGGATAGGGGAGAAAACCTCCTGAGATGGTGACAATTGTACTTTTGGGTACTTTTTAGGGTGTCTGTGACAAGCTCCATAGTCTGTGGGGAGTAAAGTAGATCTCTGCCCCTCCATGAGCTAGGGGAATGAAGGTTTCCGTTGTATTTATATTTTTATTTATAACGTGACAGCTTATTCTGCATTGTGAACAATGGGTACACTACACGTGCAAGTCATGACAGATTTACGTTAATGAGACAAAATGGTATGTGGCCACGGTCACACCTGCCTTAGACATGGAAACTATGAAAGACTGAAATTTTACAGTGATCTCCCAATGCCATAGAAAATATTTAAGTGAGAACAGATGGTTTATGCTTATATTTGCTGCCTTTTGTTTCCTGGCAAACACCTGACATTTAAAATATAGCTTGAAAACCAAAGCTTGAGATCCAAATCTTCCTACGCACAGACATTTGTTTCTCACTGTTGGGTAGACTCAATATGATGCTGGCCCCAGAACAAATGATATTAGTGGAAATGTGGTGGGAATGCCCTTCTTGGCTGCATATGTGCATGCTCAGGCTGACTATCTGACACAAAATAATTAAAATTAAAACATTCATTAGTTAGACAAAACAAACAATTTGTTCAAAGAGTTGCAAAGTTGATAACAATACTGTTGCTTTGAAGTGCAGAAAAAGAAGTATTTTCATGAACTCAAATGGAACTGCCAGCACACGGAACCAGTTGAGTACATTTTATCAGGATTTTTCAGTACATTTTGCTCTGGTATAACTTACGGAAATTTTAGCCAATGCATCCGAGAAATGATGATTGGCTTGACTGTTTGTTTCTCTATCTAGATCTCTGAGTACATATTCTAATCGATGGTCCTAAGGCTTCTTCTTCTCTTGTGTAATCAGCCATTCATCTGTGCACAATTATAACTAATTAGTTCAACATAAAACCCAACACTTCCTATTAGCCTTTGCCAGTTTATTGTGGCTTGGCTCTACGTCGAGCCTAGACCCTGGCTTGCCCCAAGATAATAGTTATTTATCTTTTTTTATTTCATTTCTAGTACACTAAATTAATCCATGGTCAGTGACCTGAGCATATTTGGTCCTGCCTTTTACATTTTCCGAGCTCTTTAGTTGTTTTCCTTGCTGACTTGCCTTGTTTTGTCTTTGTGTTTATGACCTTACATTTCAACATCTCTTAACTTATAATAAAATATTTGTCTGCTCCTGAGGTTGTGAATTGGAATTTACTTTGAGAAACTCTATATGTGTAACACCGAAAAAGTTACCTAGCGCACTTTGGATTATGAAACGATTAGTGGACATAATAACATGGTATACATATAGATGGGCTACATGTGCTAAAACTCCAAACTGAGTTTGTTTATAAAATTGTCGTACTGGCTCCATGCAACAGCTCTATCTAAACTTAATCTGACGTAAAACTATCAAGATATGCATTGTGAATTGCCCCAACAAGTGGATATTACAGTGAGAATTGAAAAAAAGATAAATCAAGGGATTATATGCAATAAACGCTGTCCATGTGTTATTAAAACACTATTTATAAATGGAATTATTATTGCTACATGAGTCGTGAAGAATAATGTAATCATGTTTTACATGAATCATGTGTTATTAATGCTTGTTTAATTCAAATTCATTTCAAGGTGATGGAGCATGTAACATAATTGTAGTTACCGTTATGTAACTTCTGTCATATCCCCTCCATAGTAAAAGCACAAGGTGCTCAATATAGCTATTTAAAGGGAGTAGTAACAATTGCTCTCATAACACTTAGCTAGCAAGTATTGCTATGCAGAATGTCAGTGAGGATCATGTGAGTTACACCTTAACAAAGCTAATGGTTCACAAATATGAAGAATATATTAAGACTTTAGATTTCTAGTTACTCAAAATTATAAAGAAACTTCAATTAAATGATGATATTTGGTATATAGATCTCACTTTAGTAGACTCATTGATCCAACATCTGCTTTTCAGAAGTTAAAGCACTTTGTTGTACTTTCCACATGCTTGTATTGGATATTAATGCACCTATCATCATATGGGGAATTCTACTAAGAGCGGCTACCAAAACTGAGTTTATTTTACTATTAAATAATTGCTGTATGTGATATAATATTAATTCAGTTAAATCCAGGAGTGAGTTAGATTTTTTTTCCCTATCTTAAGATGAGTCAGGAGGGGCACCAGAACATAATTTAATATCTACCTCTCTCTGACAGTGGGATTTGTTTGATTAAACTATGACTTGTAGTGAATTCTAATCTATATGGAAAAGTTTAGGCAAACATAGCTGATCTGAAAAATGTCATAGCTCCCAGCTTGGTTCTTTCAGTTTTTATTTTGCCATATAGATTTCAATTTACTTCAATTTGGACTTTAGTGTATAACCCCGAGTTTGTGTGAGTGCTATTGTGTGAATGCAGTGGTGTAGCAGTATTGAGTGTTTGTATGTGACCATGAAGGTGTGTGTTTGTGCATTGTGTTGCCTATCCCCATCTATCCCTTTGTATATCTCTTTGACTCTATTGACTCTATCGCCATCCAGTTTGTTGCTTTGCTTGGCCAAATAATATAGCAATGTCGAACCACCCCCCTCACCATGCTGGACCTAAAACTAAAGAAATATATTGATATACAGGTACCCAGCATAGGTACCCATCTAGATAAATACAAAATGATACTTTTACCACAATTTAGTTTTGAAAAGTTTTCCCCAAGTTCTGATCATAAACAAAAGCCCCACTGTAGTGACTTGGAGCTCAATCACTTTAGCAATTCTGTGAGCTGCTTAAGAAACAGTTCTCATACTTAAACTGCAACCTACAGCATCATATTTGCACTGGGTTTGAGTTACATAGGTAGTAAAGTTGTCAAAACAGAAAAGAGTGTTTCTGGTTTTTCATTTAGAACTCTGCATGAGAAGTGATAAAAATAAAGTTTGGACAAAGATTAATGGTGAATGTGGAACATCATGGCAATACAGACAGTCTCATTAAATCAGAGCATTAAAAGATTGAGCAGGCAGTCACAAAGAGACACAAATACAGCAACTGTATACATAAAGGTTAAGGACTGGTTTCAGACATTCTATTTTATGGCAACCAAATATGGTGCCTGCTATTGCTACGATGCTTTATGATGGTAGTGGAACATATTACCAGGCCATTTTGAAAAATAAAATAATTTTACTAAAGTGCATCAAATTTTGCTGTTTGTGTTAAACTTGTACTTACACTATATCCAAACATTATCCATGTAGTAAAATTTATCAAAATATCATGTCTGTTTTTTTTTTTTTAATATATGCATAGAGAGATGTGAAATGGGAAAACTAAAAAAACAACTGTTCAGTTCCGGTGCCAAGTGATACAACACATTTATTAAGAGTTAACATTCCAAAACACCTGGCAAAAGTAAAATATCTTGTTAATACATAATAGAGAGTTTTATTATACACATGTAAGTTCTGTTCTAGATGAAGGGAATACAGATTACATGTATTACAGCCTTTGTGCATTATTTTTCAGTGTTTTTTCTTTTGCAAAACACTGGTCCGGGGTCAATAGGGCAGCCATCTTAAAGTGTTCTTTGATTACAAGTACAGCTTGTCTGACCAGAAACCATGCAGGCAGTCAAGAGTTAGTACGGCGTGTTCACAAATGTAATGTGCAAGCACTGGGCATCTCAGAAACGCATTCTGGGACAATTAGAGACTCTTAAAATGACCTAAAATGGCTCTCCTCTCAGAGATTAGTAAACAGGTATATCTGGATATTTACTCATTACAGAATAAAGCACAACAAAACTATACAACCGGAAATCTTTTGTTTTAAGTAATAATAATACATTACAGCTTTCCTTCAGAAAGAAAGCTGTCACAGGTATTTGATATTTCCTTACTGTGGATAATAAAGAAAAGACAGGGAATGCAGAATAAAAAAAAGTTACCTCAACTTCAATGTATTCACCATAGATATTTTTTTTTCACTTCAGCTTTAATACATTACAGAAAATAAACCAAAAAGTTTCATGGAGCGCTTATTAGAGGAAGGAAGTGCTCTGAACATATGGTAGACTGAACGAGAAAGAATCTACAATGGAATAAAGTCTTCCAAATGATTCAAAAGGTAGATGCCTAGATGTTTTAAAATTACTGATATTTAAAACTACAGCTTCCATGATGCTTTGTCATGTTAAAGGCATTCTAAAGGTTTGCAGAGCATCATGGAAGTTGTAGTTCTACAGTATCTGGAGATCTACCTTGTGGGCACCCTTGATTTAAACAATAACAGGTGTAACTATTACCACAATACCAGTATCAAATATGCCTCATATCTCTCCCCAGGATTAAAGTACTAAAGAGACCTGGCAATTATTATGTTGCTGGTTATCAAAATTACAAAGAACTGCACAACATTAGAAGCTCCAAACTGGGGGAACAACAGAATAACAGATACTATGTATGAAAAACAAATCCTGGAGGACTAAGCAAAACTCACAGACATGCCATGCACTTTAGCAAACTATGGTCTCCATTTAATATTTTTGGATATGCCTTTCAAATGATTTTATATTTTTGGGTAAACTTTTAAAATGTTTTAATATTTTGATAATTTCATATTTTGAAAAAAATAATAATTTAAAAAGTTGATAAATAAATAATTTGAAAAACATATACGAAAATATTAATTTGAGGCCTTTATAAGAAAAGCCTTGAACATCGGGGCTATATTAGAAGTGAATGACACAGGTGGTATATTTACTAAACTAAGTGCTAGATCGAGACTAAAATAGTCAGGTTGCAGGCATTTTGTGGCTCAGTTATTTCAAAAATGGTGTCAAGACAACACACTCGCCAGGCTTTGCTCACTAAACCAGGAAGTTTGAAGAATTGACAAAATAATTACATATCTTAGACCAAAACATCCAAACCATCATTTCAATTCAGACAATTTGGGATTAATATTTTAATAACTTTTATGATGTCTACACAATTGCTGTTTTAGAGAATAGAACTTTAAGAGGAATATCTGTCAGTAGTATGCATTTACCTCTACGCCATATAATACGCGCACACACACACACACACTCCATTGCACCCCACCCATTATTTTTCCATGTTGATTAATCAAGGTTAAACATTATCTTGAGATAATCTGTTCACATGACAATAAAAAACATACACATAAGATATCTGTAGAAACAATAAAGCGATTTCAAAGTGTTCATGGAGTTTTCAAAGATTGTTAAAAACGAATACAATGTATAGCATTTATCAATTTTATTTTAATTTCTGTTTGTTTTTTCCTCTGTCTCCTTCCTCTGGTATTAAAAACAACAATTACATAGAACATATGAAAACATTCTTATGGATATAAATGAAAAGCAGAAAAAATCCTTTGGGTTAAACAAAGTCGGTCTGAAATTCTAGCATAGTTTATTAAATGTTATGCCACTTATTACATGGTCTGTGGTTACCGAGCAAGAAAGATCTATGCCATGCGATTTAAACAGAGACAGAGTTCAGTGTCTGAGGTCTATTAAAAATGTAAAGTTTCTTGAAACAAAATGAAAAATTGTCAACATTTTATTGGAACTGATCTTTTTCATAAGGAGTAATGTTTTATAAAACAGTTGGTTTTCATAAAACTGAATGTTTTTGCTTGCTGTATATTTGCCTTAGTTATTTTTGTTTTGTTTAATATTTTATCACATAGTATTAACTTTAAAAAATCAAACCCTCATTATTATATACCTTGCTGCGTGCATTACAGAATTATAAATTTTTATTTTACCTAGAGGCATACTTAGGTTACATGGCACCATCGTAGAAATAATTGTATTTGGCGAATCCCCCCTGCCCCCCGAACTGTAGAATTTTGTTAATACACATTTGTTTATACACATCACCCAAACCTCCTTTTACCAGGGAAATTATACTCCCATTTATTCATATACATGCACACATACATTCATATACAAACACACATACACATACACATACACACATTGATATCCATACACATAGACTCACAGACACACACACATAGACCCCCACAGAGACTCATACACAAACACAAATTCATATATACACAGAGATACTTATATACACAGGCAGTCTCATATACACATTTATTTTTCATTTTTATTACATTTTTTGTGGGGTTGAGGTCCACACTACTTCCCTTGACAGGGAGAACTAGAGTGTAAACTTATCCCCCGAGTCCAGAGGAGAGTACTCTACGAACTCCCATAGAACCTGTCACCTGGGGCGTTCAGTCTCCACCCTTCTGGTTAGAATACCCTCACTCATTCTAATATAAAATGGGCCAATATATAATTTTCTTAACACCATGCAATGCATGAACCAGTTTAGTAGCCCTTCTCTGACCTCTCTCCAAACTATCAATATTACATGTTTAAATACACATTTACATTTTATTAGATGTTTTCACATAGCAAATGATGTCAAATTCTATCAACTAGAGTTGACACAGTGTATGGTTCTCTGTATGTAGTGACTAGTTGGGATAACTTCCAATAGACAGCAGTTTGGGGGAATTTTTATATCTGCTCATTCTATATGGAGAAATTAAGACGCTTCTTCTTTTTCTGTGCAGTGAAATGTAAGACCATTCCATAAGAGCATGCATCACAAACTTTACTTATACCACCGGCTGACAAATGTTTGTGGTATTGAGGAGCCAGACAGATCTATTTAAAAGCCAATCTGACTTTTGGGGTTAGTTAATAGCCCCTGGAGTATCATAATATGAGTGAATAATTTTATCCAACGGGTACTTGTGCTGTTTTAGTAATGTTAAAGTTATGTTTATTTTAAAAGTAAAGGAAGAAAGCAAAACAAAGCTTTCTTTAAAATTAGTTTTAAACAAGCCTCTGCGTCTTCCACTTTCTAGAGATTTAGCAGATACAACTAAAGGTCTCAGTACTGGATCAGAGACACCCTGCTAAAGTATTTTCATGAAGATTAGGCAGCACTCATCGGTCCTATCTGATTAATGGGGGGCAGGGGTTTCTGTAGACTCTTGAATATTAATAAATGTATGCATGTATGGTAATGTGACAACAGACGATCATCTCTGGTTCTGTTCACGAGAAGGAAAAATAAATTGATTTCCACTTCGGTTTGGCAATGTATCATAGCTAGGCCATTATTGTCGAGCGGTCACCAAAGTGTCAGGAAGCTAAGCAAATCAGAGCAGACCTGAGCTATTCTTCTATATAATGTCACTGTGAAGATAAGAGGGGGATTAAACAAACAAAAAGCAAAACAAAAAAAAAGAAGAAAAGAAAAAACCCTGTGGAATAAGTGAGACTTACAAAAACCTTTCTGTCATTTCAACTGGTTTTCCCCACAACTCATCATGCAGGACACAATCAAACCGCGTTTGTCACATTGCCATTTCAATCAGTGATTTAAAAATATATTTTTTAGAATTGTATATTAAGTAAACACGACAATTTATTTCTTACTCAATAGAGTCCCTGAATCAAATGTTTTATAAATATATCTGACTGAAAATGCATTCCTACATCAAGGAATTAAAATTAAATGTGATTATCCAAGTGCGAAAAGATTCATATTTGTTTACATTTTTGGAAACATCACTGTTTATTGAAATATCTTAATACTCTCCGTTGCTTTTTTCTAACAAATTAAATTGTTTTCCTGTAAAGAGTTTTATAAACTTGGTAGCATGCTTTCAAATTTCTGCACTCCAAATGATTTTGAACAGGGGCTGCCAAGACTTTACCGCAAATGGCAAATGGCCATCGTTCAAAATCCACTTTGGATTTCAACGACCTCTGTTTATAAAATTGATTTAGACAACTTTACCACAGCAGATAATACACAATAGTTAACCCTTAAAATACATGCATTCAAACAGATATTTTGCTTTTTACTGCCGCCTAGTGGTTGATCAAATAATTAAGTTTGTCAGTTTCAGACTTTCACATATCTGTTTCTGTTATTGATTAGAATTCATACTATCACTTAACAACGCTCTTCTGTTTTGAGTTATTACTTTAGTTATTGCAGCAATTATTATTATTTTACAGGAGCCAGCTTTGGACCATTTTATAGAAAATCAAAGTACACTGGAAAACCATTGCCTGTTCCAAATGAAGCCACCTTGTCTCAGAGCGCGAAGCAATTCCACAAGTATGTTCTTCCATAGAATTCCGGTAGAGGTTTAATTCTTTTACTCAAAGAAGGCTAGGCGAACTTTAGCAGGCACTAATGGCACTGAGTACTAGTCTTTTTTTTTAGTAAAAGTAATAAAAGTGTGACAATACAAAAAAGTTTAGTAAAGTTTTTAACATGAAAACATCTCTAGTATTTTATGACTGAGCTTGTTGTCATATGTAGTCATTCTATGGCAAATAATTAAAGGGACAATATAGTCACCTGAACAACTTTAGCTTAATGAAGCAGTTTTGGTGTATAGAACATGCCCCTGCAGCCTCACAGCTCAATCCTCTGCCATTTAGGAGTTAAATCCCTTTGTTTATGAACCCTAGTCACACCTCCCTGCATGTGACTTGCACAGCCTTCCATAAACACTTTTTGTAAAGAGAGCCCTATTTAGGCTTTCTTTATTGCAAGTTCTGTTTAATTATGATTTTCTTATCCCCTGCTATGTTAATAGCTTGCTAGACCCTGCAAGAGACTCCTGTATGTGATTAAAGTTCAATTTAGAGATTGAGATACAATTATTTAAGGTAAATTACATCTGTTTGAAAGTGAAACCAGTTTTTTTTTCCATGCAGGCTCTGTCAATCATAGCCAGGGGAGGTGTGGCTAGGGCTGCATAAACAGAAACAAAGTGATTTAACTCCTAAATGACAGTGAATTGAGCAGTGAAATTGCAGGGGGAATGATCTATACACTAAAACTGCTTTATTTAGCTAAAGTAATTTAGGTGACTATAGTGTTCCTTTAATTCTGAAACTAGTTCAGCATAACAGAATTAAAATCCAAATGACAAAATTGAGGCCAATATGGCAAAGCTCTAGCTCAGTTGTATAAACTTCCAAGAGCAACCTAAATTTGACAATTTGGATTTCAATTTGCTAAACATCAGTGTGTAGTAAACCTACTATGAACCCTATGGTGAACTTCCCATTTTAGATGATAGCCAAACTAATAAATATTTGACTTTGAGAATGTTTTAAATTGAGCTATTTAGGCATACTATTTAAAATTGTCTTTTATTTTCCCTTATGAATAGCTTCTGATTGCACTGAAATTTCTGTGAAATTCAAACCCACTAAAGAAGCAGTTTTTCATAAAGATTCTATCTAGGAATCCTCAGACGTAACCACTTTAAAGTATACTAGTCACAGAACGCACAATTTTATTTTAAAGAACATTGAAATTCATCACTACATTGTGTCAGTAGAACTGCAAGCAAATAGATAGATTCCATCCATTAATTAACAGGGCAGAGCAAGTACATGCTTTGTGTTTGCTGTACTATTCCTATAGCAATATTTTGCTTTCCATAGGAATATAGAAAATAATTGACAGATACCCCTTTGTTCTGACATTGATATGCTGGCATAAAGCCACCATATTGAGGTCATGGAAAGGTGTGTGCCATTCTGGGGAAGTGTACTTAAGGTTGTCCATTTGTGATTCTGGGGGAAACCAGCAGTTATTTTATTTAAACGCCCACAAAGCTACAATTATGAATCAGAGGTAAGTAGTTACCAAACAACACTGTTATAGCTGTGCCAAATGAGACTGAGGATTTGCATGTTCCTCTGCCCAGTTTGTCAGTACTGCTTCAGCTTTTAAGAGTTGAGCAAAATGCGTTGGGGGGTTGGGACGGTACTTAACATCATATCCTGCCATGTCTCCTCCGCTCACTCTGCATGCTGAGACTGGAGCTGCACTGACAGACTAGAAGAGAAACATGCAAGGACTCTGCCCTTGTCCCCCTTGGCCATGCTCTGATCAGAGTGGGTGGGGGTAAACATGATAGTGTGGAAAAAGGAGGGGATCGAGAGACCCATAAGGGGAGTCAAGAGAGGCACACATGGGGAGGTCAAGAGGCAGATTAAGGGGTAAAGGGGATTAGAAGAAACATACAGGGGGTGACAGGGCTGCAGAGAGACACAAAATGTGAAAATTCCAAAGCAACACAATCCTGCCCCAGGTGGAAGGCAGGCTCTTCCAAAGGAAAGGAGCCACCCGCGAGAAGTCCTGCAAGCGCAAGTTAGCAGTAATCGTGCGAGCAGCGGACAGGTGGTTGTCACCGGCAGAGCAGAGAGACAGAGAATGGGCATATCTATGAATCAGTGAATATATCAGGGGCTGGAGTTGTTGAGGGCTCTATAGGTAAGGGTTAGTATTTTGAATTGACACTTATAGAGTATAGGAAACCAGTGTGAGCATCGACAGAGGGGAGAGGTGTGAGAGGAGCGACAGGAGAGAAGGATCAAGCTGGCGGCAGCATTCCTAAATTGGTTTTATTATTAACCTTGATAATGCATTAATATGTTATAATTTTGACCATCATGTCTTAACTTGTCTTTGTTTTAGGTGTCAATCCCTATTGGATTGGTGATATAGACCCTCCAGTAACTAAGAAGTCAGCTATTTTTACTGAAAGACAGTCAGCAAACCTGTGCAACAACCGAAAGTCACTGTCTCAGCAGCTAGACTGCCCTGTAGGGGGCGTGCAGGTACTGGAAAACTTTGCTGTCCTACAGAATTAAATAATGCTCGTACTGACATTTTTTCTATGCTTATTTCCCATATTCTTTTTTTTTTTATAATTCTTTATTTTTGTTGTGCTTGAATTACACATCACATTGGTATATGTAACATTGCTCAATAATCAGCATAAATATTACGAGTGATCTGCACAAATTTTAAAGGAAATGACAGGCTAATAACATGAGGACTAACAAGATGTATTCCCCAGGAGGCAGCTAGCAGGATGTGTAGTAAAAGAATGAGTATGAGAGAAGAAACAATAAAACAGGGTGCTTATAAAACAGACAGTGTTTCATCTCCAAGGGATCAATAGAGAGAGGGCATGATGAAGGGCCTAGAACTCTTCCCCATGCAGTTTGAGCAGTCAAACTATCCTATACTGACCAAGGACATAGCAGAGTCCCATGATCTAGGATAAAAGGGCAGGCCCCAATGCCCCAGAGGGAGCTGGCAAGCTGAGCCAAGTTACATAAATGGGGGTTCTGCCAGTGCCCCTATCTGAGTAAGAGTGCCCTTGGTAGGTTGCAGCAGTGCCTTCTTGCTTGTCACTGTATGTTGAAGCGATGTGTGTTTTCTGATCCACCGCCATGTAGCGACCCGAATCGCTACTGATGCTGTGGGTTTCTGCTGCAGGTTAGGTTTAGAGGTGGCTGGACAGGTTGGTATATCCTCTGCTCCAGCTTAAGCCAAAAAATGTGGAAGATTCTGTTCAGCCTGGACATCCACCCCCCTTATTTCACATATTCTATCAGAATAGAAATTTACTGATAACATTGCAGTGGAATAAATCAGTTTTACAAAATTGTCAGTAAGAATTCAATGTTTTATATGTACTTGTTACAAACTATTATCTGAAATTGCGGCAGAGTCCGGTAATAAATTAAAGGGATTCTATAGTGCCAGGAAAACAAACCCATTTTCCTGGCACTATAGGCTTTTGGAGTGCCCCCCTCCCTCGTCTGTCCCCCCCCCCCGCCTGTTAGACAGCCACAGAGGGCAGACTTAGAGCTGCAATGTAAACTGAACTGGAATGTTTTACATTGCAGCACTAAGTGCAAAAGAGTCACAGCACCCAGGCTACTTCAATTACCTGAAGTGGTCTGGGTGCCTACAGTGTCCCTTTAAAGGACTACTAAAGCGTTAGGTATATTAACCTGTATTCCTAATGTTTTAGTACCCCCTGAATAGCTTCCCTCCACGTGTGCCATAAAAATGACAGGACAACTGCCCCCAGGTCACTTTATTGAGATTAAATGGCATGGGTGACTTTAGTGGTCCTTATTAGCACCAAACTTGCTAAATAAGGTGCTTATTTATGTAGGTTATAAAAAGAGAGAATTTTTGTATATCTTACCCATTACCGTTGGGAAATTACCAATAAGAAGGAGATATAGCAAAAATTGAAAATTTGCTTAAAGTACAAAGCAGGGTTAGAAGCATAATTGAAGCACTTAATAATGTATGTTACGTTGTCCTCTCCTTTTCAGGAGATAACTTGTGATAACGTTTGGTGTGTTAATGTAACAGTAGATTTAATATGCTGTTGGTGTAAGGTTTAGTTGAACGCTAGGTTCTGTTTAACAGTGAAATGAAATGTGATGAATCTACAATACAAGTTCTCAGATATCTTTCAATGTTAAACCTCTGCTTCAACTAGTTAAAAAAAATAGAAAAGTATTGTATGTTCTAGATTGTTACTGGGTTAATGAGTAGTCTCGGTGTTGCTCTATGAGGATACATATAGGATCACCAGCAAGATATGTCATCCTAACAAAGGAACACTAGGAAATGATAGAACGTTGTATTACCAACCGTAGAGTAGCCGGGCTTACCGATTAGATAGAAATAGAAATCAGCGCTGATACAAATAAACATGGACCAGAAAAAAGCTAAGCGAAGTCAGGACAAGCCGGGTCTGCTACCCTGTAGATATTAGAACTACACCTAGGCAAACAGGATTAACCAGAGGTGACCCTAGATGGTTGCCTAGGGCCCAGGGGTTAGAAATGGGGCCCCAGAACCATACATTTGCTTGGCCCCATTAATCATCCCTATGTGAAGAATTAAGGAGGGTGCATCAAACAGGTAACCTGAGTAATCCTTATTTGGAAATAGGTAAACTTAAGATCAAAAACGTAGATGTGTCAAAGAAACCAGACAGGTTGCACAGAAGACAATATTACCAGAATAATGCACTTAAATGTTTGTGAAACCAAGAAAGAGCACTGGTCCAAAGGCAAAACACATGTAAATAAGATCAGGCCCTTGCGTCACTATTTGCATAATTTTTGCACAAGCGCACTGTGTTGGGAGAGACGCCAACTAAAATAAATAAAAATGGCGAAATAGTCTCATCTTCCATCATTTTAGTTTTGTTTGAGAACGCCGCTGCTGAATTGATGCTTATGCTTCAAAATGGCCATTCAGGTTTCTATACATATCATTATGTGTTTAATGTTCATTATTCTAAGAATTCTAAGAAAGAAAGAATTCTAAGAAAAAATAAAATAATTTCAGATATGTAATCTGCTCACAGAAAATGTCATACAGGAAATCAAATTGTCAAACATCTTCCAACCACATGTTAAAACTAAGCATTTTTAAGTTTTGGAGAAAAATGTGTTGTATATAATCTATAGTATTGCAATTTAACGAAGGCTATAAACTTTATAATGTTGCAAAGGGCTAAACATTTTTTAATTCATGCAAATATAAGTGCTTACATTATTATTATTATTATTATTATTTTATTATTTATATAGCGCCAACAAATTCCGTAGCGCTGTACAATGGGTGGACTAACAGACACATAATTGAGATCAGACCACTGACGTACAGGAACAGAGGGGGTTGAGGACCCTGCTTGATGAGCTTACATGCTAGACTCATTTACTTGTTTACCATGACTGTCAGAGAAAAAAAGAAAAATGAAACACTAAGATAAAAAAAAAAAAAAAACACTTATATTGTAGAGAAAGAGGATCTAAGCTCCGGAACTGAAGCAACATTTCAGCTAAATGAGAAGTTCTGCTTTCAGCTATGAAGTTATAATGTATAAACATTGCTGTGTGAATAGGGAGGGTGTATGAATTGGTGGATGTCAGCGAAATACCTAGAATTATTCTAAAGTGTGCATAATATAGCGATAATTAGACCCTTTCCAAAAGGTAATTTCTAAAAAGGTATATTTTAACAATATATACATTAATATTTTTGCTTAAAACTATTTGAATTGTGGTTATTTGAAACATAAATTGTAGCTAAATTGTAAACATAATAAACAGCTATTTCAAGATTTGTCAATAGAATGCTTTCAAGTGATATCTAAAAATGAAAAAAATACTCTGTTGTAATTTTATATTTATTCATCTATTCTTTGCAGAAATATTAGAAGTTAAAAACTATAGAGATAACATAGTATCCCTTATCTTGCAATATAACAGACATCGTCTGTATTTTTACAATAGTCAAAGGAATTTCACTATAGGGTGCATTGCAGGCTGCTGTTGCGGCTATCCATGTAATGCAAGTTATGTACTCTCCCCTTACTGCCTGCTATAATTGGTATGTGAAGATTAAACTACAAATGTTGCTGTAGAGTGTTTGAGAAAGGAGGGGGCAGCAATTTACAGTCTTTCTGCAGAGATGACATAAGTCATGACTAGAGTTGAGCTGTAAAGTTCGGGTTCGTACCGAACATTACGGTTTTTGGACCCTGGACCCCGGACATTTCACTGTATGTTCGGGTTGGAGTTCGGTGTTCGCGATTAAATGGCGTCTTTTGAAAGGCTGCAGGGCAGCCAATCAACAAGTGTTTGACTCGTGTGCCCTACTAATGGCATGGCTGTGATTGGCCAGTGCAGCATGTGAGCTATCTACCAAAAGGCTGAAAGACCTAAATTGGTCTTTCAGCCACATTTACTAATACTAAGTAAAGATTACTTAGTATTAGTAAATTCAGCCCCTACTTGCTATACCACGAGTAGGGACATGTCTAGTAAAATAGCCAGTGGCTGCTCACTGTAAAAAAAATAAAAAAAATAAAAACCTATTGGCCCCCACCCCTGAACGGCGGGTAGGCGCCCTAAAGTAAAATTAGGGGGGGCGGGAACCTATTATCCTTCCCCCTGGCCCCCACCTCTGAGCGGTAGGTGGGGGCCCTAAATAAGATTGAGGGGGGACTTACTGTGCTACCCCTGGCCCCCACCCCTGCACGGTGGGTGGGGGCCCTAAATAAGATTGAGGGGGGCAGACTTACTGTCCTCCCCCCTGGTCCCCACCCTTGAGCAGTTGTTGGGGGCTTTAAATAACAATGAGGGGGACCTACTGTCCTCCTCCCACCCCCCACCCCTGCTCAGTGGGTGGGGTCCCTAAATAACAATGAGGGGGGGACCTACTGTACTGCCCTCGGTCCCCACCCCTGTGCGGTGGGAGGGGCCCTAAATAAGAATGAGGGGGGACCTACTGTACTCCACCCGGCTCCCACCCCTGCGTGGTGGGTGGGGCCCTAAATAAGATTGAGGGGGGACCTACTGTCCTCCACCCGGCCCCCACCCCTGTGTGGTGGGTGAGGGCCCTAAATAACAATGAGGGGGGGACCTACTGTCCTCAACCCTGGCCCCCACCCCTGAGCGGCAGATGGGGGCCCAAAATTTAGAATAAGGGGGGGACCTATTGTCCTCCCACCCGGTCCACACCCCTGGAGGTGGGTGGGGACCCTAAATTTAGAATAGGGGGGACCTATTGTCCCACCCTCATTATTATTTAGGGCCCCCACCTGCCACACAGGGGTGGGGGCTGGGGGGAGGACAGCAGGTCCACCCTCATTCTTATTTAGGGCCCCCACCCACCGCATCTCAAAGTGATGTCCTTTTTAATTGCCATGGAGTCATGGTCCAGTATAGTCTTCCTGAGACACATTTTGCTGGAAACAGTGATTTCTCTAAAATGCTACCATTATATCGCTATACTTTCTAACAAGACATATTTTTATCTCAGATATCAATTTCTGCCTTTTTGTATTTAAACATACATATCCATATATAATAAAAATTAGTAAAACATATTCTCAATGTATTAAATAATTCACATTTTACTACATTTATTCTTATATCATGAATCAATTCAGCATATTCATGGATTTCAGAATTCCAGCTTTTGTTCTATCAAATACCAGTAGCAAAGACAAGAAAGGGCAAAGGGAGTTGACAGAAAATAGTGGTCCTCCCTCATTCTTATTTAGGGCCCCCACCCACTGCTCAGGGGTGGGGGCCGGGGGTAGGACAGTAGGTCCCCCCCTCATTGTTATTTAGGGCCCCCACCCACCACTCAGGGGTGGGGGCCGGGGGTAGGACAATAGGTCCCCCCCTTATTTTACTTTAGGGCCCCAACCCACCGTTCAGGGGTGGGGGCCAATAGGTTTGCTGCTCACTGTTTACTAGACATGCCCCTACTCGCGGTATAGCGAGAAGGGGCTGAATTTACTAATACTAAGTAATCTTAATTTAGTATTAGTAAATGTGGCTGAAAGACCAATTTAGGTAATTCAACCTTTTGGTAGATAGCTCCCTAATACCGTGGGAATTAGGGAGTTATCTACTAAGCGGCAGCTTATTTTATGTTATTTTAAGTGATTTCCCTATCCACATTTGTTTGCAGGGCACTTGTCCTACTCTTATCCCCATTTTACTTCCTTTTGCAGCCCTCTAGCCCTTTCCAGGACTTTTTTAGAGGCATTTTAGTGCCCAAATGTTCGGGTCCCCATCGACTTCAATGGGGTTCAGGTTTGGGGTCAAGTTCGAGCCCGAACTCGAACTTTTTGACGAAGTTGGGCCGAACTCGGCGAACCTGAACATCCAGGTGTCCGCTCAACTCTAGTCATGACAGAATTACATTTTTCTACATGGTGAGAAGCCAGTCTTCTGATTTCCACTATAGTATTCCCTCCCTCCCTACCCCCTACTAATGAATGCATCCCTTAATGCATACACAGTGAAGTCTTGCAACTACCAGAAGTGAAGAGGCAGAAAATGTATAAATAATAAATGTATGCAAAATAATCTTTGACAATGTATTTCAAAATTGTGTATAATGTCTATTTTAATGCAACTGAAAATATGCTATTGACTGCCATACAAATTAGTGCAAATAAAATAGGAATTATATATTGACAAATAGTTTGTAGATTTTACAAAATATATGTATATACCTTCCCATCTGACAACTGCAATGCTGCAATATATTTCCTTTATATCATTAGATTCTTCTTGATCAAAGGATCAGTCATTTTCTCACGTAGCAGAAAGAAACAAATCCCTAAAAATGTTTTTATCTTACATAGTGTGTTATGTCTGCAGGGTGTCACTCGTTCATCCAGATCTTTGAGTTCCGCACATCTAACGAACATACGTAGTCCATCACAGGCCTCTGTTATTTCAAATATCATTTTAATGAAAGGCCAAGGCAAGGTAAGATTTTTAGTATGTATTACAATAGTTTGAGAACTGTTCAACAAAGTCGAGTTGTGAATGTATGATGTTCCCATCAGACTGTCAACATTTTACTGTCTAAAAGGTTATTGATATATGTATTTTAAATTCAAAGTGATTCCACTTACTTTGCATATAACATTGGCAGCCATATGGTTAAAGCTGTACAACAAATGTTTTTTGGATATTATCTTGATCAGGGACTTGGCTTCAGCATTGTTGGAGGAAAGGACAGTATTTATGGACCTGTAGGCATTTATGTGAAGACCATATTTCCAGGAGGTGCAGCTGCTGCCGATGGCCGATTACAAGAAGGTACTTTGTTCCGGAGTCTTTTACAAGGACATTGCAACTTTTTATATGGGAAATTGCTTGTCTGGGGCTGAGAAGAAAATAGCCATGAACGTATTTATTTTGATTTTTTGTAATCTGAAATAGTATTTTTGTGGATACGGTTCGATTTGTATGTATTTTGTTTTTCCCAGTATAGAGGGTTGTTACAAATTGAAGTAAAGTGCTTCGTTCTTAGTGAGACTTTATGTAAGGACTACAATATTTTCAATAGTTAATCCATTTCATGGAAATTATGATTTGCTATTAATTACACCACATATTATCCTCTCACATAAATAAAACAAAGGAGATATAAATTGGCTAAGAAACTTTAAGGGAACACTTCACATACCATAACAACTACAGCTCCCAGTCAAACAGTTTTTGAATGTTCTGATTTTTTATTTGGGGCCTGCCAAGTGCTGTTCCTTGCCACCATTACAAAGTCTGGAGAGCTGGAAGTAGAGGGAACTTCCATTATCTTATTGACTGAGATATTGAGATAGATACAATCTCTCAGCTGGTTTGGGGACTCATGAGTTGCATAATAATGTAGTAAATATGTTTTCCCATGACTAACTTTTCCATCTGCTTTTCTCACAGGGGATGAAATTCTAGAACTTAACGGAGAGTTGATGGCTGGACTAACGCATTATGATGCTCTCCAAAAATTTAAGGTGCTTTTTGTCATCAGATTTTTCATGTTAAAAAAAAAGTTTATTTATTTATATACATTTATTTATAAACAAACCAAAACAAAGCAAGAAAAACTTTGAAAAGTATGTAGTAAATGTTTATAAACTTACTATAAACGTGGTCAGATTGCACTGTTCGACATGCCTCGACAGCTGTGGGAGTTTCTTCAGCCTTAACCTCTTCAGGGAGATCTTCCAACTGCACATGTATAAATCTGTCAGGCATGCCCAAAACACTTTTCCAGCATTCCTAGGGATAGTTAGATCAGTGTTCTCCCCTGGAGTGAGTGTGGAAAACATAAGAAAGAAGAAGATAAATATAAAAAAAACAACATATTTACCTGCTTTTTTCAGCCTGCTGATTGAGGCAGTCGTCTTATTCAAAGCTAAAACTTTTAAATGTTGCAATCATCTCAAAGTGATGTCCTTTTAATTGCCATGGAGTAATGGGCCAGTATAGTCATCCTGAGACACATTTTGCTGGAAATGGTGATTTCTCTAATATGCTACCATTATATCGCTATACTTTCTAACAAGACATATTTTTATCTCAGATATCAATTTCTGCCATTTTGTATTTTAACATACATATCTATATATAATAAAAATTTGTAAAACATATTTTCAATTTATTAAATAATTCACATTTTACTACGTTTATTCTTATATCATGAATCAATTCAGCATATTCATGGATTTCAGAATTACAGCTTTTGTTCTATCAAATACCAGTAGCAAAGACAAGAAAGGGCAAAGGGAGTTGACAGAAAATAGTGGAAACCGATAATCTTATGTATTGATAGACCACGATCTTTTCTTATTCATTATAAAAAGTTGGCACATTTAAAAGAAGCCTTATACAATTTTTACGTTGCTTGTTCCTATTCGTCAGAATGCTCAATTAGCAATATTTTTTTTTTTATTTTTTTTTTACATGCTTATTATATAGCATGGATTAGCTTATTGCTCATGTAATATGTATTTGTATTCCTCAGCAAGTAAAGAAAGGCGTGCTTACTCTGACAGTTCGGACAGGACTCGGCACTCCAGATGTGAAACCCTGTCACTTCACTTCTCAAATGTTTCGGTCCAAAAGCTCCAGCACATGCGCGGTGAGAGAACATTGCTCTCTTCAGTCGGAAAGCTCTGCATTTTTACCCAGCTCCCATAAACCTAATGACCGAGTGCTAATGGAGGTGTCACTACACAAAGGTACTGACCAGACTTCAGGTCCCCTCACATATGAGCTGTCTGAGATGCACAGTAACACAACATTAAGTTCGATCCATTTATATATTAATCTTCTTAATATTTTTTTCTTTTTTTCCAGAACCAATAGATATTAACTTAGTGTCAGTACCATTGGTTTACAATTATTGGCCCTCCAACTGTGTTAGCAAAGCTCATATCATCATCGAGACTTGGTGGCAAAGGCATTTCACCTTTTGATTTATGTTCTTACTGGTATTTTCTTTTTCAGAGTCAGGCGTTGGTTTGGGGATAGGATTGTGCAATGTTCCCCAGTGTGGTGAGATTTCTGGAATATTTATATTTACACTGTCTCCCGGTTCTGTGGCCCACATGGATGGAAGACTCAGGTATAAAAATTATTCCAGAGATGATATTTATATCATCCAATAAAAAATGTCTATTTTACTATAACTTATAACCAACACAAAGTCAATCAATATTTTACTTCATAATAATCAATATGATGGCTGGGCGTCTTAAACAACCGACTTTGGTGGTTGAGCTAGTAGGCAATATCCTGTGGTGAGATAAGAAATAATTTCCTATACCTTGCCAAAATTATCTTGTTGGAAAACAAAATCTGATGATTTTGGAGATTTTTGTTTTTAGTTCATTGACCTTACCTTCCAGTTGTCAAGTCGCTACAACTCCCTGCAGAGAGAATAAACCCAGATGTCTTAAATATACACTGACTATTTTCAATAGTATTATTATTTCTGTTATAATTTCACTTTTATGTTTTATAATTCCTTTTCTGATATCGTCTTTTCCATGTAACGTCCCCTAATGCCAGCATTCACTGCAATGGCCAACACTTTTTAATGGAACCAAAGTATTTTCTTCTTCTCACTATGTTATACCCCAAATGTATTGTACAATTATAAACTTGAACATCTTTTTTGCCTAAAAAATTTCAGTAGTAGGTTGGGGCTGTAGGAGCTTTAGTTAGGTAGGCAACCATATACACCATAAAATATGAGGAACCTTTGAAACAATGTGGAGATTTATCATCTTCATAAATCAGAAGAAGGCAGAGTGGAGTATGGAGTAGAGCAACTACTGATGTGTAAGGTATAAGAAGACCTGGATTTCTCATCAGACACAGTTAGATGCTGTCATGGATGTCAAGTTTTCTAACCTGAATAAGAGAAATGAATGGAATGTTCACAACACTTGGTCATTCTTCCATCCCCAACCTCATTACTGCTGCAAATGGTGGCGGCAGAACTAAAACTGTAATTCCTAGTCTCCGGCAGTCACATATCTTGGAGACGAAAAACAATCATTTTTAGAAATGTTTTTTTTTTTCAAATACTAATATTTGGAAAACTGTGATGTATAGATCACGTTTGGCAGCAAAAAACATCCGTTGACTGAAATATATATATATATATATATATATATATATATATATATATATAAATGTGGTTCTTTGTTCAGCTCATTTGCATACGCCTACCCAGAATCCCTTGAATTAGTGAGAGCACTGTTAAAGTGAGATTTCTGTGGGAAAAGCAAGTCTTATGGCTTGACTGGTGTGTGCATTTGTGTTTAGCAATGTAGTAACAATAAATATATATATACACACACATTCAGAGCATATAATATAAATCCAACAAAACACCTTCTTTCTTCATTTGAGTCTCTACCAGTGTCAACGGGATCTCCATTACTCTGGGGGAAAGCATTGCTACTACTGTAAATAAGGTATTGTTCATAGTTGCCAGGGAATCGATTAATATTCCATCCCCCGAGACCCATTTAAAAAAAATAAGGCCCCCAGGGTCACACAACTCTAATATAAATGTTCCTGCTAGTCCTCAAATATCTTGACATGTCTTCTCCCCTTTAGTTTTAAATTATTCTCATGTGCGAATTTTTACTTTTGTTCAAACATGGACAATGATTCCAGTAGAAAAAAAAGTGAAAACTGAAAGCTCGACCTGTAATATACAATTAAATCAGTACTCATAATGTTACCTAAAATCACCTACTTCAGATGGATTCATCCAAATGGTACAGACATAGTGTGTTTAGCCCATTACTTTGCAAACTGTCCCAATTAATCCACTGTTGGGTTACAATAAAATTGGAGTGATTTGGAAAGTATAGCCATATGGTGAAAATGAGTCTCCATATTTTGTATTTTTTATTTAGTATTTTTTTTTTCTTGTTGGTTGCCTACTTTGCTGTTTGTTAAATAGATCCCCTATAAATGTATATCCTTTATTCATAAACTTTGTATTTAATGAACATAAGTTTTCTTATATTCTCAATGTATTGTTTTATATATGCTATGCCTAAAACTAATATTTTCTTATTATCTACACATGTTTAGAGGAGGTGACGAGATAGTGGAAATCAATGAGACTCCAGTCAGCAATAAGTCTCTTAATGAAGTTTACTCTCTCCTAAGCCACTGCAATCCTGGACCTGTCACTATCCTGATTAGCAGACATCCTGACCCAAAGGTAATTTTAACACAAGTTCTAAATTGCCTCAATGACAAATCTAGTTACGTATTAACTATTACCATAACATACAGTGAGGGGAAAAAAGTATTTAACCTTTTGCTGATTTCGAACGTTTGACCACTGACAAAGAAATGACCAGTCTATAAAAAATAAAGAAAAATGCATGTCAAAAAAGTTAAAAATTGATTTGCATGTCAATGAGTGAAATAAGTATTTGACTCCTTCGACTTATTACTTGGTGGCAAAAACCCTTGTTGGCAATCACGGAGGTCAGACGTTTCTTGTAGTTGGCCATCAGGTTTGCATACATCTCAGGAGGGATTTTGTCCCACTCCTCTTTGCAGATCCTCTCCAAGTCATTAAGGTTTTCGAGGCTGACGTGGCCCCCCAGATTACCTCCTTTTAAATCTTTAAAAGAACTTTCCCACGCTGTGTAAAATGACACAGAGCACTCTGATAGGTGGATTAAGTAACCAATCAGAGTGTTATGAGTCATTTTACACAGCATGGGAAAATTCAAAAGAACTTTCCCACGCTGTGTAAAATGACACAGAGCACTCTGATTGGGTGGCTTGAAAGGCCATAAGGCAAAGAGTCCCTACTTTGTCTTATGATTTTAAAGAAAACTAAAGAAGACAGGAAGAAAAGAATAACAGATCCCGAGAGAGGGGGAGAAGAGGAAGAGATTGAGGAAAGGTAAGTTCGGCATGACAGTGCCGCTTTAAGGTCTGAAGACTGATTAGGCCACTCCAGGACCTTAATGTGCTTCTTCTTGAGCCACTTCTTTGTTGCCTTGGCTGTGTGTTTTGGGTCTACCTATCCATGACCTATTTCCCATGACCCATTTTCCCATTTATGCCTTAGCAGAAAAACACTCCCAAAGCATAATGTTTCCACCTTATTTTTGATGGTGGGGATGGTTTTCTTGGGGTCATAGGCAGCATTCCTCCTCCTCCTCCAAACATGGCAAGTTGAGTTGATGCCAAAGAGCTCGATTTTCGTCTCATCTGACCACAACACTTTCACCCAGTTCTCCTCTGAATCATTCAGATGTTCATTGGCAAGTTTCAGACGGACCTTACGGGCGCTGCAGGATTTCAGTCCTTTACGGCGTAGTGTGTTACCAATTGTTTTCTTGGTGACTATGGTCCCAGCTGCCTTAAGATCAATAACAAGATCCTCCTGTGTAGTTCTGGGCTGATTCCTCTCCATTCTCATGACCATTGAAACTCCACGAGGTGAGATCTTGCATGGAGCACCAGACCGAGGGAGACTGACAGTTATTTTGTGTTTCTTACATTTACGAATAATCGCACAAACTGTTGTCACCTTCTCACCAAGCTGCTTGACGATGGTCTTGCAGCCCATTTCAGCCTTGCGCAGGTCTACAATCTTGTCCCTGACATCCTTGGACAGCTCTTTGATCCTGGCCATGGTGGAGAGTTTGGAATCTGATTGATTGACTGCTTCTGTGGACAGGTGTCTTTAATACAGGTAATGAGCTGAGGTTAGGAGCACTCCCTTTAAGAGAGTGCTCCTAATCTCAGCTCATTACCTGTATAAAAGACACCTGGGAGCCAGAAATCTTGCTGATTGATAGGGGATCAAATACTTATTTCACTCATTGACATGCAAATTAATTTATAACTTTTTTGACATGTGTTTTTCTGGATTTTTTTTGTGTGATTCTGTCTCTCACTGTTAAAATACACCTACCATTAAAATTGGTCCTAAATATGAAGTTGAAGCTACTCACCCTGGTCAGGAGAAGGCAGTGTTGTGTCCAGCATTGAAGGGAGACGTATTTTGTAAAATGTCAGGTCACACTCACAAGGAGTCGTAGTGCATTACTAAATAAATACTAAAACTAAAGGAATTACTTCTAAATACCCCCTTGTTCCTGCCATGAAGGGACCTGGTGCATATATATATATATATATGTTTTTATTCAAGTCAATATCTCTCTATAGTAACCCTAAAATGATTTATTCTTCAAACTAGTTTGTTGTAACATTTTTTGTTTACTACTCAGTGATGAAGGCCTGAACATTGCAGGCCTGTTGGAAACACAGCCCAGCACACTGTTTAGTGAAAAACCAATCATGTGAAAGACTGGTTAAGGACCCACTGGCAGCTCTCTGCTCCCAGAGGCAACCTTACTCTAATAAGATGTGGAAATTCTTATGTCATTACATTTTATAGAGCCTGTTCATCCGCTTGAAAATGAGCCTGTTAAATAAAACAGAGGGATACTCCCTAGAATGTTCACTCGCCAATGTTTCAGCACTTAGAAACACTAAAAAAGTAACAAAGCAATTAAGATTCACACAGTCTTTCACACTTATATTATTGCTGCTGTTGATCCAAAGCATTTAACCTCTTTATTTTGGCTGAAGATCTCCTTCCTGTGAGCAACTGGCTCAGCCATGCAATGGATGTAATCTTGTGACTGACTGAGGTAGAACTGTGATTAACCCTAGAAGGACCACTGATATTTCATTGTGATAACCTCCTTCCAGTTCCTTAAAAGGAACACTGTAGTCGCCAAAAAATTTCAACAGATGGAAGTTGTTATGGTGTCTGCGGTCTAAAGGTGCTGTGTTGTGCATCACTACTAAACAGTGTTCATTACACACATCATAGAGATTGGTAACTACAGGCATTTGCATGCTAGGCTTTCATCTTACTCTGATTTTTTTTTTCCTGAAATATGTTTTATCTGTTACAATAAAATGTTATTAATGTATTTTTACTGTTATGTTATGACCTGTTATAGATCTCAAAGCAACAGCTCATGTTGGCTGTCTCTCAAGCTGTGGAAAAGGATCACGCCCAATTGAATTTAGAAGGTATAAAATAAATAGCTTCAATGTTGTTTAATAGTTTGCATTTTTTTTTTGCAAACATGAGGCGGGGTGGACATTTTAATTTAAAAAACTATTTAAACATTCGGTGAGCACAATTCAAAGAGTGGTTTGACCAATGTACCTACACATCTTCCAAGTGTTCCTCTTTGGAATGTACAGTCACTCAATATTAGAGTAACTTTATTCTAGGAGATCTCGGGTTCATGTGAGCATAAGTGTATAACAGAGCTATGTGGCGTTGAAACATAACAATAATGTGTCTAAAAAGGGTAGTACACCCCAGGTTTGAAGAGAACCTTTTTTTCTGCCTTACCTATAGCTGTATAATTGGAAATGAAAGGTAAACACTGTATGTTTGGAAGGAGTGATACATTAAAATATACACTCTAAAACGGCATAACCATTATGTTCCTTCCTCCATCTGGATATTACCCCATCCTAGCTGTATTCATAATAAAGATTTAACACTTCTGCATTATCATTAATATTGTAAAGCGCTACGGAATCTGTTGGCACTATATAAATGGCAATAATAATAATAATAATCATTGCCAATTTCATAAGGGATATTACGAGATGTATAAAAAAAAATGTTAGGAGAGACACACAGAGCAATAGTGGATTGTCTATGAAACTTAGTAACAACAACCTTGTTTTTTGAGCAGTGAGTTAGGTAACAAAATATCACTGATAACACAGGAAGTCTTGAAAACTTGCCAAAACTAAATATTCTCTTCCAGGTTAAATAGTGTGATGTCATTATTATAATTAATATTATTGCTTACTTTCCATGACTTTGAGTGTATTTTCTTTGCAGGTGATAAAATTATAACTTGTTGTCACGGGAAATTGCACTGTGAGAACTGCATTGAGAAGCATGCTGCACACCTGTGTTACACTCGTAGTGATCAGAAGCAAATGATCCGGTCCAGCAGCGACAGCAATTATAACCCCAGGTCACTATCTGGTAATATCGACCCATACTATGATTCAACAACCAAAGGGCACAGCATAGATGTCCCTACGAGAATGGAACCTACTCTACTGCATTATTCTTCACCAGTGAAACGGGAAAATAATTCACCAATTGGCAATGAGATGCTGACCATAACACAGGGTCCCTGTAGGAAAACCAGCAGACATTCGGGGGAGATATTGGTAAAGAAACCAAGGACCTCAAAACCCACACCACCACCCAGGAAATACTTTAAAGACGATACGAAGGAGGACGTAAGTGCTAATTTGTACACAAATTTTCTCATGAGAATTGATGGTAATTGTAATTCAAAGTAAATGTGCAAAGATTTGGTTCGTTATGAACAAATCGATTCATCCGTAGTAAATTTGTCCATTCACTAATCTGTTTGGTCAGATATAAATGGAAATTTTGATAAATCAATTAATTGATGGACAAACTAAATGTTTGCACGTCTAAATCAAAGTTAATTTCATTTTTAAGGCCAAACTAGCCAAACTGAAAACTGAATTAATAAATTTGGTTATTAAGGCCTACATTTTGAAATTCCCTTTGAATTCACTTTGAATTTCTAGAAACTCTTTGTTCAATTAATCCAGACAGCGTTGACTCTAAAGGGCTATCATACTACAAATATGACTAATGAAGGGGTGATGTACATAATGGGAGTTGTGCATGTTAGGATGGGATCTCTATATGTGTATGTGAATAGCTGCTGGTTAGATTGGAGTTGGGTGATGGGTGGTGTGTTGACTTCATGTGTAACGGGAGTTGTATATGGTGCTTTATGTGTGTTATGTGTGTGACAGTATGACTGTGATGGTTGTTGAGTCTGTGAGTGTGTGGCAGTTTGCATATGTCTGAAAGATATGTGTGGGTAGGCTAAATGTTGTCATTGTGGGTGGGTCTAGGAAGCCCTCCTTACTTTCATTACTTTAAAAAAAAAAAAAGGAAAGTCACCCTCCCTTCTTGATTATAATTAGTAAGAGAAGAGAGCATCACTAATTTATGATGGTATTAAGAGGGAATGATATGCACCTCAGATGACGTTTACAGTTCCCTCTAGTTAGGGCTGGAGTTATACTATTTTGAGCCCTAGGCAAGAACAGCTACTTGCACCCCACACCCAAAAAACAAAAATTTTGTGTGTCTCATTCTTACCCCAGCCCCTTTGTGTGCCTCTTTCACCCCCAACTCCATTGTGTGTCTCCTTTTCCCCTTACCAAACCCCCCTGTGTGTCTCTTCCCCTCAGCACATTTGTGGGTCTCTTTCTCCCCAGCCCCTTTGTGTGGCTCTTCATCCCCCAGCACTTCTGTGTGGCTCTTTTTCCCCTTCAACAGACCCCTTGTGTGTCTCTTCCCCCAGCACCTTTGTGTCTCTTACATCCCCTAGCCCTTTTTTGTGATGCTCTTCTCCCAGCAGTGTGTCTCATTGCCCCCGGCCCCTTTGTGTGTCTTTTTGTCCCCTGCAGCCTCTTTACGTGTGTCTCTTTGTCCCTCCTAGTCCTTCTGTGCACCTTTTGTCCCCCCTCAGTCCTCTATGTGTTTTGTTGCCCCCATCCCTTTGTTGTTTCTCCTGTCCACACCTCCTCATCTCTCTCCATGTAGTGTGGCTAAGCCACGGTTGAGGATTTTCTGTTTCCTCTACCCACGCTGACTGGAAGCTGTTCGGTGCTCTCAGTGAGCACTTCCTGTCAGACTAGCAGGAATAGAGAGTTCTGTGCAGTGAGCTCCCCTCCCGTCAGTCACCTGGACAACATGCCCCTTGGGTCAGTGCACCATAGGCGGCTGCCCAATTTGCCTAGCGATCGCGCCTGTCCTGCCTCTGGTATTGTGTACCCAGTGTATTCCAAGACAAAGTGATCTGCAGCTGCCATAGGTCCTAACAACAACACTCCCTCACTACAGATAAGGTAGCTCAGCCAGTCAGGGAGATCTCTTTATCTCTGCCAGCCTCTGGGGCTGCAGAATGCTCCCATCACTAGCTAGAGCTACAGGAAAATGCTGGATTTGTCTTACAGTAGCACCATAGGTTTCCAGAAGTTGAATGGAACTCCATTAAGCAATGCATGTCTTACCCTATTCTTGCACTTTACATTGGTGGCATACCCCAATATTGGGGGTATGAATGTGGGACTGAAGATTGGCCAACAGGGGGCTGATACCAATAACACAGTGGTGGTAAGTACTGCATGAAAAGGAGGCATGGCAGTTTGGCATGCATGACAGATTAAAAGATAGCCATTCTTGCCAGTGCCACCCAGAGTAGAAGTTAAAACGCCCTGCAATGGGTTGCATTTCCTGAGTATTGTTTGCACAGGCTGAGTGCATCTAATGCCCTGGTGCTCTGCTTACTGGAGACTTTTCTCTGGTGTCCCAAAAAATGGGACACCAATGAACAGTGGGCCAAAAGCCTCAAAACAGTGGGCCAACAGCCCCATGACTCACCCACTGAATGTAGGACCATTTATAGGTACGTGGTAGCTTGACGTTTAATTAAATTTACCTAAACGATTGCAGCAAACCTATTGTTCTCACACTGCTGCTCAGAGTATGAAGAAATAGGAGAACACATTTCCTCAGCTCCCACTGACTAAAAGGGCTTCCGGGTGACCCCATTTAGTATTATTCTGTTATATATTTTTAACCTGCTAGCACTTACTAGTATACATTTTCATTTATTTTGAGACTAATTTATGGGTCAGTTTATGATTTTGTTGGCCTTATGCCAGAACTCTCTAAGGAGAACTTAAATCCGTTTGCTTGGTTTGATTTGTCTGGCTCCTATTTCAGGCTGCGGATTATAAATTTAGTGAACGCCATCCAAATATTTGCCTCTTTTATTAGTTACCTCAATTATTCTTTTCCAAATCTGAATTAACTATAGTTATAGACTTCAAATTTAAACATGCAAATTCCCTGACTTTTGTGAAAAACTGTTTGTCACTTTTGCCTAATAGTAAAAAGGTGTAGATTTATAAACGCAAACTGTACCTAAAATTAAACATGCAAAAGGCATTTGTCAAAAGGCCCCACAGAATGCAGAAAGTTAAAATATAACAAAACATAGATTGCAAAAACTAAATCTGAAGTAAATCATGTCAGACGTAAAACATGTAATGTTTGATAGTGGTGACCACTCATAATTAGTTTTGCCTGTATTTGGATTTATTTACAGGGTTTATTTACTTCCTGGTGTCATTTTATGATCTTTTTCACAATAAATAAGCAACTACAAGGATTGTTCCTGTTTATTACTTTGGAGATTCTAAAGAGTGCACTATAATCCTCAATTCCATTCATCTGTACATAAAATTGACCTTGCAAGAGGCATTTGTCAAAAGGCCCCACAGAAAGCAGAAGGTTAAAAAAAATAGAGATTTGCAGACCTACATTCTAGACTGCTGCGCAATGTTAGCTTAAAATGCACCTCGTTAAAAAAAAATAAAGAGAGAAGAAGAAATACAGGATGTGGCTGCATAGAGGAAGTTTGAGTGTGCCCTGTGTATATCACAATTATTTGAGGCACATCTGTCTGTCGGTTATAGTAGATCAGGTATGCCGTTTGTCATTTCAATTACATAACTGTCGGAATAAAAAATACATGCTATTAAAAATGTGCTCCACCACTCAGATAGGTATTAAGCAGATTGTCACACACCCAGGATTATTTCCTGAAACTCCAAGAGCTGTGAACTGTAGTAGTGAACTGAAATCTAAAAAGCAATTTTTTTTTTAAAAATGGGAATAGTTTGAGAACTTTGCCAGTGCACCTACAAACACATGCTGGCTCTTTTACCCTAAATGTTGCAATCTGAATTTGAATTTGCTTCAATTTGAGTTTAATGAATAACCCTGTTAGTGTATGCAGTAATCTGGCATGTAACTGGGGTTCTCTAAAATTAACTAGACTCCAATGTTCTTTGGGCTTTATCACTTGCATGATAGCTGCAGTTTTAATATTCAGTGAACATGTAAACATACAAGCTTACTGAACGTGAAACATACATTAAATGTGTAGCACCCCTATAGCTACCACATCTACCATATTTTCCTGGACACATATTTTCACTTCTGCTGTTGGTCAATGCATGAAAAATTCTGCCCTTCTGCCAGTGGCGTACACACAACCCATGGGGCCCCGGTGCAAAACTGATCCATGGGCCCCTCCTCCTCCCTTTGTTAAAGCGCCCAGCGCTGACAATCCACATCCATTGGTTGGCCCTAACAGCATGGACCACCCGATGGGCACCTTAACATGCGGCCCCGGCTGTTTGCTGCCCGAGCCGGGCCGTAAAAGATGACGGCGAGTACCCGGTCGCAGGAGTCTGCAGGGCGGACGGGCCCCCTGGAGTGACGGGCCCGGTCGCAACTGTGACCCCTGCGACCGCGGTATGTACACCACTGCCTTCTGCCTATATGTACATTGTACTATATATGCATTCAGCTGATCGGTTAATCAAGGAGGTATATCAAATGAATTGCCTGATAACTTAGTTGATTGTCTTTTTTTCTCATCAGTATGCATGTGACATTCTACAGGGGGCTAGGTACCCCCTAAATGTAACTTTGAACAGTGAGGGGTGGTGGTTATTCATTTCGTCATTTTCATCATAATGATATGTTGGGAGAGGAGCAGTAGTGACAGAATTATGCTGGGAAGAATGGAGTATTAAATAATGATAGCTGCAAATAGCTGTTGCCTTGGACACTATCCCTCACTATTAACAGACATGTATGTCCCAGTGCTGCCTTGGGTCAGCGTCCCAACACTGCGCAGTGAAAGTCAGTTTAGCGCAGTTTGAATCACCAACAGGCTTTGAACCCATGAACTGCCTGTTTGTGATCTATCAAGTAACTCATGATGTAAGTACTTACTATCAGGCTACATCACGGCTTTTAGGGACTATTCAAGATGGCTATTTTCTGATCAGTTCTGATCTTAACAAAATGGGACAGCCTGCGACTTTCTTTTTCTTACAGTTATTTTTAATCTTTTGGTTGACACCTTTTGCTCATTACAGATTACTTGTGAATAGCATGGCGGAGAATTGTACCACTGTAATATAATTTTACATTGCCTACAGAAAAAGTCTAAAACTATAACCGTGCTTGCGTTATTCTTGTCAAAGGATGTTAATACCTCTCCTACATTGTGATAGCAGATGTATCACCTTAAACACAACATATTGACACATGAAGGAAGACTGGAGAGCTGAGCAGTATCCTCTGAAAGCATTGTGGTTAATTCTTTTACATACTGCTGTTTTTGTCTGAATTGTTTCACAGGAAGCAGGAAACTTGCAGCTAAAGGGAAACCAGCATATTACAGCCAAAAGCTCATTAGATAGATCTTCATCAACCAGCGAGACATCACTCACGGCAACTGCTGAGCAAGAAAAGCTTTCACCTGCAGGTATGTCAGTAAACCGCCCCACCTCATCCAGCAACATTTAGGGTGCATACATATGTCATTCCGGGTGCAGCTCCCATTACCTTCATTCTGCGCAGGCTGGCTGAGGTTTGAGTGAGTTATAGCAGTGTCTAAGGTTTCCTTTGTTAACGATTTGAGATTCAGCTTTTTCCAGTGATGTGTTTCCGTTTGTATATGTAACTACCATTTGTGTGCCTGTTTGGATGCGTATATATAAAAACAGGGCATTAAATTTGAAGCCCTACCCTTGGGGTAGGCAACCTTTGGCACTTCAGATGTTGTGGACTACATCGCCCATAATGCTCTTACAGTCAAAATGATAGCAAAGCATCAGGGTGGATGCAGTCCACAACATCTGTAATGCCAAAGGTTGCATACCTCCTGCCCTACCCTAACAGCCAGTATCTAAAAATTACTTGCCACAGCAAGCCTGGAGATTCCACTGAGAATATTTGCTAGGAGTTTCTACTTGCCAGGGCTATATTTTCACTCGCCAATGGCTAGTGATGAGTGGAAATGTTGAGCCCTGCTAAATATATATATATACATTGCACGCAAACTGTATTCCATACCATATCCTACTGTTTTCTGTGTGTATGTCTAATAAGTATTGCAGTATATATTGATGCATTATATCATTGTCACTCACATGCTGTGAACTCCACTATCAGCTCCTGAGGACAGCAGTTCGATGTATCCTGTGCACTTGGTAGTAGTACATTTTTTTAAAAAGAAATTCTCTTTCTGTGAAATGTGTCGCTCCAGGAATATTTCTTGTTAATTACTCAATGTCATTATGAAAGTTTTATTTGTTTCCAAAACAAACAACAAATCATTAACACGTACAAACCAAAGAGGTCTCTCTTGGCTGCAATTGACCCATTTTTCTTTTTTTTAAAATGCATTGTGTAGATATTGCTTTAAACAACATGAAAAAACAAAAACAAATCCAAAATAATAAAATCTAACAAAGAGATATTCATTGTACACACAACTAAAGCTTATGCAGGGTGGGCCATAATTCAGAGCAGGGTTTGAGGAGTCAATAACTTTTCTATTAATGAACCAATGTCAATGAAGTGTTTGAGGAGGCAGGAGGAAGGCAGGACTAGAGGTCCAATGGTGCAATAGTAGAACACTCATGGATCTCTGAGAATGGCAAAACTAGTGTGAGGGGTGGAAGCTAGGTAAACCTATAAGAGCTCCAAAAACATATACATATATAATGTATCTTTGTGATAAATGTTATGGTTACTGGTTTAGGAGATGTTTTAGGGAAAGTTGAACCAGGAATGACAGGCTCACCTTAACATTCCTTCTTTTTGTGCAAAGCCACGTCATCATCATGCTTGACATTAATTATCTTTGCCAGTCAGGAACTTTTCAATCAGGTCTATGCAATATGAATTGTTAGACATGTTTACTTCAGCACTGAAAGAGTTAAACAATAGTGTGAAAGCTAGCTGTTTAACTCTCGTTGCTGTGGTTTACAAATCTGACGGTCACAAGATATAAGATCACCTATTCCGTATGAATCTGTCAAACTACTTGTTTATATTCACATTATCTAGTTGGAGTACTTGACTAAAATATTTCAAGGCCTTCTGCATACAGCCTCAGTTTTGTCCAGAAAAGGAGTTTAACTCATAAATGTATAACTTATGACAGCAGTTAACAGACATATAGCATCCCAGAAACCTTTGCTGTGCTTTCAGATGACAGAGGAGGAGGGCTAAGATTTAAGATGCTGCTAATCATTTTGTAAAAAAAAAAAAAAAATTATCATATCATTACCTTAAAATAAAATGACTATTTCCATGATTATCTATGTAGTAGATATATTGCCTTTATCATTTTAAAACATTTTTATTCTTAGCTCCAAAATTGTCTGGAGTGCTGTTCGATGGAATTCCGTAATATGCAACTACAGCAGCTTGTTGATCTAAATAGTTTGTTTTGTCTGTCAAATATGTCAGATGGTAATAATAAATGCCCCATGGGACTAAATATAATGCAGTTAATAGACCTATTGTTCTTTGTGTTCCATAGGAAATCCAATTCAATCACAACACAGGCCATTGCTTAGAAGACAAGCGCATATCGACTATAGCTTTGATCCAACAGTAGAAGATCCGTGGGTCCGAATCTCTGATTGTATTAAAAATTTATTCAGTCCAACTATTAACGAAGACCGTGCTCTTATGGATCTTGAAGGGGGACTAAGTTTAGGGGATCACAAAAATGCTCATTCCCCTACTGAGCATGTCAGACCACCATCTGAATGTGAGGAACCTGGTTCCCAAATATGTAGACCAGATGAAACAATCAGCTTTAAAAAGGGCCCTCCGGTAGCACCAAAGCCAGCATGGTTCCGCCAGAGTTTAAAGTCCTCTAAGAATTCAGATAGAAAATCAACTGAAAGCTCTTTCCTGACTAAGCCCAAAGACCCAAATAATAGCTTCAAGTTATCAAACAGTTCCAATAGGACATCAATAAAACAGAAGATCAGCTCTTTTGAAACATTCAGCACACCACATTTTGTTGGCAAAGGAAATGATAAGCCTCATGTCAAACCCCAAGTGCAGCAAGGAAAACCCGCACACACAAACGAAGTAGAATGTGTTACGGTTTGTTTTAACAAAATTAATGTGAGCACTGTTGAAAATAAAGTGCTAGATAAACTTGAACCAAAAATAGATGTTCCTAAGGTTCATGAGAAAAATGACCCAATACTATCTCACTCCCCACCAAAAAACAATATTCCGAGTGCAAGAAGAAGCAGCAGTACCGGTAATGAACCACAGTTTTACATTCCATGTACTGAACTGACTGAGCCTATACCATACAAGGCCCCCAGTCTGAGATCTAGGAGCTTCCCATTGACCAAGTCCTCATCAATCGATGCTACAACAATGAGTGAAAATTGCAGCAAGATTTATTCCATCAGCAACCAGGTGTCTTCAGCTTTGATGAAGTCCTTGCTATGTTTTCCTCCGCCGTCTCCTCAGTCTTCGGTCACTGATCCATGGCAACATGACACAGACGAGAGTCAGTATAGCTCATCAAATGAGAATCACCATTTAGACTCAGGATTCTCTGTAAAGTAAGTAGGCTGTAGATGTGTGGAAGAGATTTAAAAATCTGACTTTGTCTATAAAATTTACTGAAAATGTATACTAGATTAAATGCAGTACTGTACAACAGACCATATACATCTAAGCCAGTGGTTATTAACACCTGGGTGGAAACCTAAATTTGGCTCACCAAGCTATTTTACTGGGTCCCCAGCCCAGGGGTATAAACAGACACATCAGATTTATCTCTACTACATAGAACGTCCCATAATACTCTAGTTACTGTGGCACCACTGCCTTCCTACAGAGTTGCAAGTTCATTTTTTACAACTGAAGAATGGGTAGCCATGCTAACGCTATGTACCTATTTAAGTCCCTATCATAAATGGATCAGTGATGTAAGAAGCACAGAGGAGTTATTTACATACCAAATATTATACCAAGAAGTATACATTGTGATTTTTATTTTCTGGTACAAAAGGAGACATATATGCTACTATTCTTAATGAGTTGTTCCACATATAATAGACATGAACAATACAGTTATAAATCAACAATGAGTGCAGCTGCTTTTTGGTTTAAGATAGATGGGTGAAGCTATTTTCAGGCACTTCAAAACTGGTAGAGGGTTAACTGCAGAATATGCAGTGATCAGCAGAAACTCTGCATAATATTATTTGTGCAAAATTCACACACATTACATCATCTTCCTTATAGTGATTGCCTGGAATTTATCAGTTTGTCCTAGAATTATGACACTTTTGACTTTTGTGATACATATTTATTTATATTTAAAATATATTGCAGCAGGAATTGTAACAGAGTACAGAAATGCACACTGAATTGAGTGTACTTAGTGAACTTCAAGTATTTTACTACCAACAGTGTGTATACATACTGTATCATTGGCTTTGTTATGCATTTTTTATATATAAATATATATATATAAAACTAAAAATCTAATTTACACCTCATTTACATTGATCTAAATGTTAGTGTTGGTTCTTACGCAGCTGAGAAATGAATTTCTTCCAGAAAGACTGTAAATGATGGCAGTTCTCCCCTTTTTACAAGAGCCCGTATGACTCATTGTGTACAAGCCTTCTGAACAATGTCCATAATATTAGCCAGTCATCTGTAATTATTGTATTTAACATTAGACGATCATAATGTTTGATTTCCAAATAAATTCACCAATTTAATTAAAATTACCCCAAAGCAGATTTTGCTGCAATGTTTTAATTTCTAGTAAGTTCTGGTCAGGTTGGTGTGTCATATGGTCATTTTTCAGAAACCTGAAGGAGTATTTCAAAATGTTATTCACAATACAATTTAGAAATAATTAGATGAGTTATTCATGTGTTTAATAATAATATATCATAATAATATTACACATGAATTTACCTCTGTCTAAGTAGTAAAGAGGTTAAAGTGAAAATACACTGGAAGGGTATCTCAAGCTAACATGTGCTTTAAACAAAGTGTCCTTAGCCTGTAAACACATTATCCATGTACATACTTGCTATCTCTGATTATTTATTAATACAAAGTTGCTGAATAATTAATAAACAAAATACATTCTCTGATTTATCTTGATTTAAGTAGCAAAGCTGAATTTTCCTAATATTTATTAAGAATAGAAATATCCAAATGAGAAGTATAGGAAAAGAGCACAACTTTCAACAATATCTGTATTTGCTGAATAAACAATTTGCCTCTACTTGTAAATAACAGTAGTGTTATACAATAGGAAGCTTGGATTTCATTTAAAATATTGCACACATAGCTTGCTAAGCAGCGAGGAAACAGATATGCAATGTGCTCCCCTATTGCTTCAGGTCATCAGTAATGTAGGGGGTGGGCGCGAAGTGCAGACACCCAGCTATCAATTTGACTGAAGTAGAAAGCATGAGTACTCCTTTTTTCAGTTCTCTTCTCTGTAAAGAGACGAAATAAGATCCCACTGGGTCTAGGCACCTACCTTCATTCATTTTCTCTTTTCATTCTTTGCATAGGGATGGTTAATGGAGCCAAGCAAATTCATGGCTCTGGGGCCCCTGTGTAACCTGTGGCCCCTAAGCAGCCGTCTAGGGTCACCATACGGTTAATTTTGCTTTGGCACTGTATTGTATTTCATTGGGTTGGACATACAAAATTAATTGGCATATCTTAAATGTGACACCCATGACTTGGCAGTGGTAAGGGCATTAACTTCACATGTATACTTTGAAGGCAAGTTTGCTATTTTTTTTATAGATAAACAACTTGAACCAAATGGAGAGTGTTTGGTTGGAATTATGGAAGTTTGCAAACAATTCACCGTTAGTGAAGAATATCAGTCACATTAAAAGTTATTTTCTGTGTTTGTTTGTACTTTCCGTCTTTATTAGCTGTTTTCCACACTTTTCCTCTTTACAAAATGCAAGTTTATAAGCATAAACAATATAATGCAATATAATGCAACAATTAAAGGCAAACCCCAATTCGAAATACAGGAATGCTAGCAGGACAGAAATGTTGTGTGTGTACCTTTTAGTGGAAGCTGATTAATGATCTGTAAATCTGTTTGGTCTGTATGAGATATTGCAGATGGATTTCAGATTGTTTAAAGTTTTTCTATTACAAGTTTGAGGTTATAATTTGTATTGTTTTTTTTTTTTACATTAAATCATTTAGTAATGATTTCCTGGTGAGAAAACCTTGATAGTCACAAGAGGTCTAGAAGTATCAGTAGATACTTGTTGGAAGAAGTTGAGAGTTGGCTATCCCATGTCTAGCAGGGACACAGAAAAACTACATACCATGGTGGATTACTACTAACACCTTTATCATTTAGTTACCTAATTTATCTGACAAAACCTTATGTAGGTTGTTGGGCACTTTTTAGTTTATTTGTTTATTTCATTCTTCATCTGTGTATTATTGTAGACAGTGGGAGCTCAGATATGAAAATATATCTTAGGTGTCCCTATATGAAATTTCACATTGTCATTCAAATGCTACCAAAAATTACCCTATCCATTTTAGATCTTCAAGAAAGTTATTAATTTCTTCTTTTTCGCAAAATGTGTTGATTACACTTGGTGTATTAAATGTTAAAATGTTTGCTTTTTTCTGTCCTGTATTACAAATGTTCTCACACTATGAATTTTCTTTACTTAAAGCCTCTCTGAATTAAGAGGATATGGATCAGGGAACACAGAGAAGAAGGAAGAAGATGCATCAGAAAAGTTGTCTTCAATGTCCATAGCAGCAACATCTTCTGGTCATAGTGGTCAGTCTGTCATATCATTACTTCCACAGGAAGAGCTAACACGACTTGTAGAGGATGTCAAAGAGCTGGATGAAGAAACTCTCAAGGTCTGTATTTTATTTAATAAATTTTTTTACCATAAGTGTAGGAGTCCCAGGAAATCTAAAGTGATGCCGGACATTTTGTTCAAGGTAACTATTAACATCACCCCTCCACCTCAAAGAGTTAGTAATTTCAGATATATCAGTGCAGGCAGTCATCTAGTTAAATCCCTTGGAGGAGCTTATCTTAGTTGGAGCAGCTTATGATCAGCATACTAACTGGAGTTTCTCTTTTGTGTTACATTGTAGAGATAGGTATTCTATAGGATAGCATGGGGATGTAAGGAGAGTCTTGTTTAATATGTTTTTCCCCTCTAGAGAAGTGAATAATACCACTACTAAATTTACTCCTCTGGTTAGTATTGAGGGTCTTACCAGGTGAACCAGAGGATCTGTTCCTAATGAGGATCTGTTCCCTCAAACAGATATAGGTATATGTATTGTTTAAATTAGGGCAAAAAAATCACATGAGAAATTGTACAACTGTGAGGGAAAAAAGTATTTGATCCCCTGCTGATTTTGAACGTTTGCTCACTGACAAAGAAATGATCCGTCAATAAATTAAATTTTAGGTGTATTTTAACAGTGAGAGACAGAATAACAAAAAAATAAATCCAGAAAAAAAGCATGTCAAAAAAATATAAATTGATTTGAATGTCAATGAGTAAAAAATAAGTATTTGATCCCCTATCAATCAGCAAGATGTCTGGCACCCAGGTGTCTTTTATACAGGTCATGAGCTGAGATTAGGAGCACTCTCTTAAACGAAATGCTCCTAATCTCAGCTTGTTACCTGTATAAAAGACACCTGTCTACAGAAGCAATCAATCAGATTCCAAACTCTCCACCATGGCCAAGACCAAAGAGCTGTCCAAGGATGTCAGGGACAGGATTGTAGACCTACACAAGGCTGGAATGGGCTGCAAGACCATTGTCAAGCAGCTTGGTGAGAAGGTGACAACTGTTTGTGCGATTATTCGCAAATGTAAGAAACACAACATAACTGTCAGTTTCCCTTGGTCTGGTGCTCCATGCAAGATCTCACCTCATGGAGTTTCAATGGTCATGATAACGGTGAGGAATCAGCCCAGAACTACACAGGAGGATCTTGTTATTGATCTTAAGGCAGCTGGGACCATAGTCACGAAGAAAACTATTGGTAACACACTACGCCGTAAAGGACTGAAATCCTGCAGAGCCCGCAAGGTCCCCCGTCCCCTGCTCAAAAAAGCAAATGTACATGCACGTCTGACGTTTGCCAATGAACATCTGAATGATTCAGAGGAGAACTGGGTGAAAGTGTTGTGGTCAGATGAGACCAAAATCGAGCTCTTTGGCATCAACTCAACTCGCCGTGTTTGGAGGAGGAGGAATGCTGCCTATGACCCCAAGAACACCATGCCCACCGTCAAACAAAGAGGTGGAAACATTATGCTTTGGGGGGTTTTTCTGCCAAGGGGACAGGACAACTGCACCACATCAAAGGGACGATGGACAGGGCCATATACCTTCAAATCTTGGGTGAGAACCTCCTTTTCTCAGCCAGGGCATTGAAAATGGGTTGTGGATGGGCATTCCAGCATGAGAATGACCCAAAACACACAGGCAAGGCAACAAAGGAGTGGCTCAAAAAGAAGCACATTACGGTCCTGAAATGGCCTAGCCAGTCTCCAGACCTTAATCCCATAGAAAATTTGTGGAGGGAGCTGAAGGTTCGAGTTGCCAAACATCAACCTTGAAACCTTAATGACTTGGAGAGGATCTGCAAAGAAGAGTGTGACAAAATCCCTCCTATCTGTGTGCAAACCTGGTAGCCAATTACAAGAAACGTCTGACCTCTGTGATTGCCAACAAGGGTTTTACCACCAAATACTAAGTCGAATGGGTCTAATACTTATTTCACTCATTGACATGCAAATCAATTTACAACTTTTTTGACATGCGTTTTTATGTATTCTGTATTTCGTTATTCTGTCTCTCACTGTTAAAATACACCTATCATTAAAAATATAGACTGATCATGTCTTTGTCAGTCGGCAAACATTCAAAATCAGCAGGGGATCAAATACTTTTTCCCCTCACTGTACCATAATGAAGGCCCAATGCGTCAAGTCATTATTTTAAAATATAGCAAAAGATATTCACAGACATAGTACATTTACATTCCATAACAGGTAAATACTGTGTGTTAGTTGTTATTTGTGATTTTTGCATTTTGTGACAAATTAACACAAGGTGCATTCTGTTAAATAAACTACCTCAAACAAATTTACTCTTTTAAAAATCTATAGGATCTCAAATTTAATTAGATGGCATCTATTGTCATATAATAGAAATTAAATATAAAATTTTCCCAAAAATTATAAGTATGGGATATCTTGGAACCATGACGACGTCTTGCCCCCCCTTTTTTTCTCCCCCCACAAAAATGACACAAACAGGGTCATTTACTAAAGTGAGGCTTGTCAGGAATTAGTGAATTAGTAAAATAGCTGAATTAGAAAAACGCTCCAAGTCATCAGTGCTTCCACTTAACCTATTTTGCCATAAAGTTGAAAGTCAAAGTAAACTTGGAATTCCTGGCAAATTCTCACTTTATCGAATAACCATGAAAATAAATTAGAATAATCACTGCATTCTTTTGGTCCTTATTTATTTATTTTTATAATTGTAAACTTAGCATATGTATCGTCTATTAATTAAACCTTGAAAGGTGTAATTAATTAAAATCACACATTTCCCTGGAATTTGTTTGTGTTTAATGAGATTTAAATTGTTTTAATAATCTGGACATGTGTGACCTTTCGTATGTTTTAATTAAGAACTCACAAAATAGTAACACATTGTGAGGTGTTGTCTGGACATCCATTTACAAACCAGCACCAACAGCATTCAAGTTGTCTCTACTGCCTTTTGGTCTTCGTGCATTAGTTTTGGAATCACCTGTATGAATGTATAAATCATTAAGTAGTGAGTGCGTGTTATCATGAGGTTAAAAGTCAATTAGTGGTGTCTCGACCCAAACAGTCCTGTTATTGTACTGTTCAACCAGCTAATAAAATTCTACTTCCTGTTCAGCAATTTGATGACATTCACGTGGTTGTCCTGCACAAGGAGGAAGGGACCGGCCTGGGATTTAGTCTTGCTGGAGGTCAAGACTTGGAGAACAAGGCTATCTCTGTATGTACTAACCTGTAGCAAATATTTTATTTTTTTTGCTGATTATGCCTTTAGCCTTAAACAGTTGATTACATAGCTTAAGAAGTTTGAGATTCTCAAATAAATTTGCCAGATGAACACTTTACTAAGGAACCCAGTCAAAATATTTGTATCTGTGTTGAATAAGATAATATATTCTCCTGAAATATACATAATTTATCAGTTGTTTCTCTCATTTAAAGGACAATCTAATATCCTTACCCCAAAACACATTTAATTATTGGTAATGGTAAATATTACATATTTATATAGTTAATACAATGTTAAACAAAAATCTGCACACCAGTCAAGCCATAAGACTTGCTTTTCCCACAAAAGTCACAAATCTGCAGTGATGTTACAACCGCAAAGGATTCTGGGTGGCCATATGCAAATTAGTTTAACAAACAATCACATTTTTGCCTTATTCCATTTTAAAAATGGATTCCTCAGAGTCTGTGTTTGCTGTATAGAACAGCTTGAAACACAACTTAGGAAAAGATGCAAAGCCAGTGAACCACTCATGGACAGCTGTGTCATTGTTAATGCAAATCATCAGCATGAGGCTGGTTACTGGTTTGCTATTGAGGCTTGGTAGTGCTTAGGAAGCAAAAACCAAAAAAGTTATGGTGGGGAAAAAAATGTGATTGAAAACCCCTTCCATCTGAAGTCTGTGGATAGTTAATACATTGTTAAACAAAAATCTGCACACCAGTCAAGCCATATATATATACACACACACCAATTATAGCATATTATATTACAGCGTATACAGCATTTAATGCAATATCTGAATAATTAATATTTATGTTAAGCCATCACTGTGTCAATGCACTGTATTTGGTATTGATCATGATTAATTTTAAAATGTGTTGGCTCACTCAAGACTGTAAATGTAGATTAAATGGATTCACTATGAGTCAGCCAATAATTAACAGCATATTTATAAAACTGTGTGTTTGTAAAATCAAAGTGACTCTGTTATCATGTTCATCCAGTGGATCCTCACCTGCCAGGAGCTATCGTCAGTGCTGTATTCTTGTGCATACGCGAGAATACAACACTGAGGTCTATGGTTGGTTTGGGAGTCTGTGGGAGCCTCCACAGGCAATGCCTTTTTCCTCCCAGCAGTCACTAGTGACAGCTGGTGGAAATTACAAAATTTATGGTGGCAGCTTTGCCTTTTTGGCAAGTTCTGTCAGGTGTACGGAATATACATAAAACAAAGTAGTCCCTACTTATTCTTATGATATCTTTGACTGTGTTGGAATTCCAGTAAAATTCAAACACAGCCAAAACAGCAGCACCTCATCTTGATGTCAGTGATATTTTCATTATACAGTGAGTTGTGGTGAATAAACCAGCTAGTGGTCTATTCATTATACTGTGAGTTGTGAAATTTGGACAATCAACTCGGCTCTTTCACTAAATATTGCAACTTGGTAGTCAATTTATCACAAGTATAGTGACTAGAGTATAGCGAATAGACCTAACGTTAGCTGGTTTATTCACCACAGCTCTCTGTTTAGAAAATGGAACACAATTTGGTTTATCCACCATCACTCACGAATAGACCACTAACAAATATGACACTAGGTGAGAAAATATATAAAAAGTACAGGATGCAACAAAAAAACTTGCAAAAAAATATAATGCACAGAATAGTGATGTCCCGAACGGTTCGCCACGAACGGTTCGCTACGGACTCATCATTGAGTAAACTTTGACCCTGTACCTCACAGTCAGCAGACACATTCCAGCCAATCAGCATCAGACCCTCCCTCCCAGACCCTCCCACCTCCTGGACAGCTCACTAAAAATGCAGCTTCACAATGAATGTAAAATGGATGCTATCCAGGAGGTGGGAGGGTCTGGGAGGGAGGGTCTGCTGCTGATTCGGGACATCAATAGCACAGAATAATATACATGTATCAAGGGGAGGCTGTTTTTTGCAGAAAGCTCTGAACTGGTTTGCTTGATCCTACTATAGGAATAAATAAATACCTTTATGCCAGTAAAGTAGACATATGGCCATGGCATATAAGGGTGAGTATAAAGATCACCACTGACGCATTTCATACTTCCTCAGTGGCACAGAATGAGTCAGTGGTGATCCATATACTCCCCCTGTATATACTGACTGTGTATCTGGTTTATTTGAATAAATGTATTTATTTAGTATTTATTTATCCTTATCGTTGGATTGAGACGGCTTTCTTCTATATTGAAGAGATCAGCCAATGCAGTTCTTCCCTGGTTTATTCACCACAATAGGCGAATAGGTGTATAGGTCACTAGCCAATTTTCATTCAGCTCAAAACAGCACACTTTGAAGAGTATAATATCCTATAACTTTTTTTGGGTGATATGTTTGTATAACACTGCATGTATAAAGATAGCTCAATATATGTTTAGGTGTGAATTAAAATTATCACAAACGGCACTTATTACTCTTACATTGTGACTCAAGGATAGAGATAATTCAAAAGTAGGTTGTCAAATAATGCAAACTCAGAATGCTCAAAATGAAAGTAAAAATTTGACTAGCATTTTTTTTGTGCAGTTGCCATACCCACTGACTATTTTTTGTGGTGCAATGTTTATAAGTACACTATAAATACATTATTTTGAATTGGCACAATGACGTTATTAACTATATCAGAAAAAGATTAAGATCCCATGGGGACCTAGGCAGGTTACCAATTTGGGCCCACCCCTTCATTCTTCACATAAGGATGGTTAGTGGGACCACATTTTTGGTTCTAGGGCTCCTGTCTAACCCCTGAACATTAGGTTGCTGTCTAGGTTCCTTCTTGGTTAATCCTGTTCTGAACTCTTTATCCCCTCTGTATTTTTTATTACATATAACATATTAACTTTGCATGCACGTGTTGCAAATACTTTTTTTTTAGGTGCACAGGGTGTTCCCAAATGGTCTGACTGCACAGGAAGGAACAATTCAGAAAGGTGATAAAGTCTTGTCCATCAATGGGAAGTCTCTGAAGGGCGTGACGCACAATGATGCGCTGGCAATTCTTCGTCAGGCTCGTCATCCTAAACAAGCGGTTATTGTTGTAAAGAAAGAAAAAGAAGGAGGACAAAGTTTGGATTCATCAGAAAACAGTATTCTGACTGATAATCTCTTGGCATCAAGTAAGCAATAAGCGTGTACTTGTTGATTACTGAAGACGTCAGAGCAGTGATGGAAGACAATATTACGAGGAAGTTTAGTTAAGTGACAGTTATGACTTGAGCAGAAGATTTTGTTTTAAAATACAGTCTACATGGACCACTTCCTTCCCAGCCCCATCTATAGATACAGCTTAACTCCTGCTTTGCATAGTAAATAATAACAAATAGTTATAAAGCCCCTATTCACATTTCCCATTACTCCAACCCATCTGCTCATTTTGCATTGGAAAAAGGTTCACTGGCATTATCTCCATCTACATCTCTGCAGAGGAACTGAAACCTACACGTTAGAGAAACATTGGTAGATTAGACAAGATAAATATGTTATCTATACAGCCACTTGGTTTTACAGATCTCACATATATGTGCACCTCATGTTTCCTCCTTTCTTTTGTACTGTCTCCTTTTAATCTCTTGTACTCTACTTCTTTATGGACATGCAGCATGACATCCCAACTTTTTTTTCAATTAGCCTGTTTCTGTTTTCACTCTTGGAACTGGATGTTATGCAATTGGATACTTGTCTTTTTTTCTTTGCCTTCCTGTGTAAAATATTGCATAATTGGAATACAAATGTATCTTGTTCAAAAAAGAAGCAACTGTACTTATACATTATATATATTTTGCAAGTCAGCCTACTTTTGCCCCAGAACAGTGAATTTGCACCGCTTTTTTGAGTTTCCACCATATATATATTTTTTTATTTTTTCTATTATAGATTCGGATGATTCTGGGGAGGTAATTGCAGTCACGCTTGAAAAGTCTTTGGCTGGTTTAGGATTCAGCTTGGATGGAGGAAAGGGCTCGGTTCATGGAGACAAACCAATAGTCATCAATAGAATCTTTAAAGGTTTGTTTGGGTGAATTGTGATAAAAAACTAACATTTTCAAACACTGATTAAGATTACATTAGTGACCCTCCAACTCTGTCTTCAATCAAGGCAATACAAATAGTTTTTTGTTTTACTATTATCTCAGGTTTGTAACAGGAAACATATAACTTGGTGTATGTCTTCTGTAATGTATAATGTTTTTTGTTTATGCAGGTTAGTATTTTATGTAAACTGTTTGCTTTTTTAATATAATTTAGTATTTGTGTATTTTCTAGCTATAATTGTATGAGATTGGGCCTTGTTTTGAAGGGAAACTATAGTCACCAAAACAACTTTAGCTTAATGAAGCAGTTTTGGTGTATAGATCATGTCCCCGCAGTCTCACTGCTCAATTCTCTTCCATTTAGGTAGATACATCTGTTTATGCAGCCCTAGTCACACCTCTCTGCATGTGACTTACACAGCCTTCCTAAACACTTCCTGTAGAAAGTCATCTAATTTTTACACTTCCTTTATTGCAAACTCTGTTCAATTTAAAAAAAATGTATCTCCTACTCTGTTAATAGCTTGCTAGACCATGCAGGAGTCTCCTGTATGTAATTAAAGTTCAATTCATAAGGAAGGTGATAAATACTTCTAAAGTAAATAGCATCTGATTGAAAGTGAAAACCTCCTTTTTCATGCAGGCTCTGTCAATCATAGCCAGTGGAGGTGTGGGTAAGGTTGCATAAACAGAAACAAAGGTTATTTAACTCCTTAATAGCAGAGAATTGAGCAGTGAAACTCCAGGGGTATGATCTATACCCTTAAACTATTTCAATAAGCTAAACTTGTTTTGGTGACTATAGTGTTCCTTTAATTATAATTACCTCCCTTGATTTATTTTTTTCTTATCTCAGAAGGGTTAATTGGCTTTGTGTAGCTCAAAAAAGTCGCTTCTAATCTTAGTAAATAAATTATTTACCAGAAATAAAGAGAATCTGTAAGATATAGAATCTCTGGTATAAATGACATATCTATAAAAATTAAACTAGGAACTATTAGTTAGATTAAAGAGGTCCATCTTCCTTCTGCAGGCGTATTGCCCACTAAGATGATTAAATCACGGAATAAGTGATTTTTTTTTTAGATGTTCTAATAAAGAGATTAATATTACTGTATCTACAAAATTCACATATATACAATACAATCAATGAATCTATATTGCACCGAATAAATGTATCCAGCGTTTAGAGAACACTTAAAGTGTAATACAAACTCAATTTTAGAAATGTGAATAAACTTAAGGAAGCATCAGGAAATGAGGGCTTTGTTTGGCAGATTACAGTCTTTATATACAATATGTAATGTGCATACATAAATATAAATTGTTATGCTGCCAAATATGTTTAAATTACATCTCAAACTACTTAGTGAGCATAGAAACCAAATACAAATGTTGAGAAGTGATATGTTTTATTTCTCTAGAAGTAACACATGAGGGCAGTAGTGTGCTGGCCATACAGAGTGCAAATCTCCACATCCAATGTTTGTGAGGAAAGCTTATTTGCCTGCTCAAAGGCATACGTGTAAGACACGCACATGTAAAGAGGACAATATTATAAGAACAGAACACTATATGGCAACATTAATCTTGGCAGTCAGTACGCAGATTGGGCACCAGGCCAAAAACATATGTGGCATACTCACAAGGCAGGCAATATCATACGGCTACATTTGCTCAACACGCACCCACATATACAACCCCCACACACTTACACACAACTCCCGTTAAACACATGCAGCTATGCCTACCTTTCCTCACACACATGCATCCCTCCAACACATACATGCAGCCCTCACTTGCTGTCAAACACTCAATTTCCATCCAACACATGCAGCCTTCCCCCACAATTCCACAAATTTTGCACTGTGCATTCTACAATAAAATTCACTTTTTCTTCTGCAGGTGTGTCAGAAAAGAACAATGCTGTGCAGTCTGGGGATGAATTACTGCAGTTGGGAAACATCACTTTGCAAGGTCTAACAAGGTTTGAAGCGTGGACGGCCATCAAGACCTTACCCAACGGTCCTGTCCAGGCCATTATTAGGAGAAGTGGCACTGATTTCTAGTATGAGGGACTGATGGACAACACGTGACCAAAATTAACAAGTGAATTCAGTACTATCACTGATTCTTGCTACTGCTACACGCATAGGCAGATCTGCTTTGACCTTGGCGAACGACTTTGTGATGATGACACTCCAAATCTTTGTGAACTATATGTCCCATTGTTCTGAGGCCTCCTAATGGCTGGCTGAGCATGAGGGCAAATGTAGTTTATGATCACCTGGTGTTCCAAAGTTAGCTATGGCTGCCCAATTTTGGTCTAATGGTGATTTTGTAATAACCTGGTAACAGTTTATCTCCCTGTCTATACATAGAAGTAAATAACTTCATGGAAGCTCAAACTCACTGACATCGTATATAGTGCCGGTATGTCCCTGGCATATTAAAAAAAAGCCTTACCAATAAAATGAATGTAATTTGTGCCATTTGAACAATGAATAGGAAGACTTATATAAACCTGGGAATAAGTAAATCAACAGACACTTTGTGCATGATGGTATTCTCCAAATAGACTTTATATGTACACATATACCCTTTGTGTCACTATACCCCACTCACTCTAGAATGAGCAGAGCCCTCCACCTGTCTGTTCCTGTACATCCAGTTGTCTGGTTACAATTACATGTCTGTTAGTCCACCCATTGTACAGCACTACGGAATCTGATGGCGCTATATAAATAATAAAATAATAAATAAATAATAAAATAATAATAATACAGGAAACATAAAGATCACTCTCTCTACATACAGTATATAAAAACAAAAAAGTTAAGTGCTATCTTTAAAGTGCTTTAAAGGTATATACACTGAACTACTGCAGCAACAGTGCACGATAAGTGGTATTTTATTGGCACCAAAAGCACTGCACTAAAGATAGCGCTGCACTTTTTAGTATTTTTATGTTGATTGTTTGGGAATGTTAAGAGGAATTGCATACTGACGTGTGACAGCAGCTGATGTATAATCTTTTATTGTTATTATTATAGTCTGTGTTAGGGGATATCTACTAAATAGCGCTTTTGTACTGTGCAGTCACCGTGTTGTTACTATACATTCAGTATAACATACAATATACAGTATGCATTAGAAACACGTTCAGAGACACATACATCCAAAAATAGCAAAGCAAGAAATAAATAGACATCTAGGTTTAAATCAAGGAAGCTGAGTTGTTGAAATTTCCATGTTTCAGGTTTTATCTGAAGGCCACTAAAATTAATATTTTCAAGTTGGGTAAATAAAACCCATAAATTCATGACATAATTGGAACATTTCAACATATTAATCTTGGCATATCTAGATTTGTATTTTAAAAATCATCTTCTCCCCTTGTGATCTGACTCGTAATGGTTTTTCTACATACCTTCCTATGGATACTTAAAAAATATTTTAGTTCATATATCCCATCTGGTGTAATATATAGATATGTCAAACTATGTGCAACAAATATAATTAGATGTATTTCCATTTCTATGCTGTGATCATGTTATTTGTTGGACTTATGTGGCCTTTTACGTTTTAGTATCTGTTTTAATATACTGTTCCACACACACATAAGAAATCAATGTGTTAAATGCAATTTTGCATATAATGTTTTTGCAGATTGAATTATCTGTAGATATGATCACAGTAATCAGAATTGCTTGAAATATATATGAGAACAGCATATCTCTTTTCATTGTGTAACAGTAACAATGACCAGATTTATACAGTATATATATATATAGTTGAACTCAGGGCAATCTTAGATTCCCACAAATGGAACGTAGAGAAGTAACCATTCAACCAGCAACTGTGGGCTGTTTTCTGCTGGTTAGCCATTGAATTCATTGAAGTAATATAAGACTTGGACCAGGAGACCCAAGCATCTATATTTCAATATATATCCAACTGATCTTACTTAGGTCTGATCCAATGAGGTATATTAGAATGTTCTCTCCTAAACGTAAACCTTCTTTCCCATGCTTGACCTAGCAAACATGAGGATACTTTTTTTAAAAGTGCATGGATTTACTATTTGGAGCTGATCTTAATGTATTATTCCTTAAAATGTAAGGAAGATGAGAAGCTGATGTAGTTAGTGAAACCATTTCATTCTTTTAGTTAAAAATCCATATATATGAACTAATTTCACCTACAAAATTAAAAGTAAAATAGTAAATGTATAATAGGGACATGAAGTCGTTATTTTTATCTGTAAATTGCCTACATTGAAACACATAGGGCCCCTACATGTATTTATACCTGGAACCATTTGTGATTCAGTGGACGAATATATCTTCCTACCAAGGACAAGTTGACAAATTTCATACCATATAATAGTTTCATATGCTTTATAAACGCCAACAAGCCATTGTTTACTATTAGAATGGGTTTATATTTCTCATTCCAGGTGGCCATATGTGTTACTGCAGTTAAAAAGAACAGCTCTGCTGCTTTGCAGTGTTTGTGGTGGATAGTTAATGTTTATGATTGGTGGTCCAAAAGGTAAATGGTTAGTGTGAATAGTTAGACCTGTCCAAATGGGACGTAGGATTGTCTTTAAATTAGGCTCAGCTAAGAGAACAATAGATACGACTTAACATTTATCTTTCCCACATAAGAAAATGGTAATACCACAAAGGCTCAATAACTAATTGTCATAGACATCAAGAAAGTAACGAGGTATGCTTATACCACATCACATTCTTTATATTCTATACATTCTATACCACATCACATAGCTTTAGGAATACAAACAAATACAGTCCTAACACTATAATGCTATATTACCTATCTGAATTATTCAGCCACCAGCATAAGTTATATAAATGCAACCCCCCCCCCCCCCCCAGCAAGGCCATCCTGCCCCTGGCAGACATCAACAATACTGAGAATCTCAGCCAATCCAATGCTTTGAATTGGGAAGTATTGGAAGGTTAATGTGCGTCACCATGCTCCAACCAATCAGCATCTCCTAACAGAGATGCATTGAATCTCTATGGGGGATGTTCAGCATCTCCATGCAGAGTGTGGAGACGCTGAACGTTGGCCCTGCTCTGCAGGACCGAAACCCATGAATCCCCTATGCAGGCTGTTCGTGTAACTACCACTAGAGGTGGTGTTAAGCAGCAATGTAGACACTGCCTTTTCTCAGAGAAGGTAATGTTTACATAACTTTGCTTAGCTTGCAGGGACAGGCTATATGCCCTAGAACCACAACACTAAGCTGTAGTGGATCTGGGAACCTATAGTGTCTCTTTAAGATTACAATAAATCAATGGTAAAACAAAAACACAATAAGTAACACAGTGTTCCATTGCTAAGGGTGCTTGCAGAAATGCATAGTAAAGTCAAAAAGACAAAACACGATTTCTTGGAGACATAGCGTCCCAAGGATTCTATGGAGTTGATGCACAACAGTAATTTTTGTATTTGCAAAATTGTCATAGTAATTCATTACTCTTATCTCTCTTTATCGTTAAACAATTATTTCCAAATGAATGTGCTATGCATTAAATATTTACCTGGAAAGAGTTAATCATTTTTATAATTTTATGACTGTGAAATGCCATAAAATGATCACAAATGTAGGCTGAAATTTAATGTTCCAATATTCATTAGCTGCTGTTGCGATCCACTGAGCTGTATGAAAGTTGCAATTACTAGCTTAATAGCGCCATAACATTTTGGGAAAAGGTATATTTCTATGCAAATGAAGACTGAATGCAGCAGATGGCACCTGCTATAGATAAGAGCCATGTTCCAGAATTTTATACTTTGCATTTTTATGAAGATAGATTATTTTTTTTTGAAACCAAAGAATCAAAAAACAAAACAAAAAATATATTATAACATGATGACTGTTAACAATGAATACACTTTAGAAACTACAAAGCCAAGTTGGAGATTTATCAAAGACAAGTGTAGGGTTTACACTTACTTGCGCTTGTTTGCTTTAAAATATTAGCATTTATTTGAAAAATTGAATGGGTTGAACATGAATGTTGGATAAAACAGCAAGTTTTATTTTTATAATTAATTCCAGCCTGGAATAAATCTACCTTCAAAGGTTATTTGAAATCTTTGACAGAGCGGCATATTGTATTAGGGTGCATACCCAAATAAAATTATAAACAAAATTTTACTTAAAAATTGTTCATTTGAAAATTTAGGTGGATGATAATTTTTGTTTGCTAAAGCAATACCTCCCAGATGTAAACAGACATAATTCAATAATGTTAGAAAACTCTGCTAAAATTCCCATAAACATTAACAGTGACTTCTGTAGATAAAACATTTGTAACGTTTCTCTAACAGTAGTGAATCATGTTGGAAAGTTTTGTAGTGAATCATGCTGGAACGTTTATTAAATTGAGGGTATAGTCATGATTTTTATTTTTTAATTAAAAAAAAAAAAAGGTTACTTAAAATTCTTATGGAAGTGTCTACAGAGATCTAACAGAGGACAGGTAGGAGAATTTGGCCCTGCATTAGGCTGTGCCCGGCTATTCTCAACACAACCTTTGCATACATCCATGATCTCAAACATGTTTAATTGTAACAATTAACCCGTGAATGTTTAGAGATCAATAACAATGCCTTAGTGAGAAATAATTTAGATTTTCGTGCCTGGTGCAAAGCAAATCAATGGACTGGCCAAATATGTGATACTTAGAGCGCTAATAGTCTTGATGCTTGACAGCATGCATTATTTTACAATCTAAACAGCTACATGTAGAACTCAGCTGCACATTGCTAAATTAAAATATATACAGCTTAGAATACAAATTGTGATGTAGCCCATCATCACTTTCTTTTACTAAAACTATTCACAGGGGTTGATATTTATAAAATTTATTTTAAAAAAATTAATGATTAAAAAAAAAAAAAAAACTTGGGTCAGAATTCTTCAATGTGTCATTGACCCTAATATAAGCTTTACTTCTAGATCATTAGAAAATCATTTATCTAATAATGCATTTACCCTAATTGCCTTGGAACATATTATGCTACTGGAATAGTGACACACATCTAACTTTTCTCTTGAAAAGTATACATTCTTCTGAATCTAATAACAGTTAAACAAAAATCAAACAAACAAAAAACACATTTAAAAAAAATGAAAAAGAAGAGCTGATGTGTGTTTTTTATCATTATCGGAAAAGCACACGTCACTATGTTGTTTATTTGTTTATGTACCATGTGAGCCAATTGTCCCCTAACCAATCCTTACTGCCACTACTGGGTTTAAGAGGTTCTGTTCATATCCACTGAAGCACTGATGCAGGATTGGGTAATCTAAATCTATAATCCTTGGTAGTTTTTATTTTTAATGAAGGACTATTAGAGGTGCAGTTTGTTCAAGCTTAATTCAATAGTCGCAATCTGTTTATATAGAATAGGTTCATTTTAGTCATTACTCGGGCTTGTACGTTAGGCAGTATAGTTATAGAGCCATGCTGTGTAAAATAAAAGTTGAACTTAGAAGAATTTAAAGTTAAATTTGCTGCACACTGCACTGGTATTTAAAAGGTTAAAATTGAGTTGAATCCCCATATATTCTGCACAGCAAGTACAGGCACTTTGAATGTAGCATCATTTTGCTGGTGGTGGTAAACTTAATTTCCTTTGGCAAAACTGAGACTAAACATCTTACCCTTTACCACTAAAGTCAATTTTGCAATATGAAGAAAAAATAGAATATACAGTATGTTACACTTAAAAGCCTTCATTAACCCCTTAAGGACCAAACTTCTGGAATAAAAGGGAATAATGACATGTCACACATGTCATGTGTCCTTAATGGGTTAAAGTGCAAGAATTCAAGACGACTTAGCTCTATCTTTCAAATGAGACATGTGAGGGAACCTGCAGCTGCTAAACATGTTGAAAATACGCAAAACTGGATTTAGAAATAAAAATTATCCTAAACCTATGCTGTTACGATTGCCATTTTTGTAAATATTCAAACTGTGTATGTAAGCAGTATTTGTAAATACGTCATTTTTAAAATTGCTAATAAAGTCTAATTTTTCTGTTAAAAGATGTCTCGTACTTTGCATTCTACAATGTTTGTGCTGGAATGAATGAGCAATATATCAATATGCTTTTGTTGGGGTTCAGAATGTGTTTTAATGTCTCGGATTCCCAAAACAATTTCATTCATTCATTCTGTTAACCTTTATTTTTCATTGGACTTACCTTGGGTAAGTTACATGGCACAGTGAGATTTTAGGTACCGAAAGGACAGAGTGAGGCTTCCAGCGAATTGAACCCCTTGGATATGTCAGGTAAGTAAAGGTGTAGGTGTAATACAGGATGACAAGAGATCTACTATAACCAGTAGTTATATATATTTTAATACATTATAATGTGCAGGCTTTTGACTCACAGAGTCTTCTTCACACAGAATGCATCAACAGAAATGAACAGAGAATAAAGTGCAGGGACGTGTCTTAACAAAAAGGGTGCGCAGAACAGAAGACAAAGGCTAGGTCATTAAATATTTAACTGAGAGAAATAACATGGTAACAGCACCAATAGGATAATCTCTTAAAGACTTAGAGGTAGCTGAAATAAAATGTATCACTGCTCAAAACACTATTAATTCAGAAAAAAAATCTACTGCAAAATACTGCTACATTACATTGTGGTAAGTGTTTCTTTGGACTCACATAATTCTTTTAAGACAAACTTTTGGGAGTTGCTCACTTAATCATGTTTAAGACATTACAAGATACTGCAATACCATATTAGAATAATAAACAAAAACTCAAGTACAATGTATAAATAAAAATGCATTTAACCCAAAAATGTATATAAATATGCGCACACTATCTTTAGAAATTCATAAATATGATATGAATATTATCAAATCATGTGTATGCTGAATTGAAAGACAGAACTGTCCATCTGCAGCTTACAGTTCTGCTTGGTGAACTATACAACGTATCCATAAAACATCCATAGAACATATCCAGATTTATGATTAAGGGCTGCCTCAATGTGAGCAAGTAAATGCATTAAATTAAGGAGCACACTAATCATCACTAGACTTGTGCAAAAATGTACCTCGAACAGTCCGTCCGATTAATTTCCTTTTAATCCCCACCCAGATGAAATACTTGTGGAGTCTTATCGATTGAATAAGACTTCACAGGTAAATCCAGAAAAAAAATTATTGTGTGGATTAAAAAGGAATATGATTTGAACAAACTATCTGAAACAAGTTTTTGCATAAGTCTAGTAATCATCACGTTATAGAACAAAATAATTTAAGTTGACTTTTCAGGAAGGTCAATCACTTTATCAGATCATTGGCTTGGGCTATCAATAAGAATGGCATAGACCTTGTCACGGGTGGCTCTAGATCAGTGCTGGACTAGCAGTGGCCCATAAAATGGCAGTAGAAGAAAATGGTTTGGAAGCCAAAGGTATGTCCATTTCAAGTCTATATCTCTTTATAGCTGGTGGCACAGATAGATTAAGGTTGCCTAGGGCCCCAGGATGGAGACCAGATTTAGGAACCCCCTCCCAGAGCCCTGGTCTCTGTTTTTATGAATGTTGTGTGTCGTGGCTGAGTGTTGTAGGTGTGCGTGAGACTGAGTTTTGTGCGTGTCATGGCTGAGAGCTGTATGTGTGTGCTGGTTGAGTGTTGTATCTGGTGGATGAATTTTGTGTATTGACAAGTCTGAGTGTTGTATGTGTGTGTGGAGGAGAGCCGAGTGTTGTGTATGCATGGTGTCTGAGTGTGTCAAGGAAGGGGAAGTTTTTCTTTAGCCTCCCACATGCTAACCTTTTGGCAGCATGGGTTGTTTTGGTAGTCCAGTGGATGCTATGCTCTGCAGGGTCTCTGTTGGTGCAGTGGGGGGGAGGGCATTGTGGTCGGCACCTCTAGCGGGTGCAGGTCTTGGTGCTGTCTTGAAGACTCCGTAGGAGGGTAGGGAGCTCTTAAGGTCCTCTGAACCTGATACTTGTGCAGAACATGGAGCTCCCTCGCTGTAGTCAGGAAGCACATGGGTGATCTCTTGATCTCCCTGCCAGCTCAAGAATGGTCCCCTCACATACAGAGCAGGTGCTCAAGGCTCAGTCTGGGGTCCACCAGACCCTACGCTGCCACATATGCTACCTAATGAGTAATCTGGCTATTGCTGGTAGAGCATATAATTGCAACTAAAATCGAGATAAAAAAAATGGGTGTGAACACTGAGGAGCAAAGTAAAAGAGTAAAAATAATCAAATGCTTTCTGGCACAAGAAATCAATGTATATACGAATCTAAAAGGTAAAAGAACTCTCTCTCTTCAAAATGAAATTATAAATATGTGTGTCATATACTGCATTACTAGCTCCATCGCACACTGAGGACACAAACGTCTTCTACAGGTTGCTGCTGAATGTTTTGGCGTCATACTTTGAGCTCCTTGACAGCTTTTGTAAGGTTGCTGTAGAAATTAGTCATGCTGTATGGGAAAAATGATTCTACCACAGATTTCGGAAGATATCCACTAAGATCTGTCTGAAAGAAGCTCAGCAGTTGGGTTTTTTCTGGCTCTCTGCAAACAATAACATAAAGGTAAATTAATTATAATAATTTATTGATATTAAATATGCACAGCAGTCAGTAATTAATGTCACTTTCAGCAATCAATGGTTTTTGACTCGTTTTGAAATTTAGATAAGTATAATTAAAAAACCGATGACGTGTTTACAGATCCAAATAACTAACGTACCTGTATACCAGTTTTGCATTACTTACATTATGCTCCACTGCCCAAATACAAATAAATAAATTACTATTTAGTAGACATACCCCCTATGAAAACATTTTTAAAAAAAACAGGCAGGTGCTCTGAGCAATTGCTGCCTCTTCAGGAAGTATTACTTTACTGAGAGGGTAGTGGATGCATGAAATAGCCTTCCAGCTGAAGTGGTAGAGGTTAACACAGTGAGGTACAACACTGACTGAACTCTGTTTATAGTGTCACACATGGTTTTCCATGCACAGACCCCCTACATGGAGTCCCCAGCACAAAATAACAAAATAAGCTGATGGCAGTGGCGGATCCAGGGGGGGGGCAACGGGGCAATTGCCCCCCCCCCGAGAAATCTGCCGGTCTCCCTCTCCCCTGCCAGGACATGCAGATGCTAGCCCTGCTATATGCCTGCGGACCGGGGAGGGAGATCGGAGATCTCCCTCCCCGGTCCGCAGGCACCGTGCTGGCAGCCGGCAGGGGAGGGAGGGAGGGAGAGAGAGGACCCGGCAGCCTGCAGCTCCTCCGAGTCCTCCTCTCTCGAGATTTGGAGCGTTGCCGCGGTTACCACGGCAACGCTCCAAATCTCGCGAGAGTGAACTCTAGCCCGGGAGCGCAGGCTAGAGTTCACTCCAACCACTGAGACCACCAGGGAATCCCCCACCGGACCACCAGGGATTGAAATATGTCCCCCCTCCTCCTCCATAAAGGTAAGAAGGGAGGAGGGACATAGAATATTTATTTAAATAATATATATATATATATATTAAAAAAAGCCCCCCTACCCTTATCACACACACACTGCCCCCCCACACACACACACACTGCCCCCACACACACACACTGCCCCCACACACACTGCCCCCCATACACACTGCCCACACACACTGCCCCCATACACACACACACACACTGCCCCCCATACACACACATACACACACACACTGCCCCCCATACACACACACTGCCCCCTTACACTGCCATCCCATACACACACATTGCCCACACTCACACTGCAATACTCACACACACTAACTGTTACACACACATACTCTCCCACACATACACTGCATCCCTGACATACACTGCCGCCCTCACTCACACACTACAACCTTCACACACACACTGCATCCCTTACACATTGCACCACTCACACACACCACTGCTCCAATGCCCTACTACAGCCCCATTTCCCAGCAGACCTCAGGTAAGTTGTCAAACTGTTCTTAAACGATTTGACTACTTACTCTGGGAGGGGGTCCCGGCACTATTGACACCATAACCACTACACTGAGCTGTAGTGGCTATTGTGTCTGGATTATTTTTTATTTAAATAATCCACAAGTGCCCCTCCCGAGATCAGGCTCTGGATCCGCCACTGGCTGATGGTGGATGGAAGAGAGACAAAGCAGTCAGTTCACACTGGGCTGGCAGTGTCCCTGTGGCAACACTCCCCCCCCCCCCTTTTTGTTGACCCACAGCTACATATACAGGCACATGTAAAAGAGTCCCAAAAATGGCGCCACAAGTTTGTGGCCAGCACCAAACAAATCAGGCCATCCATCACATATCTCGCCCCATAGAAACAGACAGCGGGCACATAGGGATATGGCACTTAGTGACGGCGTTCCGTCACATAAGATAAGGCCAAGGACTTATGAAAGTATTTAGAAAATTTGGCCCGAATGGTTCTTATCTGCCGTCACATTCTATGTTTCTCTTAAGTTTAGCTCCACTGAGCTAAGCAAACCAGGAAATTACAGGACCGATTGTCTAACAAGCAGTAACTAGGTCATTTAATTTTTTTTTTTTATAATTTCTGTTAAAATCTGTACTTTTTGTAACATGACAAATACGACACAGTCCAAACACCTACAGCACTTTACCTTCATGTGCTTTATGTGTGTAAAGTGCTGCTTTAAGATACAAGCAGGATCATTTTTGCAATTTTAGTCCAGGAAACCTTTATGGAAACATTCAGGAATGTCTTCAGTTTGGCTGTGAATTCCAGAAAATACACTTTTTTAATACAGGGGTAGGAAACCTTCAGCATTTATTCAGGTATTTTGAATTACATTTTCCCTTATGCTCTGCCAGTATTAAGGTTGTAAGTGCATTTTGGGAGATGTAGTTCACAATATCTGGAGTGCTGAGTATTGCCTACTCCTGCTTTAGTGAATAACAATGTTTGCGTCTAATTTAGAAACTGTTGGGCCTCATACAAGAAATTAATAATATTAAGGCAACATATAGAGAGCACAGTATGCCAATATTTGCTTTGCAGCTCCCACTTTCTCTACGTTTTTAAAAGCTGAGATCTAACTTGAGTTATTAAACCAGGAATCGTGATGAGTGGACAGCACTTTTGTGTAAACTCAAACATTAATCACCTTCAGTATTTAGGAAAAAAAAAAATAATTGTAATACAAAATTTTGGGAAACGCCACGGGATTGTCCCCAAAACCAGGCTCCAAAAATCTAAAATGTAAAGCATCTTAGAAATTGTACCTCTTAGCCTAATTCTGAATAAAAATGTTGCTGTGAATTTGCTACGCACATTTTCCTGAGCATAATATGAGTCAAAGTGTCGTTCTTGAGCAGAACCAGATATATTTCTCATAAAACCTTGATTTAAAAATAACCAACTGAAGGTAGAAATGCTCTGAGCCTCATTAGTAGAGATATCTACAAATTGTATTTTCTGGCTGAGCACTGCTTTGTAAATTGCTCTGCATCAGTACATATATAGATGCACAGCAAGGCCCTTTGTAGTAATAAATAACAAAATGTGCACTATGTGTATAATTATAATTACTGCAATAGTTCTCTCTAAATCGAATTGTGGTTATATGCAATGCATTTGCAGGCAATAAATAAGGAGTGACACACAATCCATATAGTTTATTATTTTAAAATACTCTGATATGGCATTATACCTCCATAAATTAATTGCCTAAAATAAATCTTTACATATTATTGATCGTTTCCATTAAACGACTAATAAAGAAGCATGCAAGTAAAAGCCATTCCCTCATCTGTTATAATCACTGACTAAGCATGTGACGGTTTGAGGCAACAAGCCGACAGTGTTAAGACCATGAATGGATTTCTGAAAGACCAGAATGTGCCAAGAAATAGCTACAAATTCTTTGTAGCAAATATGATATACTTTCGTACCGCAAATACGCACACCTCCGAATAAAATTTAAAATCATCTATGTATGACACTTTAATTTTAGAGGTATGAGTGGGGGTGGAAACAGGGGCAAGACTGTTCTGAGAAACTGTCTGTAACTTACTAAAACCTGAAATTTAATTTAGAACAATAATTAATTGTAATTCCCTAATCAATTCCAACCGGTATGGCAATTCTAATACTAAATTCTATTTACTAAAGCCAACTTTATTTACTTGTTACTTATTACTTTATTTACACAGACTAGTTTCCAAAAATATTTATTGTAGTTTAATGACACATTATTGCCAATATTGTTGCTCTGGAGCTCTGTTATACACTCAAACACAGAGAATAAGAGGGACAGAGGTATTTGAGCCCAAAATAGGTACTGTCCTTTCTAAATGGGGACACTTGGGATGTATGAAATATAGGCGCATCAGGCTAGTCACTTAGTTTCACTTGTTTTTCCCTTTAAGAAAAAAAATACAATTTAAATGTATTATATAGACACCCAGACGACTTCAGCTCATTGAAGTGGTCTGGGTGCTGTGTCCTAGGCTTCTTAACCCCGCAATGGTAAATATTGCAGATTTCCAGGTGGTGAGGAGACTTTTGGTTGCCTAAGTGAAGCTGGACGTCCTCAACTGATGCTGGACGTCACCCAAAACCCCATAGGAAATCATTACACAATGCTCGCGCACACGCGCGTTAGATCACTCCAGCAGGCTGACGGCAGAGCCTGTACCAGCGCACAGGGACATCAGAGCTCGAATCAGGTAGGTGATAAAGGGGTTTTTAACATCAGCACCGTGAGGGAGAGGTGGTGTGAGGGAGAGGTCACTATATGGCACTATAGTTTCACTTTAATAAAATGGCTTTTAAATTTGTGCAGGTGACATTTGGTGTTCTGCTTTTCTACTGATTTTTCTTCCATCGGCTACACTTTGAAATAATATTTTGCTGAATTTTTTAACGTGTATCTTTGTGTGTGAGCTGTCAATATACAATAATAAACTACAAGTATGCCCTTGTTACTGATCTCTTACAATACAGTGCCCAAAAAACAATGCATTGTAGGTGGACATATACAGAATACTTGTCAGGAAGAAAGAAAATTGCAATTAAAAAAACTAGAATTTCAGCCTGATATTTCCAGAGAAGTGACAGTTCCCTGTTGCTACACTCCAGCAAATGCTATTGCCGTATTTACTGCAGTGAATAACAGATTAAAAACTTACCTCCATTGCACTTCCACATTGCGACAACTTTGAAATCCCATGATGCCTTGGCATCTGATAGAGAAATGCCGTACATTGGCATGCGTGCTTGTCTTTTTTTTATCCATCAGTGCAGTGCACAATGCCATAGTAGTCTATGGAATTATATGAGTTTACTAATCTACATGCTTTTCCTAACAAAGCATGTAAATAAAAATAAAAAGGCTATGATTAATTAAACAAAGATAGCTAGCTTTTAGTTATCTATCAGGTTGTGCAAGAACTGGAGAAGGTGACAGTTCCTCTCTAAAAGAATGATTTTATATATCTATATACAGTTATATGAGAGGTTGTGTCTGTGTGTGCAGTGAGGAGTTTGTGTGTCAGTATGCAGCAATATGTCTCTATGCAGTCATGTAATGTGCTGTGTGTCTGCATGCAGTTGCACGAGGAGTTGTGTGTCTGTATGCAGTTATATGAGGTGCTGTGTGTCAGTATGAAGTTATATGAGAGAGGTTGTGTTTATGGGTCTGTATGCAGTTATATTTAAGTGAGGCTGTGTGCCTATGGATAAAATACAAACTATACAGTCATTGTGAGTAATTTCCTTGTGGGCCGGCACACTATCGGGCCGGTGCGCGGCCACCTAGTGCACGCCGGGCCGTGGGCCGCACAGTGCAATTACAGAGTAACCGGCAGGAGGGGACGCACTCCCCTCCTACAGGTCACAGAATGTAGCATGGCCGAGCAGGCAGACCGTGGGTAGAGGAGCTTCTGTTCTCATACCCGGTCTGATAGGAAGTGCCCACAGAGAGAGAGAGTGCTCACAGAGAACTGCTTCCTGTCAGACCAGGTACAGTGAGCAGGAGCTCCTCCACTGTGGTCTGCCTGCTCGGCCACGCTACAGCAAGGTACAGGGAGAGCTGGGGGGAACTAATGGGACACATGGGGGCTGGGAGGGATGACTAATGGCACACATGGGGGCTGGGGGGGAACTAATGGGACACATGGGGGCTGGGGGGAACTAATGGGACACATGGGGGCTGGGCTCTAGGGACACATGAAGGGCTGAGAGTGGGGTATAGGAATGCATGGAGGGCTGAGAGGGGCTATAAGGACATATGAAGGGATTGAGGGAGATAAGGCACATGGAGGTCTGGGGGGGTAATGAGACACATGGAGGGCTGGGGGGAATGGATTGAGAAACATGAAGGGATGGGGGGTAATGATACACATGTAAGACTGGAGGGGGTGGAATGAGACACATGGAGGGGCAGGGGAGTAAAAAGACACACAGAGAGGCTGGGGAGAAAAAAACACACAAAGGATCTGTGGGGAAAGAGACACACAGAGGTGCTGGGGCCTGGGAAAGAGACTCACAGAAGGGCTGGGGAAGGGGAGAATGAGAAACACAGAGGAGCTGTGTGAAAAGAGACACACAGAAGTGCTGCAGCCTGGGAAAGAGACTAACAGAAGGGCTGGGTAAGTTGAGAAAGAGACAAAGGGGCTGGGGCTAAGAGACACATGAAAGGGGCTTGGGGGAGAAAGACACAAACAAAATGTATCTTCATTTGTGTCTCCTGCTCTCCCTGTAATTTAGTGTTGACCGATGAGAGAAAGAGTTTCATATTAAAGGCCACTAGAGCTGCTTCCTAGTCCAGTGTGCAGCACCTATGCTGAGCATCTCCACGCTCTGTATGGAGGCGCTGAACGCTCCCTATAAAGATGCATTGCTGCAATGCATCTCTATGAGGAGATGCGTATTGGTGCGATGAAGTGCAGCGTTTTGCCACACATGCGCAATAGCCTCCCAATGCTTTCCTATGGGAATTAAATTGGCGTTGACAGAAATCATCCAGTTGCCAGCCAAAGTGAAGAGCACACTTTTGTTAATTCAAAATAAGCACGTTTATTTTCAAGCCCTATGAGTGCTTTCTTTCACGTTTGAGTGATAGTTTTCAGTTTCACTATGCTGGCGCGATGCATTACGGGGCTGGTATAGAATTTTTCCAGGGCTGCTTTTCATTCCCAGTCCGGCCCTGTATACAGTTAAACACAGTCTAGACACATAGAAGAGACCATGTTAAAGCACAGACACTTTCTCTCTCTCTTAGATATGACAGGCGGCTGCACACTGATTATGTTTTATCCCTGGGACGGAGCTGAATTGGCAAAGGTTATGTGTTTCTTACTATTGATGTTGATATGAAATGAAAAATCAACAAACATTCCATGTCTACAAACTGACCTTGTACTTATACAGTGACAAGGTCAATGTTAGACTGCGTTAGGATTTCCGGGTAACACTTGTTTCATTGTGTGGTCGTCACGAATGTAGAATTGTTGGTGAACTATTATTATTATTATTTTTACTATTATTATTACCATTTATATAGCGCCAACAGATTCCGTAGCGCTTTAAAAGTGTGACATTGTATTTAAAGAATGGAAAACACTTCCAGGTAGCACATTCTGTTCCTTAACAGTTAGCCTCTTGACACATTGCTTTTTGCTGTACCAGGAGTCTATTTGGGGTTTATTCTCTAAGCAGTGAGTCACCACAAATTCATAATTAAATAGCAAAATGTAGTCAAATCGGTTAACAAGGAAGAAAAAAATAAATAAAAAAAAGGCTAACATGAGAAACTGCAAGAATGTTAACTTTCCATTAGCTCTTTAAAATTCAGATCTAGAATCAGATCTAAAATCTAGAATGGTTTACTCTGCATTTGTAACTTGCCATAATTAATAAACACAAACCTATAACTGCAAATGCCCACCACTACCTTAATCTCATGTGCAAGAATGTCATACGGTATGTAATGGGTACATACAACTGATTCTTTACAGCTTCCCTCATCCCCTGGGGCTGTGGGATAGAGGGTGTTAGTAAAAATGATTTCCCTTTCCCATACTCATAGTCATTGTCTGAGGTATTAGCCTTTAACCCAGTAGTTCCCGAACTTTTTAGGTTCAAGGTGCCCTTAACGTTTCAGTATTTTCCCAAGGCCCCCTGAGTCAAAGTTTCTAAGTTGCATATCTGTACAGCACTGCGGCATTTACTGGCGCTATAGTGTAATGTACAGTGTTGGTGTTTGAAGGGGTGCTTGTATACATTTGTTGTGTTTTAATACAGGGGTATGTTTGTATGTAATGTTTGCGTTTGATTGCAGAAGTGTGTCTGAATGTAATGTTCACTTTTAAATGCGAATGTATTTGTGTTTGAGTGAAGGGGTGTGTTTGTATATTTTTTTCTTAGTTTGAATGCAGGGGTGTGTGTATGTAATATCTGCGTTAGATTGCAGAAGTGTGCTTGTATGTTGTGCTGGTGTTTGACTGCTTGGATGTATGCACATACACTACAACATACTTACACAGATATACATGCACATTAACACACAGATGCATGTAAATACACTGACACATACACACAAATTCACATCGACACTGACACATCTAGATACACACATAGATACAGACACATAGATACACACCAACATATACACATATACATATACCCTGACACACACAAACATTGATACATGCCCACACCATGACACCGATACACATACTGACATAAAAACACACACCCTGACACACAGACGCACATACACAGATGTGTGCGCAGACACAGAAGCACACTGATATATTTATATATATATATATATATATATATATACACACACACACTCATACTCATACACACTCATACACATACACATAAACACACACACTCATACTCACACACACACACACGCATACTCACACACACACTCATACTTACACACACTCATACTCACACACACTCACATTCATACACACACATTCACACTTATACTCACACACATACAAGTGATTTATTTTCAATATCTCCAGCCACCCTCCAGTTAGCTTACCTTATGTGCCAGGAGGGTGGCTTGGAGTCCTGCTGCTGATGGGAGTGAGGGGTCTGGAGCTCTTTGTGCTCCTCTCACTCCCACGCTGCCTCCCTGCAGGATGCTGGGAGGAAATGACAGGCCCCTTATAGAGGAAAGAGGTGTTTGCATTACTTTCCCACTGTGAGTGCCTCTAATATATGCAGTAAATGGACCCTGAGGCCTGAGGTGTGACTGCAACAGTTTTTTCTCAAGGACAATTGTCACCTCAAATCTATTTTTAATATAATAAACCCTTCATCAAATTGTGAAAGGCAATAGATTTTATTAAATGAATTATATGTAAAAAAAAAAAAAAGAGAAAAAACATATCCTTACTTTTAGTATTTAAAGGATCCTTCAGCCATATACATACACCTTGGGTCAGACAGTGTTTGACAACAATGTCTAATGCGTTGTTTGCCTCGTGTCCTAGGGGGCCCAAGAGCTGGCCGTCTGGCCACCGTAGAACTCTGCCGAGGTGTTAAACTAGTAATATTCTAGCCGGGCGGCGAGGAGAGCTGTCCTCTGCTCTTCTTGCTCCCTCACGCATCCTTCTGTGATGCTAGGAGCCGAAATATGACTTCACGCCGGAACTGGCATCACTAAGCGGTGCGCGAGGGAGCTGAGCAAGAAGAGCTCAGTTCCCTCGTCACCTCCGTTGAGCACCAGCAGAGCCAGCCACTCCAGCAGCACCATCAGAGCCAGCAGCCCCAGCCCAGCCAGCAAGGAGCCTGCCCAGGCATCCCAGCAGCTGTCATGGACAGCATCCACTCCAGCTCTACCAAAGGTATGGAGGCTGGGTGGATTTAAATTCAAAAATATTAATAATTGGTGAGTGTATGAAAAAATGTGTGTGTGTGTACGTGTGTGCCTGTCAGTGAGTGTGTGTTTGTCAGTGAATGTGTGTGTGTCTGTCATTGTGAGTGTGTGTGTCTATCAGTGAGTGTGTGTGTCTGTCATTGTGAGTGTGTGTCTGTCAGTGAGTGTGTGTGTCTGTCATTGTGAGTGTGTGTCTGTCAGTGAGTATGTGTATGACTGTGAGTGAGTGCATGTAGCTATTAGTGTGTGTTTGTGAGTGAGTGAGTGAGTGAGTGAGTGAATGTGTGTGTCTGTCAGAGTGTATCAAGTCAGTGAGGATGTGTGTGTCTGCGAGTGTGTGTCAGTGTGTGTCTGTCAGTGTATGTGTATCTAAGAGTGTGCGTCTGTCAGTGAGTGAGTGTGTCAGTGTGTGTGTCGGTCAGTGAAAGTGTGTGTTGGTTAAACAGTGTGTGTGCCAATGACTGTATGTGTGTACTAATGACTGTGTATATGTCAGTGAGTGTATGTCAGTGCATGTATCAATGAGGTGTGTGTCTGTCAGTCAAAAAAGTGGCCCTGACACAACATGTTGGGGCAAATTTAGATTAGGGGGGTGCCCAAATTTGGTTGTGCCTAGGGCAGCACAATTCCAAAATACATTACTGGGTAAAGGTGGAATCTCTCTGTTGCTGTTGACAAACTCTCTTTGCTCTGCTGTAAAGCTACAGAAGTTTGAAAGTGGATATATTTGTATGTTATGTCTCCGCATCATTTTATTAATATATTATTGTAGATACTGCATTAAAAAACATGGGGTTATTTTTTCAACAATAGATTTTCTTTAATTTTTGAATGTTACACTTTGCCATACTTACAGTCTAGTTTACCAACACTATACAAAAGGAAGAGACTGTCTCGACTCCTTCAGAGAATAATTGAGTGGGTGAGGAGGAAAAATAAACCTCTACTGTCCTTGAGCTGCACTTTTTGATACAAAACATTGTACTGGGTAATGTTGACTGATTAATCATTAAAAATAAAAATAAATTCATGATATGATTTCCCTGATAAGTTCAGTCGCATCTTACCATGTGTCTCAAATAGCATATTATGCATGATAAGTTTAATTCCTACAAAAGGTGCAGTTCTATCAACATGTTCTACTACATACTTGTCATTTATCTTGTTTTGTGTACCTGTGTTGACATGCCAAAAAGAGCTTGCAAACTAATCTCTGCACGAAAAAAAAAAAAATAATATGTACAGGGACACAAATGTTATCTCACCAAATATGACAAGAACCCTTTCAAGACTGAAAAGTTGCGGTGTCTCACTTGTCCCAATAAAAACATTTGAAGATACTTGGAGTGCTTGGATCCTCTTTCTACTACTGATATCTACTCCATGGGGCTGTCCTGGCCCTTGGTCCAGTTTAGCACCTGGATCTTCACGTGATTGGAGTGCGGTTCGTTTTTTCTCTTTTTGCAAATATACCTCTACTGTCCTCGAGCTGCACTTTTTGATACATAAACCCTGTTCTTAACATTGTACTGGCTAAATGTGACTGATTAATCATTAAAAATTAAAATCAATATGTACAGGGACACAAATGTTATCCCACCAAATAAATCAACCAGATGTATGAAGAATGGATGTGATGGAAAAGTAACGAATGTTTACTGCTGTTCATCAGTAAACACAACCCCGTCTTTCTTACCCAGGAACTGGCACACAGAAACAGCCACAGGCATGGTTAAATCCTCTGACAAAGCTTCGCTGGGGAGGACAGTCTTGGTGTGTCACATTTGTTGCTAAAACAACAGAAATATATCGTAAGATCTCTTTATCTTATATAATAAAGAAAAAAAACAACAGCAAAAAAACAAAATCAAACAAAAACGAATAAGTTTTCCTAGGACCACAGTAAAACTGTCCCTTTTGTTATGAGTTTGCTAAGAGGTAAGTCCTCTTTTTCTAACTTGATGCACCCATAAATATTGTGTTTTAAGTGACAGAGCTTTTGACTTATATGTTACATAAATATATATATATATATATATATGTTTGAAGGCAGGGCCTGAATTTGTGGGAGGGGCAATAGATCTACTTAAAAGGGGACTCCCCCCTTCCCTCACTTACCTACGTTGGTCCAGACGAACAGCCTTGTCTCGCAGGCCTCCGTCGCTCCCGACTTCCGGGTCGAAATCGTCATTTCCGGTGAGACGCGGCGCCCTCTTCTGACGTCACGCGCCAACTTCCGGCGGCTCCACCAGCTCCCGAACGGAGGTCTCGGCTACCCTCCTCGCCTACCAACTGGTCCGGGCGGTAAGAGGAGCTCCCACACACAGAACAGAGACTCCATTACTACCTAGGAGTCTCTGTTTTCGGCCACCAGGGAGGAATCTTTTCGCAGGGAAGGGGAGGGGGGTGGAAGGGGGATGTGGTAGGGCACTCACAAGCCACAACCAGACCCCTATAACGTTAGGGGACTCTGTTTCCCACCAACTACACACTTGGGAAGGGGGTGGGGGGGGGTGTACCTTGCTTAAAGGGGGTCATTCTTTGCTGCTGGTTGACCCTTAGTTCAGCCAGCCTCCACCATTCATTATGCATATACCTTTGGTCATTTTGGTTACAATGGTTATCTATGTCTAATTAACAGCAATTATTTTTTTTTTAAAGTACTGTTATACATATACAGCTGTGTTTTACACTTATACTGCTAAATAAGATGCTGGTTTGTATTAACCTCACACAATTTATTTTTTCTTTGTTATTATATATATATAAGGTATGACTTGCTGGTTAAAATGTGATACATGCATACATGTTTACTTATTGCTGGTTAATATATGGTAAGAATGTTCTGCAAGTATTGGTAACGTTAAATCTTAACTAACATCATATACATTGGGGGGGGTGGGGATGGTAATACGCGGCAACCCCCCCCCCCAGGACTCTTACTATGCCATATTTATATATGTTCCACTTAAGGGTTCATTATCTTAATTCTCATACCCCCAGGAATCCGCATACCTCGGACGGGTCACCTAAACTAACCACCCCCCTACTCAAGAGACACCTGAATTCTCTTACAGAACCAGTGCTCAATTTTCTGCAGGTATGTCGGTTACACGCCTTTTTTCTACAACGCCACGTTAGTTAATTCCCTGCCCCTTAATCATAGAGGTCCGCGAGGCCAACTCCCATCCTCCACTTCGAGGTACTTTACGCCCCTCGGGCCAAATCATAGTTAGCCGCCTCGCAGTTGTACAGAGAGGGCGACACCTGTCACTACCAAACCCCCCCCCCCCCTTTTTTCTTCCTCCTTACTTACCCTTGGAGAGGCAAACATCCCGGTTCACTGGGCAGGCTACCATACCCCTCGCGCCAACTCATAGATAGAGCCTCTCTAGCCACTTGGCACTAGTAGGGCCTCACCTGCCACAAAACCTAGAGTTAAGTTTTTCGCCATCTGGCACTAACTAGCTACCGGCTATTCCAACGAGCCTCCAACTATGCCTGTTATTACTTTCAGTATGTCCCTGCTCCCAGACGATGGCGACGACATGTCAGTCCCTAGCACCCCGGCTAGGTCACTTACCCCGACACGTAAGGACGACATAGGAAGTCCCTCGTCCATCAGATCGTGGACTATCCCTCGCATCACGGCGGAATTGCGCAAACGCAGTATCCCTTTCCCGGCCACGGCCAGGAAAGCAGAACTGTTTAAACTGCTTAAAACAAACACCCTTATGACAGACGCCGGGAAGGCACTAGTAACTCCCAAGACCCGACTCTCCATGCTATGGTTGCCTCCCTAATCTCTTCTATGGGGAAGGTCAACGACAGACTGGAAAGGCTGGAGGCACGCAGCTCCGCCATAGAGCCACCTGTGCCTCTCGCTGGTACAGCCCCGGTCATATCCACAGCAACAGCGGGTAATCCTATACCTAACAAGACAGCGGCACACGTTATTAACCCTGCCCACATGGTTCCGGCCAATCTTAAAAAAGACATCCTGGAGGGCAAGGACGTAAACTTGGTCTCCTTGCTCATTGCCTCCCAGGATGTAGTGGAAAACCGCTCTTACGACTACGGGGATATCTCTGTTGTTTTAAAAGCCAGAGACCCCAGACTCAGTAAGAAATTGACCATTCCCGATTTTGTCCTGTCTTTTGGTATCTATAGGGACATCCTGTGCTCAGTTCATCCACACAGGAGAGAGGAACTGGACTTATATATGCATAAACTGGTGGACCTGGGTAACAAATATGGTGGTTACACTTTTTATGACTATCACAAGTCTTTTTCATCTAAAGTGTCAGCCACATTGTCCCAGTATGGCATCCAGATGGATTGGAGCCAACTGGACAATGAATTGTTCCTCAGACACTTTGCGGGGCTCAGGACACCAGCTTGTGCCATATGTACGTCACCCGCTCACACAGCTTATTTGTGCCCCCTCTGCCCGGACCACGCTCCCAGCACGTCCCTACAGCACCCCCTTAAAACTGAGAAACAGACCAGAGACAAATTGGGTCGTCCGGTTGTGTACCTAGGCAAATCACAAATTTGCAATAACTTCAATGAAGGCTCCTGTGGTTACAGCGCTTGCCGCTTATTACATGTATGCTCACACTGTTTTCGGGCACATGCGAGATCCATGTGCACAAATAAAATGTTCCAGAAACCTTATTTGTCTCCAGTGAACGTTCCTGTACTTGAACACATGCTGTCCACTCACCCCTCTAAACACCTGGTGGAATTTTTATGCACTGGTCTCACCCACGGATTTCACACGGGGCTCATTTACATGCCAACAGGAGTGTTAGAATGTCACAATTTGCAGTCAGCCTCTAATAACCCTACCGCAGTTACTAACTTGCTACAGCTGGAAGTGGACCAGGGATTTGTCATCGGTCCTTTTGGTAATCCCCCCTTTTCCAGCTGGAGAACTAACCCTATCGGACTGGTCGCAAGTAAAAATTCAGACAAACAAAGGCTCATCATTGACCTATCCGCTCCCCACTCTTCAGCCATCCCCAGCCTAAACTCATTGATTCCTTCAGAAGAATTTTCCTTACAGTACTCCACTATTGACCACGCTATTGCAGCTATCAGGTCAGCGGGGGTGGGGGCCTGGCTCAGCAAGACGGATATAGTCAATGCTTTTAAACTGTTACCTATACACCCCTCGTTATGGCACCTACACGGAGTTAAGTGGCAAGAAGCCTACTACTTTTTTACAAAACTCACTTTTGGAGCCAAGAGTAGTCCAAGGATCTTTGACACATTCGCTGAGGCTTTGTGTTGGCTCCTCCTTAATACCAGTAGGTGCCAAAATGTGATACACTATCTGGACGATTTTCTGTTCATCGAAGCCAACACCAACCCCCCGTGTAGCCTACACAAAGCTGTCGAACTATTCACCGCACTCGGCGTCCCCGTATCACCCACCAAGACAGAAGGTCCAGACACAGTCATCAACTTTCTAGGTATTTTGCTCGATTCAGCAGCTATGATGGCCAGCCTCCCTAGAACTAAGATTGATAACATCCTACACGACATTAACCACTACATGCACAGGGGCTCATGCAACCGTAAAGAACTACAATCTCTGTTGGGTTCACTAAATTTCGCCATGCGCATAATCCCCCAGGGCAGGGCTTTCATTTCCAGGCTCCTCGCCCTGTTCCCCACCTTCACCAACGACTATGCCCGCATATCTTTGAACGGCCCTGCGACTGCCGACCTTCAGATGTGGTACAGATTCCTCTCTGACTGGAATGGTAGAAGCATGTTCCTTCCACAGCTGGATTCTCAGTCACCTGTCATTTGGACAGATGCAGCATCATCCGCGGGATATGCGGCCATTTTTGGCACAAATTGGCTCTGGGGGACGTGGCCAACAGAAACACAGGGCATCGAGGGGTTTCACACTAACTCTGCCCTTTTTGAGGTATACCCAATAGTTGCCGCAGCTGTCACTTGGTGTAGGTTGTGGGAAGGTCAGTCAGTACGCTGTTTCTCTGACAACATGGCAATATGCCACATTATCAACAAAGGCCGCTCTTCCTCCTTGATAATTATGAATTTCATTAGGAAACTGACTTGGCTGGCAGCCACCCATCACTTCCACATTGTATGCTCCCATGTTCCCGGCATATACAATACGGCAGCTGACCAGCTATCTCGCTTTCAATTTCAGGGACGGTCCCTACCCTCGGCAGCTCGTATGGCAACCCCAGCGCCAACCTTCCAAGACCTTGTCATGGAATAGATGAACTACTTCATCACAGCCTCACTCTCACAAAATTAGCTTTGTCCACTAGCACTCAACACTCATATAACAGAGCATTTCACCTATATAAACGATTCATGACTGACCATCACCTAACCAACTGGTTCGAAGTATCATCACTAATGGCTTTTGCATCCTTTTGCCACCTTAAGTTAAAATTCACACATAACACCATTAAGCTTTACCTCACGGGGATACAACACCACATGTACTACTCACTCCCTAACCACAAAGGGTTCTTAACCTCATACCCCATCCGCACGCTACTGAAGGGTATAGCAAAGGCAGACGGTCCAGCTACGCCCAAAAGATTGGCTATTGACATAGGAATGTTCAAATCCCTGTCCAATCTACTCGACCAAGCACCTTTTGAACCCAATACAAACACGGTTATTAAAGCCGCCATGTATCTGGCCTTTTACGGATTTCTTAGACCACGAGAATTCACCATTAGTGGCCAACTGCACAACCAAGGGTGCCTCCTCACGTCACATCTCACAAAACACACAGACTACTACGTCCTGTCTCTACCTAAGACTAAGACAAGTCAGAGGGGGGAACCAGTTCACATTAACTACTACCCCACGGGAAACAATTGGTGCCCAGTAAAAGCACTAGACGTTTTTTTAACCACGAAACAAACACAGCCCACAAGGCCTCTACTAATGCTGCACGATACCATTCTCACCACGTCAAAATTCATGCTTTACGTTCGAATGCTTATCACCAGGCTTGGTCTGAACCCTAGTAGCTACTCGGGGCACTCCTTCAGAATTGGTGCGGCCTCCACAGCCTCTAGCCAAAATGTTCCCGTGCATGTCATTAAGACATTGGGTCGATGGAAGTCCTCAGCTTACGCTACCTACATCCCGCACCCAGTCCAAGAGCTTAGGAGGGCTTTCATTAATATGTCTACTTAATAATGTATTTGTATTTTCTTTGTATTTATGTTACCGAATAAATGTTTATCTTGCTTTATCTTTTGCCCACTTTATTTACCGGCCTACAGCATACGTCGGTTTTCGGCACACCTCAACCGACTTTATCCTTTTATTGTATTACTCTCCACCAGAGTATTCCATATCATATGAGAATGCCCCGAACACAAGTTTGAAGGCAGGGCCTGAATTTGTGGGAGGGGCAATAGATCTACTTAAAAGGGGACTCCCCCCTTCCCTCACTTACCTACGTTGGTCCAGACGAACAGCCCCACCCTCCACTCCCATTAGCTATACTTTCCTCCATGTGGGCCCACTTTATTTACCGGCCTACAGCATACGTCGGTTTTCGGCACACCTCAACCGACTTTATCCTTTTATTGTATTACTCTCCACCAGAGTATTCCATATCATATGAGAATGCCCCGAACACAAATATATATATATATATATATATATATATATTACATGTACATAATGGTTAACCCTTCATTATGGTAAAAAAAGTGCTAATTTGGGTCCTGGAGACATCATAGTAAACCAGAAGACACAAGGTGCTCCAGCCTGGCCACATAGGGAGGCATTCTTTTTAGTTGAGACCTTTGCCTTTAATGTAACTCATCTTATTGATATGATGGAAGAGGGGCTAGACAGACTAAGTAACACAGCATATCAGTTTTAGGAAAAGGGATGAATAATGTTGGCTGCTTACTGATAGTGTAACTCTCAGTAATCCTGGGCAGGCTGGACTAAATATTTGATATGCAGTCAATTTAGTAACACTACGGTAAAACATGTTCAGCTCCTTATCCTGGGTATAGTGATAGTATAACCTGCGTATAAATATTCCATTTGTCATGAAGTTAGTGATAGTGTTGACTGATTGATTTGTTGAATCCATATCAGATTTGGAACCATGTAGCACACATGTTCCATACCATGCCATTAAATGGTCAAGAGTAGGATTATCATGACGTCAAAGGATACAGGATGAAGCGTCTAGTTGGGCTTACTGAATCTCATGAACAATGCCTTGCTATAGTAATAAGGTGAAGATAATTTCACAAACACAAGGGGTATTCCTTAGCTACACTGCTACAGATATAACACACATGGCTGGAAAGGCTGCAGTGATACAAAACCAGAAATACTGCACATGGTTATTTCCAAAAGTGAGAACTCAATGTGAATTTAAAGTGAATTTCAAATTTAATACCAGAATAGCCAAACTTAAAGTATAGTTGACTTAAAAGATGTTTCACTTTGTCTATTTTGACATTAAATTTGAACCTTCAACTGAGGTTGTATTTTATCCAAATGAATTTTGAAAGCAGTTGTAGGTCAGAATAATCAATCATTATAATAATAAGATGTTTTGGGAGTGCCCTCACCATTCGATGTTATACTCCCGTCTTCATAACGTTTAATTAGCACTACATCTACGAAATCTCTTGGAGCAATAATACCCATCGCAGCCGACGGTGTTACAGTTCGGCAAACAGATATATCCTAAAAAAGATAAATCAGGAGTTACAGTGTATATATACTCTTTTAAACCGAAGAAAATATGCATGCAAAAAACGTGAAAAATAAATGGTTTTCAACACAATCCCCATTTTTATCTACTACAAGCAGAAAAAATTGCTGACTCAAATAGTTCATCATCAGTGCATCTAATGGAAATAGTTATATTGTTTAAGATGTTTTATTAGTGTTATAGATTACCAATGCTCTGGGATTGGAATTAAATAAATTATGGTCAAACAAGTCCCAAATCCAAATGCAATGTGTGTTACAGTTAAGGGAAACAGATGGAGCATTGTGATTGGCTGGAATTTACATTGGTGTTACCAGAACAGGTAGAGGAAATTGAGTGAGTTAGCAGATGTTCCTTGTTTGCCATTTGTATTGAGATTGCTCTTCCTTTCCGCACAGCACATATCTATAAAGTACGGTTAGGTAAAGTACACACACACATACATAGGGTTTAGGATAGATATGGCTTACACACCTATGTATCATATTTCCCAGGATAAGATATAATAAGTCTACTGGCTAGCTGGACATTGTAACTATTCTCTCATAGAGATGTTTGGCTGCCAACCAGAAGACTGCTTTACAAAATATAGGCCAATGATATCTAGCTTTAAGAAATTGACAATTTTGGATTACATTTTGAAAGACAGTTGTCAGGATTTTTTCTAGTGACAAGAGAATGTCATCCCAACACATTTTAGATTTGTTGCCTTTTTTAAAAGGAAAAGTGCACCTTGGTCACTTGGCACACAGGGTCAATATTTATGTTGGCACCCCTCACCCTGCATTTTACACTTTTGTGTGTCACTCCATGCCAACTCATCCATTTGTGTATATCTCCTGACTATACTTGTGTGGATCTCCTAATCCTTCCTTTCAAGATTATGTTACTTATGGTGTATCTCTTAAGCTCCCTTACCTCTTATCTGTTTCTGAACCTTCCTACACTTTTTTGTGGGTGTTAACCACCCACATACATACATACATACATAGATGTGCAATCACACATGCACTCACACACAAACATGTACATGCAGAGTCACAAACACACAAAAATCCCACACAATCGAGACATTCATAATTACAGAATTATGCACACAATCACTTACACATACATATACCTACACACATAGTCACACATATACAATGTTCCATACAGTCACACGCCCACAGTCACACATCATCACACACAGTCACCATTACATACACAGTCAAATAGTCAGATGTACACAGTCACACAAATAGACTATATCACATATAGTCACCTGAGTACAGTCACATACAGTCACACACACTGTCAGAGACACACAGACAGAGGCATGCAGTCACACACAGATTCAGGCACAAAGGCATCAAATCTGCCTCCTGTCTTTAATCACACTCAGTATGGGAGCTTGGATGGAGTTACAGTCCCTGGTGTTTAGTGGATGGGGAAGCAGGGACTCCTTGCTGCTCCTTGCTCCCCGGCATGCTACAGTTACCAGGCAGTTGGTGCTGGTGGCATATCACTCTGCACCCGCTACCTGTATTGGTGATGCAGCTCCCTCCCTGCTAAACACGGATAGAAAATAGTGAAATCTTCTTTGCCACGCTACTAAAAGTAATAGGTGAGACAGAGCTGCTGTGTGCACCCCCATTCTGTTTTTCACCTGTGGAGGACTGAGCCAACCACTTTGTACATTACTGCTTAAAGATACATTTTCAAAAACAGGTGCTTTTGTCATCATGACGTAGCACAATTAGATGTGTGTGGTCCCAAAGCTATTGCTGGACTGAAAACCCCAACACTCTGAGCAAAGCTGGTTAACAGTAGAATTGTAGTTTTAAATCCATATAGGTGACTGTGAAAAAAAGATGTCTGTGAACTACCAATCAGATGCTCAGCGAGGTTTAATGAAGTGTAAATGTTAGCCATCATCGCTGTGAGATGCTGAAAGCGGTAGTCAAACAAAAACAAAATGGTGGAAGCATGCTATTCTGTATGTAGCAGGTATAATACCAGCACTTAGCATTAGTATATTACGATGGCTTATTCTCTTCTTCACTCACGTCTGTAATCTTTTCTATAAGCTGGAATTCCTCTACGTTATGATCCCATTTAACTCTCAATCCGCCAGGCTCTGGCTTCAAACATTCCCAAAGGTGTTCTGGTTTTGCTGGAATAATAGCTTCGCCCTTGTATCTAGAATAAAAACACAGTTCAACTTTCTATCAAAATTAGGCATTAAAAGAGTAGTGGAGCCACAACTACTACTACACACTACCTACCATGCTAAAGTTACCAACTCAGAACCAAATATGATAATGAACTAAAAATATATAATTATTTAATTAAATAAACAACATAAATATCAGTGAGAATTACTTTTTCAGGTTGTGAAAGCAATACTTACAGGTTTCCGGTAAATTCAGACGATGGCCTCCAGTGCACAGTAACTCCTCCCTGTTTAACAAAACCAAGCTTTCTTTAATGACACATAACAACAAGAACCTAAACGAACACAGCTGTCACCTCAAAATATATTTTAATATAATAATGTTTTCATCAAGTATTGAAAGGAAATAGATTATTTTTTTTTTTATTCTTTATTTTCGCCATGACAGAAAATTGATCTGCAGTATAAAGGCTTGTGCAAAACCCAAACATGTTTCATATAACATTATTTCAGTGATATAGAAAGGAATATGACATGTATAAATAGTGGTTATTGGCCTGGTCATAATCTGTCATGGTTTTTTAATTTTTTTTTTTCATAACAGAACAGAAAATCTAAATAAAATGCAGAGTAACCTTATAAAGTAACATAGCATAATAGCACCGCCCCGCCGATATGTTGTTGAGTGGTGTGAGTTGGCAGCCTTATCATGCTTTGGCGTTGCCCCCGCTACAGGCGGCGGCGAGGTGCGCCACTCACCCACCGGCTGCGGGTTCTTCCCCATTCCCCACCCCCAGGCACCCCCCAGAGTATACCGGCCAGCTAGACTTCATGGGCCATGTACCATGAACCCCAACCGTAGTCCTCACAAGAGAACCCAAGAGGCAGAGCAGCGGTCTCCTCCCAGTGCTTTAACAACATATATCAATGGTAAGCGGTGGCTCAGAGCTAGGGAAGCATCCCAACAGTATGAAAATGAGAAATATGAGAGAGACTGTGATTCTCCCCACGACACCGGTAAGAGCGGGTCTGCCCCCAGCCTCTGGATCTGAGGCCACCAAGAACTGTCCCATCCCTCTGAGGGGGACTGTGCGTCATATTGCTCCTACAGGTCCCATACCTTTTGGAAAGCGTGGTGGTGTTTCTGACCTGTGCGGTTAGCCTATCCATAGGGTTATTGTCCCTTTGGTGACAACTAAAGCGAGTGAGAGTAGGTCGAGGTTTGCCCAGTTTTGTGCTAGCGCTCTATGTGCTGCTAGATAGATCATGTTGAGCAGTTTCTGCTTGTGTCTGTGGAGACCATCAGTTGGTTTGGACAACAGGCAGGCCCATGGTTCTAGGTTTAGTTGTCTTTGGAGGATACTTGAACTCAAGTCAACCACCTCCTGCCAGAATCCCATCACCCTACGGCACTGCCACCACATGTGGATATAGCTAACCCTTTGTCCGGATAAGCGCCAGCTTGAGTCTGTAGGACTTAGTTTCATGTGGCACTGTTTAACAGAGGTCATGTACCATCTGAATAGTGTTTTATAGGATTGCTCCTGTGATGCAACACATATGGAGGATTTGGCGCATGCTTCCCAAACGTCTTGCCAATCGGTCCCCTCTAACTCCTCTCCCATGTCGGCTTTCCATAAATTTCAAGCAGAGATGCTGGTGATTACTTTGTTTGGGAGGTTTCTTTGAAAAAAAACTTTTTTCAAAGAAGGTCATTGGTATTTTCGTGGCTGCGCGGACCTCTTTGGTGTGAGCAAAGTCCCTAACCTGTATGTCGTTAACGGGGCTAAGGTGTGTAGGTGTTCGTATGTGACTATGTTATTGTCAACATAGAGATGGATAAATTGTTGTAGTCCTGTATGTTCAAGTCCTTTAGAGTCTTTTGCTCACATTCCCGGTGGGAGTTGTCTGTTCCTGAGTACAGGGGTCATTGGTGAGAGGGAACCCCTTAAGGTGTACTTTAGTGCTGTTTGGTCCCATATTTGGAGGGAGTTGAGGATGGCTGGACAGGTGGTCCGTAAGAAATCTCTATGTTTAGGTAGCCTGTTGTAAAATTAGGGGATGGGATATATTTCTACCCATTGTCTTCAATCTGGAAGGGAGTGCCAGTGGATGATTTGGGTCAACTGCGCCGCTTAGTAATAGTGGTAAAGGTGTGGTAAACCTAATCCTCCCCTAGTTTTGGGGGTGTATCATAAGCTTCGAGAAAGTCTTGGGCATTTTTTCTGCCAAATAAATGTGTCTATGGCCTTTTGTATGTTGGTTAGGTCTCCTTGAGTGACTCGTACTGGTAGGGCATGGAAGAGAAACAACAATCTGGGAAGGACATTGATTTTTATGGTGTGTAGATGAGAAATAGATTTAAAAAAAAAAAAGAATGAAATATATCTAAAAAAAATGAGAAACTTATCCCTACCTTAAAGGAACACTGTAGCGTTAGGATGTATGTTAAGTTTAGAGCGGTATTATAAAATTAAAATAAAAAAATACTAAAAATAAAACAAATTATCTTTTCTCCAACACAGAGTCTCCCTCAGTGTTGCCGCAACCTCCTCCTCGATTGACATCTTCCTGGAGGCATAACTCCAGGATAGCTCCAGGATGACAGTCCAATCCAATGCTCCTCATAGTGGAGCATTGGGGACCTTGGGAAAATCCATGGCCCTCGCCGAGATGCGTCTAAGATTCTGCCATAGAGAATGATTGATACAATGATTCTCTATGGCACACCGTAAAGGAAAGAGCCACACTGGTATCTTACCGTATGAGAGTCGGGAAGTAACATTCTCAGCTCTTATACCCAAAAGGCTGGAGGTATGTCTTGAAGCCATGCTTCCAGCCTTCTATTCAGTGAAATAAAGGGTTTAGGGGGTTAGGGCAGGTGCAGGAATAAAGGCACTATAACAATTCAATAAGATGAAGTTGTTATAGCACCTACGGTTCCTTTAAAGTATATAACAGGATCCTGGAGCCATATACATGCACCGTTGGGTAGACAGTGTTTGAATCTGACATTTAGTCTCTATGGTCTCCCTTGCTTCTTTTGCTGCACAGTGCAGTGACATCATTTTGACAAAAATCAGCTTTAGTGAGGTCAATAAAAATATGTGTAGGTAAATAATTGTTAGGATTTGCTCTGTATGATTTTTAGAGTCTCCCTTGCTTAGAATACTGCACAGAGCAATGGCTGATTATGTCACTGCAATGTACAAGGAGTTTGAGCAGGGAAGACCATAGAGTCTAGCAGGACTATTCACTAAAGAAAGCATTAAATCCAATTTAAATTGGATTTCAAATTTAAAGCCAAAATAGCAAAACTGAGAGCTTAGCTAACTTAGAGAATTCTTCCAGTTTGGCTTTTTTACCTTAAATTTCCAATTCTCTTTGAATCCTCATTTAAAAGAGCACTATAGTGCCAGGAAAACAAACTCGTTTTCCTGGCACTATAGGGTTATTAGGTCCTAAAATAAATGATAACGTACAATAACACAAAAAGGAACAGCGAAGCAGTGTTGAAATATGAGGAAGTTAAAAGAAGGCCATATCAGACTTGGTGTTAGCTTCAAATAGAAACTAGATGTACTTATTACATACAAATTGTGCCATTCCTTATTGAGAATAGCTGTATTAAGGCCTCTGGGCCATGCCCCTGCGAACACTGCAAATGTGGAAGAGGGTTCTTTCTGGATAAAGTTGTAGATGTTCAAAATCAGTCCGAAAATGGGTTTGATGTGAGTGTTTTGAATTTTATTAGTTGATAGAACTTTCCCATTTGGTATGGAGCTGAAAAAATATGTAATCTCTCATTATTGGGAATGGGTTAATAGTGAGTGGGACAGTACAAGTCGTTGATTTCTTTATTATTAGTAACAGTGTTTTTAAAGTGCCAACAATTTTCCGCAGTGCTATATAGTTATTGACAGGGGGTATCTGACAGCAAGTAACTGACATACAAAATAATATTGACGGAGACATCAGGTGAAGAAGGCCCTGCTCCAAGGAGCTTGCAATCTAAGTGGATTTCATAGTCGTCTAGGAACGGAGAAGCCCCAAGGATAGAAGGATTGAAAGAGGAGGTTATGAAAGACTGCAAATATTGAAGGCAGTAGTGGGGATGAATGCAGGAGATCCCAAGATACCTGCCAATAGATGGCATGCTGGAGTAAATGGTGATAGTTGTTGAGTTACAGCAGCTGACTGCCATGTTAATGTATGCAATGACACTGCTATAAAAAGTTTGCTTGATGGACAGCCAGTTATTGTAGCTCAAGCTCATGCAGGTATCCTAGTAAACATGGCTGCCAGGCAATAATAATAAGTATGTCGTAGGCCTAGACTGCCAAGTCACTTACGTCATGTCAACTCCTTGTTGGAAAGTTTTTTGTTTTTTTTAGTAGCCCGAATCTAGAACATAAAGACTGTAGGTACTGATGTGACAAAGGATGGATGGATATTGGAATAAAGACTGGCAAGTTTTGAAGTCGATATAATTAAATTGATAATATTGTATCCTACATTGTCAAAGTAAGACATAAACTCACTGCTTTTAGCTGAGTTCACTCTCTTGGTCTGTAGAAAGTAATACATCTTTTCAAACTAATATTAAAGAATTATTGCAAGGACCATAAACACTGCAGTGATTTGAAGTGGTCATGGTGCCTGGAGTCTGTGTGTTCAGCGTTTCACTATGAAACACTGCACATAAAAAGGTTAATCCATTCGGCATCATTATTCATCCTGGAACAAGCAACATGCTGATATGCTGATGATAGGTGACTAATGGAAACATGCCCCCCCGTCCCCCTCATTTCTCCCCCTACATCTCTCCCCTGGCTGGAGTGACGTCAGTGGAGGAGGACCAAGTTGCATGGAGAACTTGGCCTTGGTGCTGAAGCGGAGGTAAACGTATAAGTTTTTAAGTGGAGGCGGGGGGTGGAGGGTTGAGGTGGCATCAGGATAGTTGTTGATAGTGGTTGCTATAACCTGAAACTGTGTTTTCTTAAAACACTGTTTTTTTATTTGGAGTTACCCTTTTAGTTATGTTAATGTTATATTGCTAATTAAGAGATGATGTATAGAATGCATTTATTTTATGCATACATTCCCGAAATTTTATTAATTTCTTTAATTATTGCAAGGGTTTATGATGGCCAGCGAGGTGGAGATATAATTTAGTTCTGTTCTTTAAATAACTGATGGCCGTCAAGGTGGAGATATAATTTAGTTATTTTCTTTACATAACTGATGGCCAGTGAGATGGAGATATAATTTTGTGTTTTCTTTAAATAACTGATGATGGCTCATCTCAGAATGAAAATCCAGCTTTATATGTCACAGCAGTCTGACCAATTACAGGAGTCATGAATATAATGTGACAGGTATATACAATGCAGGTAATATGACACATCATTAACTAGCTACATGATGGCACACATAGCTCTACATGACATTGGGATAACACAGACCCTGCACCACTTACCCTGACACACAAAAAGGATGGGAACTGCAGTACGACACATAATGGGAACAGAAATTTGAGAACTGATGTTTCATGACAGTTCCTATCATGCTCAGCCAGTGGGTTAAGGAAGTGGGAGTGTAATCCATATATGTGTATGTGTGTAGGCACAATCACGCATAAACAGTAAAGCATACAATACAGTACACAATGGCTTCAACACAGTTCATAATAACATTAGATACACTGCAGCTACCAACACACTACCAAGGAAGGACAGACATTATTTGCTTACAGTTCTCTTGCAGAGTTTCCAACCGCTCTGGTCCTTGCTGTAGGAAAGTAAATTATCAGCAGCTGATCTGGCTAGCTCTGTGTATTCCATAATGTAAGATGTTCTAATAGAGAATCAGTCTTGTTACTGTATCCTGCTGTCAGGTGCTCAGTAGATGGTGGGACTGAATCACATAGCTAACCCTCCCATCACCTCATTCAGATCCCTCCTTGTTCACGCCTCCCAGCTGGCTTAGTCAAACAGTGCATCCCTCCTCTCTTTACTGACTACTTACTGCAGTCTTCATTTTACTGAATGAAGGTTCAGTTCCTTCTCATTAAATAGGTTTTACTTTATATAGGTTTTACTAAAAAATAAATATATATATATATATTTAAATTAAATTAAGTAATATAAACATAATATTAAAGTAATAGAACCATAATGTAACATTTTACATGTGCACTTTATTTTTGAATGTATTATTTGTTATGTTTGGCACAAGCCCTGCTAATATTCTGTATATAATTATACTATCCCACTTTTAATAACACAGCACCCCTGAATTGAATGTGATTTGCATGTTTCAACTATGGGGGACCCTCTGAAATAGCACGAAACCCAAATTTGAAAACACCCAGAGATTATGAAGCATTGCTGTAACCCCTTTTTAGAACCGTTTTCTGTGTACACATATGGATCACTGTAATCTAAAATTCCACAGAAAGTACACAAGCTGCATACATTTTTGAAACACAACAGAAAGTACCATGGTTTCCACTTTAAAAAACATAAATTGTTGAGTTCATCATGGTATAATTACTACAGTTCTGTTACACACATAAGCACATTTGTTTCCTGTGTGACATTTACTGGAAAAAGGAGTATCTGAGTCATGTGCACTCACACCCACTTTTCTTTGTTGTGTGTGTAATACTACCTCTGCTTAGAGTGGGGAACCTCTCTTAAAGGGACACTGTAGACACTGTAACCAAGCGATACTGTAAGTACTATAATCTATAAACATTTAATCTAATCTAAACCGTTCCTGTGGAACTCACTTCCCTCCTCGGTTAGATGCTCACCCAGTCTCCACTCCTTCAAAAAAATTGTTAAAAACCCACTTCTTCATAAAAGCGTATCAATTAAACTGTTAACAGCTCCTGACTGATTCCTCTTCTGCAACTGTCATTAGTCTAATACTATCCTTACCTTTTTGTGTAATTTTACCCCACTCCCTCTAGCATGTAAGCTCATTGAGCAGGGCCCTCAACCCCTCTGTTCCTGTGTGTCCAACTTGTCTGGTTACAACTACATGTCTGTTCGTCCACCCATTGTAAAGTGCTGCGGAATTTGACGGCGCTCTATAAATATCATAATAATAATAATCGAATTGGTTATAGTTCCAGGATTCTCCTTGCAGTGTCCCTCCATTCAGTGTTAAAAAAACACTATTGAGTTAGGAATACAAATATGTATCTCTAACGTCATAATCTTAAAGGCACACTACAGACCACTTTGTCTCATTGAAGTGGTCTGGGTGCACTATCCCTGTTCCCTTAGCCCAGCAGCTGAATATATTAAGTTTCGTTGTTCATTCTATATACCTACTGGAGGCATGGCTAGAGATTACATACCTTCTTCTAGCCAAAGATACCGGAAGTGGGCGCACTGACAAAAATATATATATATATTCTATTTGATTTTTGTGCTGATATTACATTCTCTTTTACATGTTTGTATATCCGTGATTATGTGTGTCTGTCTGTATGTGTGAATGTCTGTGGTTATGTGTGTGTGTTTAGTCCTTGTTATTCAGATTTGGGATAGTGCACAGCTAACCTTTTTTTTTTTTGTTCTCTGTGTTGGGGCTGAAGTGTACTACAGTCATTGCTGCCGCCTAGGAGTAGTGGGAGTTTGAGTGCAGGGTTTAATTTTGTATGGCTGCATATACAGAGTTTAACACCTTTGCTGCTGGAGTTGTGACTTCATCAGCATCTTGTTGAGGTGTGGAACACATGTTCAACGTCACTGGAGGAGGATCTTGTCGCCAGGAGAACTTGGCACTGGAATAGAGGTAAGTTTTACCTTCCTGTTTCCTTTTTTTCCCATTTCTTATTTAATTTTATTATGGGGGGCACCAGGATAGAATGGTTTAATCTTACCAAAAACAGTGTTTTATTAAAACAGGTTTTGGTGGGATAAACCAGTTAACTGGGTCAGTTAACCAGCTAATATGGAGCATTATGGTGCCACTGTCACTAATTATATAATTGTAGGTGTTATTTCTCTCTCAGCATTACAGAGGACTCAGGGCTAACAATGACATAGCATTGGGTGTCACAGGGAACACATTCTGTTGCTTGCGGAATTGTACCAAAGACAGTTTAAACACATTAGAACCTGTCAGGAGGCCTATATAGCTTGGGGGTTGGGGGGAGGGCGGGGATTAAATTACCGTACTGCCACATCCACAAAGATAGTATGATGGCAATTCTGGAACATTGGAGAATTGCTGAGTAATACTACATAGCTCATTACACAGTAACATATGTCATTGTGATCACAAACTGCATTTGCCACAAAGAGAGAATCCACCGCAATCCTAAGATTAAGGTTGAAAGCGTGCAAAAACTAAAGAGTCTCCCATGCACATAGGCAAACATGAAATGGAGTGAATTCACTGAATACTCTGCCTTTGCTCAGAGAGGATACTCAATCCCAATACTGCTCCATTCCAAATAATAAAAAAAAGGAACCACCGGCTTCCAATGTATAAAATCCAAAACTTTATTCACTCCATAGGGACTTAATATTCTTGATAACGTTTTTAGGAAACATACACTGGACAAAATTATAAATGCAGCACTTTTGTTTTTGCCCCCATTTTTCATGAGCTGAATTCAAAGATCTAAGACTTTTTCTGTGTACACAAAAGGCCAATTTTGCTCAAATATTGTTCACAAATCTGTCTAAATCTGGGTTGGTGAGCCCTTCTCTTTTGCCGAGATAATCCATCCACCTCACAGGTGTGGCATATCAAGATGCTGATTAGACAGCATGATTAATCGGGGAGTCGGAAAACCTGTCAGTATCTGGTGTGACCACCATTTGCCTCACGCAGTGCAACACATCTCCTTTGCATAGAGTTGATCAGGCTGTTGCTTGTGGCCTGTGGAATGTTGGTCCACTCCTCTTCAATGGCTGTGCGAAGTTGCTGGATATTGGAAGGACCTGTCGTATACGCCGATCCAGAACATCCCAAACATGCTCAATGGGTGACATGTCTGGTGTGGATGCTCACCATGCAAGTACTGGGATGTTTTCAGCTTCCAGGAATTGTGTACATACCCTTGCAATATGGGGCCGTGCATTATCATGCTGCAACATGAGGTGATGGTCGTGGACAAATGGCACAACAATGGGCCTCAGGATCTCATTACGGCATCTCTGTGCATTTAAATGCAATCCATAAAATGCACCTCTCAAAAGTGCCAAACGTCATCAAATGTGAGCATTTGCCCACTCAAGTTGGTTATGATGACAAACTGCAGTCAGGTCGAGACCCGGATGAGGACGACAAGCATGCAGATGAGCTTCCCTGAGACGGTTCCTGATAGTTTGTGCAGACATTCTTTGGTTATGCAAACCGATTGTTGCAGCAGCTATCCGGGTGGCTGGTCTCACACGATCTTGGAGGTGAAGATGCTGGATGTGGAGGTCCTAGGCTGGTGTGGTTACATGTGGTCTGCGGTTGTGAGGCCAGTTGGATGTACTGCCAAATTCTCTGAATCGCCTTTGGAGAAGGCTTATGATAGAGAAATAAACATTCAAGTCACAGGCAACAGCTCTGGTGGACATTTTGCACGCTCCCTCAAAACTTGCGACATCTGTGGCATTGTGCTGTGTGATAAAACTGCACATTTTAGAGTAGCCTTTTATTGTGGTCAGCCTAAGGCACACATTTGCAAAAATCATGCTATCTAATCAGCATCTTGATATGCCACATCTGTGAGGAGGATGGAGTATCTCTGCAAAGGAGAAGTGCTCACTAACACAGATATAGACAGATTTGTGAATAATATTTAAGAGAAATAGGCATTTTGTGTACATTTCTCTTAGTTCAGTTCATGAAAAATGAGGGCATAAACAAAAGTTTATAGTTTTGTTCAGTGTAGATATCGGTGTTTCTAGTGATTAAATCTGCAGTTTCATTGCGTTATTTTTCTAATTGAATAATTCTGTTACGAAATTTTTTTTTTAAGGGTGAATAAAGTTTTGGATCCTCTTCCTTGGAAGCAGGTTGTTACTTTTTTCCATTTATTACAACAACAGTAAAACCACTGATAGGTGAAGTGAATAACATTGATTACATTGTTTCAATTGCACCTGTCAATGGGGTGAGCTATGTTAGGTAGCAAGTGAATAGTTATTTCTTGAATTCTTGAGTCATGGGCGCCCAAAGCTTATTGATGCATGTGAGATACGAACACTAGCCTGTCTGGTCTGATCACACAGAAGAGGTACTGTAGCTCAAACTGCTGTAAAACTTAATGCTGTCCATGACAGAAAGATGCCAGATTACATAGCAGTCATCAAGTCCTTATATTAATAAACAAAAATGTCAACTCACACTCCTCTGGAGCACAACTAAAGATAAATAAATATTTGTACCCATACCTTTACACTTAGTAAAAGGGGGGAAGAGTTTTTTTATAACATTGAGAAAGAGCAAAAAGATCATACAGTATATATAGCATTTTCCCCAATGCTTTGCCACTCTCATCTTCTGGCCACTGTAAAACCCAGGAGAGGTGATACAAAAATACAGTACATTACAATATAGTGAAAAAAACGAATGGCTGTTGGACCCAAAAATAGCTCCCTGTTTGTTTGTGGCATTTATTTATCAATGACAGTCAAAAGTGCCTTTCATATATGCTACTATAGGCTGGATTTATAGTCAGTCAATTACCTTGGATCACTAACACAATGTCTGCCCGGTAACTTTTTGAACTGAATCTCCCTTGTACCAATGGTGGTGGCACTGGATATTGTTAGCAAAAAATACCCAATGTTATTGAAAACGATCTAACTTTACTACCTTTTTTAATGTTGTATTTATTGTGGGCATTGGCTTGGGAATCCCTAGTTATATAGATCCTCATCCATTGAGTTATATACATTTATAACTAGGGCATTCAAAATATACAGTAAATGTTAAAAATTGTGTCCATCAATACGCTTCCTCATGTTGATATTAAAAAATAAATCATATTAATTATACTTCCATGAAAGCCTTTTTTTTCTTATAATAAAAGAAACATTAATTAAAACTTCTCTTTCAGTATTTGGTTTAAAAATAAATTGAAGGTCAGAATAAATTATTTGGTCAATTTTAATTTAATTAAAAAAAAAACATCTGTAGCGTGAGCAACAAAATAAAATGACTTTCCCAATTTTACAGGCACACACAAGTAAAGTCACTTCAAGAGTTATTTGTAAGTGAAAGAAAATTGTGTTGTTTAAGTTTATCAATAAAGAAATACATGGAAAGATCTTCTAACTCCCCTTCGATTATAACTGGAGTTATATGTTCCTCCCGGAAAGCTTCCATAGTAGGCAAAAGCTCACCCCATGTCAGAGCTTCATGGAGTCCATCAGCACCATAACGTCGATTGTAGTACCCAAAATGTCCACATTCAAGTACTAAACCTAGTCCAGGGGCTTTAGGAATGCTGATTTTGTCTTTTTGTACACAATGGAGGAGGATATCAGCAGATACAATACCTCTTGATATAGCAATAAGCATAGCCACCATTTTCCGGATCTGATGCAACATGAAGCTCTGTCCAGTAAACAATATGGAAGCAAACTCAATACCATGGTGAACAGAAGGTTCAGAGCAGGACACAAAGAACATATGTCTCCATGCACTCTTGTCCTCAGGAGCCTTCTTGGAGGTGAAGTTGTGGTAGTTATGTGAACCTCGGTAGAAGGAAAGAATGTGGTTAACGCGGTGGAAGTCTTCCCGAGGCAACCGGAAATTTGGGTCAGGTGACGTGACAGCACAATCGGACAGTGCATACGTAGGAAGCATATATGAATAGGTCCGAGCATCACACATGTTTTTAGAGCTGAAACCTTTGGTCACTTGCTTCACACCTGCATAAAAAAAACAAACAAAGGAGAAAATGGAATTTATGACATTGAAAACCATACCCCTATATTTACATTTCTTTGGAATCCTGTTAAAAAATAATTAGACGCTGTGAATAGAACACTGATCATAAAGACATGCTACTGAATTATTAGAAAAATGTTTGATACCTAATATTCGGATGTCAGGTGGGAGATGCAAGTTAATTTCCTCCACTGGGTTTGGGCAGGACATTAGAAGCCTTGAGGAAACCAGTTGACTGACAGCAGAGACTCCCTATGAATAAAAGTGGTGTCTTGTTTTACATGTCAAATAATGCACAGGGTTCACATACTATAGCTACAATATACAAATACAAGTTAACATGTGGCCAAACTACAAATTTACATGAGGTCAAACTGATGCCACAACAAATGTTTCAGAAATGATCCCACTGGACTAAAAGAATGCTTTCACAAAAGTATTTGTTTTGTTTAAAGAAGCAGAAAAAAAAAAAAAGAATATTTTAAGTCAGCTTGTCAATCGATTAAAAACATTAACGTATACTCCTGTTTCATACAAAGTCTTCAATACTACCTTGCAGAAAATAAATGATGGCCCTGGCACTCAAGGTAAATCCAGTGTGCAGGTTTATAGGCGCAGATGAAAAGCAACATTTTGGCCCACAACAGGGCTCTTGTCAAACTTGAAAATGGCGCTGTTGTGGGCCGAAACGCTGCTTTTTATCTGCGCCAATAAACCTGCTCACTGGATTTACCTTGAGTGCCTGAACCATTATTTATTTTCTGTAGATTACAATGTGGAGATTGGCCAACCTGAGGCCCGGTTGCATCCAGGAAAGTGCGGTATCCCTTATGGTAATTACTTCAATACTACCTTGTCAGTACGGGCGCAGCGCTGAAAATGCAGCTGTTTTATTTGCGAAGAGTACTTCTCAGGAACACATCCGGCTTTAATTAGTGCTGAAATGAGAGTTCCTTCAATTGTTGGAAAATCAGGTGAACCAAGATTAACCTGCACAAAAAAGTCGATCATTCTTCATGTGTTTCTAATCCAGTAGGCTGTTCACATTCTATTTTAGGCCGTTTTAATTACATACTATGATGTTGTTCTACTCAAACAGGTATTTACCTGATCCTGGGGATATACTAAAGAGTGATACATTGGGGAGTTTTAACTAAAGCACGAGAAGCATCTCCTTAATGTATCTAATTCCAAGTTGTCTCTGCAATGCAGAGTATAAAGTGTCATTTCTGTAAATGCAATCCATAGATTAACATAGGAGCTGGTGAGTTTTCACACAATGTACTAAAATATGTTCCAATTTCAGGGTATTTCACAAGAGCAGGGGCCGGATGCATCACTCTTCTTCTTATCTCTAATGATGAAATTATTATAATACTTAATGCATAATATTAGACATAGGAATAAAATCAGAATAATTTATGATTTAACTCTGGGCCAGCTATCACAGTCTTCAAAAATACCAGAAGAAAACACAATGTTTTGCTTCATGTTCAACTGCACAGTATATTAAACTTACCTGCATTCCATGATACTTATTGCCACAGTAAGCCATCAATAAGGCATATTTCTTTTTAGGAATCAGCTTCTTGCTGTCGGACGGATATAAAATATCACTATTTGTGTGGGTGTTTTCCTCATCAAAGTTTTGTCCCAGTAATGTCTCTTCATTCATTTCTATTGCATTCTGAACAGGGGGCTAAAAATTATATAACACAACATAAGAATAAAATAAAGTATATATATATATATGCAGTTATTTAGTAGCAATGCAGTATGCAATACTTTTTCAGTTGTTCTTTAATTTGTTTACTGTGAAGTGTAAATGTACTTCTTTATTTAGTGGAGAAGGACCCATAGATCTTAGAGAGGTCGGAGCATTGGTGGGAATAGAGAGTAAAGGAAAGAAATGATCAGGCAGTTATGGACTGGCATTCATGTGCGTTTCAGGAATGACCCTTGATTCATTTACATTACTCTTTGTGAATTGCATCACATGCACACCCATACTTCATCTGGTGGCCTGCACGTCATTTGCACAGTTTGGAAGATGGCCAGTATGGTTCTAGAGAAGGTAAGCTGAACCAGTAAAGAGGAAGGGTCAGGTGTTTGAAAAATGTGAGGAGCTGACTGGTTAAAGGTGACACAGCTGATTGTTCCAGTACTTGCGGACTTGAGAAGAATGATGTAAGGGAGCAGAGAAGATTGGTAATGTGTGGCAGGAATACAAGGTGGTTGGGATGTGCTAGATTGTAGCGTCACTTGTATATCAGATTAAGAGTTTCTTTAGAATTACACTATTGTTCTTTTTGAATGACGGCTATATTGGAACCCATTGAAAGTTCTTCCACTTAATATTGAACAAGCACCATAATTAACTTTGTTGTGGATTTAGCAGTGAACTTCAGATTACTAACTCGACTACTTTAATTCATTAATTCCCAGCAATTACTGGATTAGTAATAAAAGTAATGTTTTTTTTTATTTTTTTAGAATTTAGATTCGTAGACCACTTCATCTGAATTAAGTGGTCTGTGTGCAGTGTTCCTGTTATTTTAAAATTACTGCAAAAACATTGCAGTTTTTTTTTTAGACACTGCATTGTTTACATTACAGGGTTATATACACTTCTGGTGGTTGTCTTCATGAGAGACACTAGAAGTGCATCCTCCTCTGGACGACAATGCTTCCAATCCATTGCTTACGAGAACAAATTGATTGGAGATCGCGGGTAATGTCAGCTTGGATGCTTACATCACCTGAGGTCACGGTGGAGGCAGCAGCAGAGGAATTTCAGCGCTGTAAAGGAGGTAATTTTTATTTTTCCTCTATTTTTAATGTCAAAAGGGGGCTGGATGGACAAAGAGAAACAGACTGATCCTGAAATAAAGATTGTTATTTTCGGGACAACAGGTTCCCTTTAAACCCTTCCTTTTTCAAAACGGTTGTTTAAGCAATCTACAAAATGCAGTAAATTCCTCACCAGACATGATATATCAGACGCCTGACTCAATATGGATTGGTGTCTAATCCACGTTTGGATAGGCAATATACAAATCCGCTTCATTTCCTTCCCTGTGAAACATGGAAAGTTTTAACATTCATCTGTATTTGTTTTCATAAAAATGTACAAGTTAATATAGCAAGGAAAAAATATGCAAAAATGTTATATTATTGTATGCAACAGAATAAAAAAACAAGGAAAATAAAACCAATAATTGTTTAGGTATAACAACTGACTTGGGTCTTGCCAGTTGCCTGCTGTTTACGGTCTTCTTTAGGAGAATCAGGTTAGCTCTATAGTTTAAACGCTAAATGTGACCATAACACAACTTAATTTTGATCAAACTTAAAACTACAATAAATATGTTTAGAAATCAGTCTGTGTAAATAAGATACATTGATCTTGTTATAAATTACATTTAAGTTGCATAAATTGTTGTTACTAAATCACCTACCATTTCTCAGAATAGCCCACCTCTTGTCACACCCATAAAATGAAATTGTCCCTCTTTGTCAATTTGAAATGTTGAAAGGTATATGGTTATGGTTATGGTGTTGTGGAATGCTTCTTCCAAGGGTGAGCACTCTAGCCAATATAAGTCAAAATTGTGGTTATGGTGCTATTGTGGAGATCTTCTGGTCACTGGTGGATTGACAAAAACTGTGCGCACCTGTGGCCTGTACAAGCATTGCTAATGCAGATGTTTAGCAAATTCATCAATGTTTTAATGCCCGTCACTTATTAAGGAGGTCAGTGCACTTCTAATTAATACATTTAATGAGGCACACTAAACACCATAGTCACCAGTGTGGTTATTGTGCAAGAGGTTCAATGGCGCCCTCTTTTTCTTTGTTGAAATTTTATTACAATTGTTTGCAATCATAAAATAAGGCAAATGACTAGTAACACCGGAAGGAAAAAGGAGCATTAACGATTGGAAGGATTTTAACCCCTTAAGGTCACACCTTCATAAATAAAAGGGAATCATGGAGGAATATTTCCATCATGTGTCCTTAAAAGGGTAAAAAAAAACAAAAAAAACAAGCAGGTAGTTACTACTGTTGTGCCTCTGTTAAATACATTCAAGGCAAAAAACGTGTAAACGAGAAACAAAAATGTAAGAGGAAAATAAAATGAGAGAAAATGTGTAGCGCTAAATATTTTCGTGCAAATGATAGGAATAAAAACACAAACTTATAAAAATAAAAAACTTAAAAAGTGAACATTACATTTGAACTCCCCATATAACTGATATTCTGTTTCAGGTGTTACTCCTTTTTATTTGTAACGTTGTACAGTCTTGGAAAGCACTGTGTTATATGTTTAAATAATGTTCTGAAGTGATTTGTTAAAGCAAACTAATTGTTTCAACTCCCATGATTCCCATCAAGTATGTAACAGACAAGGCAACTATCTGCTGGTAGAGAATCAAAGGAGTTATAACGGGGTAACAATTTATAGAGACATAAACTAACCAAGGTTTAGTGTGTTCCATAAAGAACATTCTGATCTATATTTCCAGTGTATCTGTGTCAATGGCAAGCTGTTATCACCTTGAAATGGTATTAATGCGTGCCTGCAAGGACATGCCCCGTGGGAAGACCATAAATAACCAACCACTCGGCTAAATAGTGCAAATAAATTATTTCACCCCCAGACACAGAAGACCCACCTATCCCACGTGTCTACAAACACGTGCAACTCTTACACTGATGCCACCGTCCTTTCAGGAAGCTCTCGCCGTTCAAACTACACAGACAAGCGTAAGAGAACTACACCTCCCGGCATTCCTAGCAAGGGCGCATTCAAAATGGCAGAACTTTATTAATTGAATTTTACATTGGTGCTATTTGAAAGGTAGTTTCCGGATATTTTACATTACCAAGTTTTATTTTAGCTTTCGATTAGATTAATTCTTTTACAGACAAAATTACATCCACAGGTTACCACATTGTAGCTGGATATGCCGTGACCAGCACTCAGTCTGGTGACTGCACTGGTAGCTGTTTGTAAAAGAACACCCCATTGATTTATTTTTACTAGATATACCCCCAAAACCATGTATGTATTTTTTATTCTGCCTGTTTGTGTGTGTGAGAAATTAGCTTGCAAAAGCTGCAGACCTGCTTTACAACCTTTACATGCCCTCAGCCTTTCATAGGGATATTCAAAGGTTATTTAGTAAACTGAGAATTCAATGTAAAATTCTAACTTAATGAGACCCTATAGTGTTAGGAATACAAAGTTATATATACTGCCCTCAGGTACCCCCCCTTTCCTCGCAGCCCTCACTCCAGTACATAAAGGGTTAAAAAAATATATATATATATTTTTTTTACTTACCCGCTTGCAGTGCTTGGCGCTCCGCCTCCTCTAACGGGTGGACCTAAAGCGCATGCGCGGTGAGCGCATTATTGCTTTCCTATTGGGATTTTACTGACGCTGGACTAAGGAGGACAGGGGCACTGATCCCAGACCACTTCAATTAGATGAAGAGGTCTGGGTGTCTATAGTGTCCCTTTACGTTAGTTCAATAATAGGCAAACTGGAAACATATTCTAAGTCAGCTATGCTTTAAGGTCAGCAACTCCGGCCTTCAATTTGAATTTCACTTTTAATTCTCAGTTTAGTAAATAACCCTGTCAGTCTGTGCCGGGGAGTACACTAAGCAGATTCTTCTCGCTGAAACCGCGAGCACAGGCATTCAATCACTGCTTTCTTATGCTTCTCAATGAGCTTTACTAGAACAGCATCCCCAATGCTTCTGTTAGCTCTGTGGAAGAAAAAGGAAGGTGTTTGTGTCCACAGTTATAAAAATGAAATCAGCACTTTTTTAAACTGGCACAAACATGACAGACTCCAGGAATAAAAGCACTTCAGCAAGCTATAGTGCTTAATGTGTTCTTTTTTTTATTTATATTCTTTATTTTTGGTTGTGCATGAGTATACAATACAACCCGCAATGCCACAACAGCAAGTGCAGGTGAGTGGTAAATAAACAATGAAACAATGACATTAGATGCAATGAGAGAGTACTCTACGTTTCATTTCTAGTAGACAGCACTGTATTTTATATTAAGAGTAAGATGTCTAAACTGCTTTTTCCCCCCCCCCAATACATGGGTAGGAAAGAGAAAGTTATCAGGAGAGAGACAAAGCGACATATGATAATTGAATTATACTGACTAGCTATATGGAGGGTTGTAAACTAGTACTTAATTTACAACAGTGCAGGTTTGAGCTGGTGAGTTAGGTACACCACAACAGTGGCATCAACTTGGTAACAGGTGATATATCGGCATGGGTGGCATCAGTGCACATCTTGCTTTCTTACTGTGGTCAGAACAGGTGCTAGGCTGTGGCCAGGCCATATGCTGGATAACTTTTGGATAAAATGCAATATAAACGGAACAGTTTTAGGCTGGGTAGTGTGTGTGAAATCGCTATCGCTCGGGAGCATGGTTTGGCAAGTGTGGGGGGGCTCCAGCAGCCGTATAGGTGGAAAGTAAAAATATATATATGTTGCCCTGAGAACTTAAGGTAGTTTAAATGCCACCGGGGCACCCTAGTTACAGTAGTGTGTATGGAGGTGGGTGTTGTAGTGAACCTGATAAGGCTGGGGCAGGCAAGGTGGAGAGCTCGGTCGTGAGCATAAGGGCTAGTCCACAGGTTCAGTTGTGGGAGTTCATGTGGTGGCCGCCACGTAGGTGTCAACTGAGGTTCTCCGGGGCACAATAGGGGCTGTGTTTGCCTGATCTCAGGTATGCTTCCGGCCATGTTTGTTCCCCTGCGGCTGAGAGAGTCTCGTGGGAGACCCAGAGTCTCCAGGATAGTTTCTGCTCCAGCGAGGTTCTGGAGTGGGTAGGAGGTGTTGCCCTTTTGTATTACCAGCATGCGATTGTACTTCCAGCGGTAGGAGAGATTGTTCGCTCGCAATAACGCTGTGAGAGGCTGCAGCGTTTTTCTCCAGGCGAGGGTGCTCCCAGATAGATTGGCATAAAATGGGAGCGAGGAGCCTTCAAAGCTGTAGGGAGAGTTTCATCTGAGTGCGCCCAACACCGCTGATTTGTCTTGCCCGCTTTGAAACTTTACAATCAAGTCCCTTGGTGCTGTGGCGGGTGCTTTGATTGGTCGTGGGATCCTGAACAGACCCTCAGTTATGATCGATTTTGCTTATTTTGAGGTGAGTAGTGAGTAATCTCAGAAAGTGCGGTAGCTCCGCTTCGGGAACTGTCTCTGCTACCCCTCTGATCTTGAGGTTCTTACTATGCCTGAAATCTTCGAGTGTTGCGAACCTCTGATCCATGGTGGCTTGTTGCTGGTGGAGCTTGTTTATTTCTTGCTGCAGGTGGGTGAGTTGTGCCTTGGCGTTGCGGGAATCATCTTCCAGAATGCCTGTGCGTGTTGTCAGGCCTTGTAGGTCTTTGCGGAACGTGGCATGGATATCCCTCCAGAGACCCACCAGCATCTCCCACATGTCGGCTTTTGTCACCGGTGCCGAGTCCGGGTTGAGGACTGCGGGCGTTTGAGGGGGAGGTAGTTCTCGTGTGATTGGCAAGTGGTGGTCCTCAGGCTCTAGGTCTTGATCGTCCGAAAAATCGCCACCCTCTGCCATATAGGAGGCCATTTTAGGCAGTGAGCCGCCATGTGCTTGCCGCCACATATCACTGATGCCCATCCCCACTTTTGGCTTGTCTGCTTTCTGTTTCTGGGGGCTGTCGGAGGATCCAGTTGGGGTAACTTAAGTTGGGGTAGAGGTTGTAAATATAATTAATAATAGCTTTTGGCACTCGGAGCCCTGCAGACATGCGACTGCTCAGTTCAGTAGCTTGGCTCCGCTCCCCTGGAGTGTACTTTTTAAAGCGTCTCTGTCACTAAAAATAAACTTAGTCTAATCTGCTTCTTTATAGCTCCCTGTTTCTGAATACCTTTTTAACATTTTTTTCCTGTGAGCTCTAGTTTTTATAAAATACATTCCCTTCTACTTCCCATTCTACTTGCCCTTACATACAGCAGTCAGATTGACAAAACTTAACCATAGTCAGAGCTAAAAGCAAGGTTCTATTTCAGCTGCCAATTAATTAACACACAACCAATCAGTAAAATCAGTCACACCGAAGAGCAAATAACAGACACCTCGGTGGAGACTCCTCACACACTGCACCCAGGGCCATCTTAACAGCATAATAGGCCCCTGAGCAAAGGAGTGCTCTGGGGCCCTGTCTACACAACCACTAACAAGAATAAACATGTGTATTAACAATAAATCTAAGCTTATATTTATTGGTATCTCCAACAAAAGCAATTCATACATATAATACATACACACAGATTGCTGAATACATTCAGACTGCTGAATACACACACACACAGACTGCTGAATACACACACACACACACAGACTACTGAATACACACACAGACTACTGAATACACACGCAGACAGACTAGTAAGTTCACACTCACAAACTACTGAATACACACACGCAGACTGCCGAATACAAACAGACTGCTAAAAAACACAAACAAAGACAAAGACACACACACAGATTGTTGAGTGCACATACACAGACTGCTGAATACACACACAGACTGCTGCATACATACACAGACTAACGACCTAATCGCAGCTAAATTCAAAGACCACTACTCCATAATATTTCTTTTTGACCTTTTTGCTGCCTTTGACACCATTAATCATGCTCTCCTTCTTCAAACTCTTCAATCACTCGGTCTCTGTGACTGTTTTCTCGTGGTTTTCCTCTTATCTCTTCCAACGCTCATTCATTGTCTCCTTTTCTAATGATACCTCCTCCCTTCGTCCTGTCTTGGGTTAGAGTCCCCAAGGCTCTGTTTTTGGTCCCCTTCTATTTTCTCTTTATATTGCCTCTCTTGTATAACGTATTACCTCTTTTGGATTCCACTACCACCTGTACAATGATGACACTCAAATATATCTCACCTCCCGGACCTCTCCCCTGCCGTCCTGCAATGTGTCACTGCTTGCCTTTCTTCCATCTCTAACTGGATGTCCTCTCGCTTTCTGAAACTAAATCTCTTTAAAACTCAGCTCCTTGTCTCTCCTCCTCCTAATACTGATCCTCCTCTTTCACTCTCCCTTCAAGTAAGTGGTATCCACATCAGTCCATCCTTGCAAGCGCACTGTCTTGGCATCATACTTGATTCTGGCCTCACCTTTGAGCCTCACATCCAGCATGTTACCAAATCCTGTAGATTCCATCTGAAAAACATAGTCCGTGTCCGCCCCTTTCTTACGAAAGATGCTACTAAGGAGCTTGTCCATGCTCTAGTAATTTCCTGCATGGATTATTGTAAACCTCTCCTAATTGTTCTTCCCAAAAACCATACTGCCACCCTAGAGTCTGTAATGAATGCTGCCGCCAGACTGGTTTTCCTCTCTAGTCGGTCCTCTCACACCTCACCCCTCTGTCAGTCCTTACATTGACTTGCTGTATCCTACACGAGTCAATTCAAAGTGCTATCCCATACCTATAAAGCATTGACCAATTCCAGCCCCTCTTATATCTCTTCACAGATCCAAAGGTATGCCCCTTCTCGGTCTCTCTGCTCTGCCCGTGACCTTCTCCTGTCTGCTGTCTGCTGCTCGCACCCATACAGCCAACTCACGCTTGCAGGACTTCTCGCGGGCATCTCCCTTCCTATAAAATAGCCTGCCTATAGCCATCAGACTCTTTCTAGTCTTCAATCGTTTAAGAAGTGTCTTAAAACCCATCT